ACGAGAGAGAGAGAGAGAGAAAAAATAGCCTTATTCCATAATAATTTGATACGATCGCGCACGACTGTTGCTATTCTGCAATCAAAATAGCAAAAATTGATTAGGGCTGTAAATGAATTGGTAATTATAGGGCTGACCGAAGCTCTGATAAGCACATATTGTTTTAGTTGAATTTAGCGTCTCGATTTCGCATGTCGGTCGAGTTACGTATAAACATTGACAACAAAAAGAAAATCATTGGCACGAAGCCGAACAATAGTATGCCAACGAGTGAGAGATCGCATTGACATTCAATTATGCGGGGATAAGCGCAGTGACGTATAATGCCTACCGGGGAGCGCGATTGTTTATGAGAGAGCCGAATGTCGATCGATTCTTTGGGTGAAATACGCACATGAACATGACTCAACGCCCATTGATTGACTGTTTAATCGCGTCAAATATCTAATATCGTGGCTACGTGTTTGCACATTCTCTTTTTTTTCCTTTTTTCTTTTTTTTTTCAGGGGTGACGATTTGATTGGTTTGATTTGTGAACATTTAATTTGCAAGCGATTGAGTAGTTCGATCGAAAGTTTATTTGAGGGGAAGTTGGAGATTCTCAGAACCTCTCTTTCCTCATTGTTAAGTAATCGTCGCGCCGCACACAAACCGTGTGCAAGTTACAAAGTCCCAATGTGACCAGATTCGCAGAGAGAGAGAGAGAACGCAAGAGTTTGATGAGTTAGTAACTAGTTTCGGAATCGCGTGCCCTGTCTATGATCTTAATTGAGCATCAAGTCTGGCCCTTTCACCTTCGTGGTCATCACCATCATCGTCATCGCAGCTATGCATGAGACTCGAAACACAATAATTAAAATCTTTATAACTAGTGTTATATGGTAACCACATTTTATGAATCTATCTCATCTTGAATATCGTTAGTTTATTTTTTTACTAGGCATTGTTGCCAATATTAATATTGTACACAACAAGCGAAAATTTTGTCAATCGTTGTACAAAAAAAAATTTTAAATGCTACTTTACAAGATGTTTTTGCATATTATTTCAGTTCACAAATCACTTACTCGTAATTGTATGCTACAAGTTAATACTTATAGACAAACCCTTTTATACGAATTTTTCACTTGCATTAAAAAATAATATCTAGTTTGGAACCAATTGATTATTTATTCAGTTGATACCTTATCGCTTACTAAAACAGATTTACTTATTCAAGCACTCACGTAAGAAGGCAGTAAATGCCCAGAGTTAACGAATTCACCTCATCCTATAAACTCTTCGCACATTACATACAGCACTGAAACTTTCAACGCGTCTTCGCCATTCAGAAAACTGTAACCCCCTTACCTCTGACAAAAGTCGTAAAAATTCTCCAAGCCACCCTGAATTTTCTATGAAAGGACATGAAAGTTTGATGGCGGAAGCCTTCGATCCGCGCACAACGCCAGGTGTATGCGATTAAATGCCGAAAACGCAGCGAGCACTTGCCAAAACGCGCAGAGCTCTTACGGGTCTGTACTTGGCTTGCGTTTCCATTTGTGTTTTGCGCGGTAATGTTTAACCCGTCAGCTCCTCTTTTTTTCGTTGCCTCGCTCGCCAACGAGTCTTATCTTTTTGCCGCGTCTTAGGTCTTTCATGAATGCTGCTAGGGTAATACCCTTGAAAAGCCATACTCCTTTGATAAAGTTGAATGTGCTCTTATTAGCAATCATACTTTAGCGAACAATGATTTTTTTAGCTACGCGAAATAACGATTTGTTTTTATTTATTTTTTTTTTAAGTTTTATCGTGTCGAAGAAACGATAGTTGAGTTTTTATATATAAAATTAATTGTTTGAAAATCGATATCCAATATAGGCCGCAGCATTTATTCGTGGAAATAAATAGCATTTGATTGAAACTATCTATCAGAATAATAAAAAGTACAGAAAGTTGATTTTTAGTTTCATACAATGAATTCCGTTAATATCATTTATTACGGTCACGCGTACTACTCGTGTCGGTAGTTCGCATTGGTATCTTTGGTTGTCGTCATAAAGGAGCTACATAAAGTATAAAATGATGTTTCCTTGACAAATATAAATGGTCATACAGTAAAGATAACAATTAAAACAATTTTTAATGTTGAATTTTTAATATCTTAAGAATACGTAATAACGTCATTTACCATCTCTTTTTATCTCACAGTGAAAATAAGAATGTGAATTCTAATGACTGAAAAAGTTCAATTTAAATGCTATTAAAATTACTTTTTTTTGTACTTCGCCAAATGCTATTTAGCTTGCAAGGCTCCTAATGCGCGCATTGAGCGAACATGGTCAGTGTGCATGCTCTCCAACATTTAACGTGCAGGAAGAAGTTTTAAATCCTCAGGAAACAAGCAGTGCAGATGCTTTCGCGAAAAGGCGACTGCATTAAGCTTAATAATTTATCGACGGATCTGTGCATTCACGTCTGTGCAGACTCTAGTCGGAACCTACTTTCCCATCAATTTGTTCGTATTATCGTAATTATTTTTGCTCCATCATTGGAAATTCGCTGTGATTTCCCGTGCAACTCGATAGACTGAACTAATTTTTGGCTTTGTTCGAGTGTCACGTTCATCAAGCGGCTGATTAATAAATCGAATCACCTACTTCGACAAAATAGTACACTTCGTTAGAAGCGGGATTATTGAAGTTTACGACGAGGATTTTACCTAACTATGACTAACGACTTTTAATAAGAAACAATTAGCTTACGATAAGAAAGGCTATTAATCTCCATTTGAAAGCAACATTCAGCGTCGAGATTTTTCACTTGAGAATTCTTCACGGCCGAAAGAAAAAGCCCAATTTTTGAAGAAGCAATGACGCCAAGTGCATTTCAAATCCACTGGCGATACTGCAGTTCAAAGGTAGCTTGCCAAGCTTCCCATTGTAGAAAGTGTACAACGCAAAGCCGAAAAATCCACATGTCACGGGCAGTTTTCCTGGCCAATCGCTGTACGTACGCGCAGCGATGTCTGTTTGCAAACACATTTTAATGCCCCTTAGCGAACGAAAGAGCACTCGCGCGCGCCGCGAAAGCTGCAGCAATCTAGCCGACGCCGCTGCTCTGAAGCACTGGAGGAGGCTTTTAGCGCGCGTACATACTGCATCATAATGTAGATTTAATGCGAAGTCGATGGGACAAGACTATACAAGAGCCCTATACGATTCTCGGAGGCACGCTACCATGCTGCCCAAATGAAGCCAATGTTAAGTGACAAGTTTCGCGATGTATCTTCACCATACACCAGCGTAGGCGCACATATACATATACAGACGCGTGTTGCTGGTACCTTCAACCGGAGCAAGGGACGTGCATTGCAAGGTCGTTTTACTGACAAAAGTACAAGCAAATTTTTATGGCTTCCAATTGCCGAACGGCTATATACGAATGTTCAAGTTACCAGTGATACAAGTACTTATTGTATTTTTCTACTTGGATATTCTGTATTCTGTATTGAGTTTCTTTCTAAATCAAATAATTACAAGTTGATGTTCCGTTCATTATCGGAAATGCAAATATCGTAACAACTGTAGATGTCAGTATCATTGAAAAAACTTATTTCAACACAAACAGAAAAGTTAAGATCAAATTTTAAGGTCGTGTGACGCTACTTTCCGAAATTTCAACTCGAAGAAACTTAACATACAAGCATCATGTTATTCACGTCAACTTTTTCACGCCCACTTATTAAAAGAAAAAAAAAGAACCTCTCCTTTTCTACCTATTTTACAGTTTCGCGCGCAAGACACTTATCACGAGATGGCACAATCCGTGACCGTGGTTCGCGCAATATAAACGCAAGAAAAAAGAGCGCAGCATAAGCGTGCGTCGGTCATAAATTCGCACGCACATTCTTCGCTGCCACGCTCGCGCAATTTAAAAAAAAAAAACGGAGGGTGGCGTTATGATAAAGTAGTTAGGAATGCAATTTGGTCGTTTGTTGTTTCGCGCGCACATTGTCGTCGTCGGCGTTCGATAGCATGAAATATGAATAAACGGTCATTGTCCGGGGAGGGGGGTGGTGCAGAAACACCAGGCTCACGATGACGAATTCGCAGCCATAGATCGTATACTATTGGTTGTTTGTCAATGTTGTTCTGGACGTCGATGAAAATTGAATAGGAAGGAGAGAAAAATTATTACCCCGCGTGACAAGCCACGGGCGGCGCGAAGAGGAGAGCACGTTATCGATCAGCGCGGCCCACCGAAAGTGCGCGCGGTATAAATGCCAAGGTGGCGTGATTCGGCATCCCTCGGATATTGCCGACTTATGAAGATGGACTGCAGCTGTCGGTGATGCTCATAAATGCGCGTCTCTATGAAAAAAGCGAGACAGAACAAAATACCCGCGCGTCAATCATGCGCACGGCGTGCCCGCTGGCGTTATTGCATTTCAACGTACAGGACAATTGTTCGTCGAATTTCCCGGCGCACTCGCATCGAACAAATGAAATGCGCTGCTTCGGTCTAAATTACGGCAACGAGGGCTCGCCTAATAATACAAGCGCGTATTAACAAAATATACATTTACAAGTGCAACATCTCCTAGCTTACACTGGTCGAGTGATAAAATCTGTGCGCACCGTTTATGCGTGATTCATAAGAATTAACCGCAGCCGAACGTGGCAATGCATATAACAATATTAGAAACCTCACCGTCGTTGCCGCCACATCAAATGAAAGCTAGCTTTTACTAATTTGCGACGAAAAAGCAACGAAATGAGCAGAGTAAAAGTTTTCACCCGATGTAGAAGTTAAAACGGGCGCGGGTCGAGCGTTCAATAATAAATAAAGCGAATTTGCGGCTTTGACGAAGTTGTCGCGCTCTTCGCGAAAAAGGAAAAGCTCGCGACGCGACGAGGGAAGGAGAGAGATAAACTAAAACAGAAAACACATTGAGCGCTCGCGAGAAGCTGTAAAGGGACCTTCCATAGCAAGTTGACTCGCTTAACTCGGGAGAAAATTTAATTACAGCTAAAGTTGCTGGCGAACTTCTCGGCGTAAGAGAGCTTCTTTGAGCAAGGCTCACGGTTATCTTCTCGGCAACTCTTCGATAGCAACTCGTCCACGCAGTTTGCAAATGACTCTACCAAGTCGCTGCACTGCATTGTTTTGCCTTCATTCTTTGCCAGACATGACAACACCTTATGCACAAACGTCCGTTAGCTTTAAATTCGAGAAACAAAAGCTAGGAATTTTCTTTTGGATTCCTACTCGTTTTCGGTGTTCCGGGCAGGGAAGAGGTGTACCACCAACTGCAAAATCCTCGAGCTTTCTTAACGTGGGTTCAGCTTCCTGAATGCAGAGTTTCTTCTTGAGCGTATGTTCCTCGTCGAGTTTCGCTAGCTTTTTAATCCAATTGTTTTCGTACTTTGCGATGCGCTCCTCGCTTATTTTACCTGCGTTGGTAATGATTTTGTAAATTTCATTGAATTAGAATAAAAATCACATCAATTATAAAAACGCTCGATTATATTCCAAATCCTTCGTAACACCAATATCTGATACATACCAGTTATCAGCCTTTCCCATAATTCTTTGCCCACGTTTATTCCTGGGCCCGGTGAAAACGATTCACATACGTCATGACCCATTTTCCGTTTTAGTTTTGTAACTTTAAATTTTTAGTAGATGAGAAAGGTGAAAAAAAGATACGAAAATTTTGATCAAAAAACACATAATTAACCTGATCGAGTTGACAACTGTCAAAATTTTACAGTGAAACAAAAAACTACTTTATTCATTTTACAAACTTTTTATTCATAAATTTTGTTGCCCCTATTTCATAGACATTTATCATAATTAAGTGAATTTTATATGGAAATCTATCGTGAGCATTTTCGGTATATTTTGGATTCAATTCCTTTAATCAACCTGCGTGTCCGAAATCCCAATAATGTTCTCCGTAATCACCATTTTTATTTCCCCATCTCATCTATAAAAAAAGTTGTTTTTAAATAACTAATGCTTGAAATCAAACACTCTTTCAAGCTTATTAAGTTATACCTTTCCTTGATGATGATTTTCAACAAAATCTCTCTGCTCGAATCGTTGTTCCCATTCATTGGGATTTTCACAAACGTGTCCAAATTGAATGCTCATCGGATCGGGTTGCTCAAAAAATATATCACTATGATTATAAATTTCAATCTACAGATTACGTTAAACTCTAACAATTATAGCAAATTTTATGGCTTACCGGAAAAATTGACTTTTTTGTATGATTTTAATCAAGTCATTTCGAGAAACCTCGGGCGCTTCTTTATTTTCGACAACTGACATATCTTTACAGTGTAATTAAACATTTTGTAATTTCATTTATTTTAAAACCTGTATTTCTTACTCATTACGTGTAATCTACATAATAATAGCAACGTTTTTAAAGAACTATTTGTACCTGGTATTTCATCATCTTTGGAGGAAATATCTAACGTTTCACCGTCGTCTTTTGATGGAATGCTAGCACCGTGAATAAACGAAGCCATACTACTTATTGTTAAATAATAGTATAAAAAATGCATAGTGCAATATGGAACTTTATAAAGGCTGGTCTTGTTTATTCCTGAGAGTGAGATTAGATACTAACTACGTAGAATAAGCCGTCTAAGGTTTTTTATCTATACTACGCTTCATTGAACACTCTCATGTGAAAGTGATTCGACGCAACAAAAAATCTTACTTCTATTTTTGACCTCCTTTCATTCAAATGAATTATTTAGCCATTATACAGTAATATTGTAGTATGGAACATTCTTTATTGGTAACAAGCATAAATTCTTTGACAACCACAAATTATCATACAAAATGATTTCTACAATAAGAATATCAAATAAATTATCTATGAGTGGTATAATACACAGTGAAATAAAACTAAAACTAACAGACGTCGCATCAATGAAGACTTAAATATAATTTTGTGCGTAATATTCAAGGAGAAGACGCAATAAAAATGATTGGAAAATTATCTGGCTAACTAATTTAAGAGGCATAGTTTTGCCTGGCACATTTAAGTATAGATTGTACTAGTTTTATAAAACCGGTGTCTTTAGGTTTCTCCAAACCTCGAAGCGCACGATTTTTCATTACAGCAACAAATTCCCGATTACTAAGCTGTCCATCCACTAAAATTCAAAAATTTAGGCTTTAATTTCTGTAATAGTTTTAAAAATTTTCTATGATTCTTCTCAAATGATACTTACTGTTTTCATCAAATATGGTATAAACTACTTTTATTAGATGGTCACTCAAGTCAACGTGCGATACAGTTTTCGCCACATGTTTCAATGTTGCTATAAATATTGTTGAGCGTTATAACTTGTAATAAAATCAAGTTAATGATGGATATGATTATTGATAATTACCAGGGTCTATCGATGCTCCAGCTATATGATAAAATGTCAAAGCAGTATCAACATCATTTATATTACTTAAAAAGTGGAAAAACTTCAGATAATCATCTTCATGAATCCCTTGTGAACAATCTTTAAATCTAGAAATATATAATATTATTTTATAATCATCTTAACAAAAACAAGAATTAATGCTTACATTAATTATTTATTTAATTAATGTTGAAATAGAAACTAACGTTTTTTTTACTCTTTTTACAACGCGAGTCTTTTTCTTTTCAGAAAATTGAGCATAGGCCAATATAAGCTCGGTGAAAGCAACTTCAGAAATGAATCCATTCTCATCAGGTTCTTTACGCTTGAACTGACAATAACAAGTAGTTAAATTCCAATCTCGCATTCAAATATATACGAGCTCAAAATATTTTTACCTCTAGACTTAAAATTTCTTTTTGCAACAATTCTTGAAATTCCAAAAATTTCTCAATTTTTAGTTTTTTCTTCAAGTCAGGCCCGAAAAAGTAAGTCATTAAAGCCGAATTGACACCCTGAAATACGTTTTATATTTGCGATCATTATATTTAACGCAGTCAGTTCCGAACCTTAAATGTATTTCCAGTGTTAGCGTGATCTCGATGTCGGTTCCCTATGCTACTTTGTTGGCGAATTAAAGTAGCAACTTTATTAAACTCTTCATAGTCTACGTCTCCATCACCGTTCACATCAAACATTCTGAATGCTATTTCAAAATGACGTCGAGAAGCTACAACAAACCAATACCATTAATTTTCATACCGAAATAACTTACAAACTTAGATAATAATTTATCTTACTTGATAAGACAGTAAGCAAAAATATATAATCAGAGAAAGTAATTAATCCGTAACTTCCCAATTTGTAGAATATACTGTTTTGATCTAATTCCAATTCTAATTTCGTATGAACAGTCTAAAATATTGAACGTCATAAATTATTCAGAAACAAATCTTCAGAGATATTTTCAAAAATATTTTATTCATTCTACCTTAGGATCATATCGTTTGTACTTATCCAATCCCAGGCCTAAAAAATATTGTAATTAATGTGAAAAAAGAAATTTTTCAAATTTGAAACAGTAGATGTAACTGCATTCTTAAAAATAGTACTATTGCAAAAGCAAAAGTAACTTCAAAGCTGATTTACAAGGTAACTCATGCATATTAGCTAATTTAATTGATAAGCATTAATTACCAATGTACAGTTTCAAGCAAATTAAATCAACCATACTTAACATGCAACAAAACAAGCAATCAAAATACATTCTAAATTTAGAAAAGAATAATTTTTACACATAGCAAAATATAATTGTTCTATTTTAAAAAATCTAAATAAAAATAAATCTACTTAAAAGTCATCAAGAAAATTCATTAATTGATGCTTAGAAAAATTACCCTCTGGTTGCAAGACACCAGGTGTCAGTGACCTTAAGAAATCATCTGGAGTCATCAACACCTCGTGTGAACCATTGTTTGGATTTATTACTTCTAGCGTTGCAAAATATCGAAAGACTTTGTCTGGTGTAGAAAACTGCCTTATGCGGTTCTCATATTCAACAATCTGTATATTAAGATTTATCAAATTACCAATTCCTATTTTTCATGATAAAATTTATTGATGATTTAACAAAGATATTTTTAATAATCTTTCACCACTTCAAATGTTGTTTTAATTTAATGTATGTTCCCATTAGGTAAAGTTTGAAATTTTGCAACTATACAGAAAATAAATATAGATAGATATATAGGGTGGTCTTCATATAACTTAGAGAAATAAAATGAGTTTGAAAAAAAAAACAAAATAGCAGTAGTGCAAAAACAAAATAATGTAAATATGTTTTGTGTTATACTATACTGAAATCCAATGAAATTTATTTAACAGTTTTAGTGTAGCCAATACCCAATTTCAATATAGTATTGAAAATAATGTTAGTGTTAAGTATAGAAAGAAAAGTAAAATAAAACAGAAATACGAAAACCTAATTAGAATAGATTGAAGACAACCCATGATCACCAATGTTATCGAAGATAGCGCAATGAATTCTGTTATTCACAGTGCAGATTCTCATAAAGCACATGTCATGTTTAACAAACTTTACCCTCTGGCTGTTGCATGCCTGGCGTTATAGCCCTTAAAAAATCATCAGGTGTCATGTACGTCTCTGTAACATCCTGACTAATGACTCTTATCGTGGCAAAATAACGAAAAATTTTATCTGGAGTTGAGTACACTCGTAGCCTATTTTCATACTCTATTATCTGCAAGAAGTCTCCAAGTATTGAGTTAAAATTATTATCCTAATTCAATGAGTATTTTATATTAAGACTTTTTTTTCCAATTTTATTAAAACTCAAAAACTCTATAATTTTAGAAGTGCTAAAATAATTTGTCATGTAGATGTAATGAACTTAAATTTTTAATAAAATATATACATATTTGAAACAAAATGAACTAGATTTTGTATGCATATTTAAACCTTTCTATCTCGAAATCCAATTTTTTCTTTTTTCTTTTTCTTCTTCTGATCATCTCCATCATCTAACTCCTCTGGATCACTATCTTCATGATTGTCAATTTGTTGAATTTTTGCAGCAGCTTCAACACTTGGAAACAAGAATCTTTTTACGCTATTAAATAACATTACTCATTTACTTTTATAATTTGATCAAAATAAAATTCATATACTATGTAAATGGTTTTCCAATTACCTGTTCCAGTTGAAAAATGATAAGACAGTAATAGTCATTATAGTTGTATAGAACCTTACTGTCCAAGGTTGTAATTTTTGCTTTTTGTGTCCAAAATTTTTGAAGTTTCGATATTGCTCATAATTATTGTGAGAATTAGTATTAGTTATAGATAATATTCTGACTGTGTTAAGTCTTTGCTTGAAGAGTATATTATGTGCAAATCTGCTTAAAGACATCTTAGGAAAGCTCAGGGTGGAAAAGCCTGTGATGTTTACAAATAGTCAGAATAAATATATTCCATATGAATCTTGCAGTTACAATTATTATTAAATTGTATTATAAGAAAAGTAAGTAAGAACATTCTATGAGATGCAAGATCTAAGCTGTTCTAAATATATAATATATAAAAATAGAATATTTATACTAAATATAGCAATTTGATATAAAAATATTGATAGACATCCACAAAATAGTAATATATGCATTTTATGACCAATAATAACCTGTAACTCTACACAAAATTGATAAAAATAGTAAAAACTTGTACAATATTCTTAAGTTTATTATAAATAATCATTGACTTACAGTGTATGCATAAGAAAGAATAAAAATTATCACATAAACTTTTGTTATTGAGAATTTATCAGTCGAATTATTACATCGAAAGTACAATTCTTGCGCACAGCAACGGAATACTACGAGAATCGAAACACCTCCCTACCACAAACCAGCAGACGATATTATATAGTTAGCTAAAAATGGCGCATTCCTCAATTCAGTACATATTTACACGTTTATCCTGTAGCTTGGAAGTTCACAAGAACTTGTAAATTCTCAAAAATAAACCGATATTTATAGATTCTTTATTTTTTCCTATAGTTATAACTTTTTACTTTGCCAGACAATAACACTTTCCAACTAACAGCTATGATGCTCTTTAATCAATGTATTATATTTGTTACACATAAAAAATTAAATGAAAATGTGTTATAAAATTAATTACATTTTTGAAAATAATAGAGAAACTGAAGTTTACTAAGAAATATTTTATTTGTATAAAATCCTAGTAAATTTGTACATTATTTACATATGATAATTAAATGATAGCTTATAGGTCAATTAAGAAAAAAATATAACTATGCATCCCAGTTTTCTTCTGTTTGATTTATGTTATTAGTTTCATTGGGTGTGCTTTCATATGTATCATCTGCTCTCGGTTTGAGTGTCCATAAACCATTCCTAATGAACCTTTCTGCAACACCCTTATTCAATCTTGGCATTATTGTGTTCCTATCATGAATCTGTTTAGCTCTTGCCATAGATTGTTTCAATCGATCGTTTTCTACTTTAATTTGATGTTTTGTTGGATCTATGCCTAAATATAATATTTGTCTTTCATCAATCAGACTTTATAAAAAAAATCAATAAATTGCAATGAATACCTTCTGCTCTTAAATACATCCAGAATAAACCATTCAAAGTAAAAGACATGAGTAGATTGAATTTTATTTTTTCAGCATTTGTCAGTTGATCATAAAATTCTGGATTCTGTGCAAATTTCAAAACTTCTTGTATCTGATCAACAGACTCTGCAAACTTAGATAATCGAGAGCACATATCTTCATCATTCGATAACTCCTTAAAATCCAACTCCATGTTGATGCTGAAAATAAATTATTTCTCAATTAAATTAAGAAATTTTAATATAAAATATATTAATCCATTAATACCAGTCAAATTATAACACAACATAAATACATATATTATTAAAATAATATAATACGATTTCTCTTCATAGAATAGAAATTGTATTATATTTGAAAAAATTTGGCCTATAAATTATCATGTTTGTTGATAGCAATAAAGATTATTTTCAATATATCCAAAATAATAAAAATAGAATTTTTGAATCTTTTTAATTTTATAATAATAATATTATGAAATATTGAAATCAATTCATGGCCTGAAATTGCACTATAAAGTTTGCATTCTATACAAAATGTAACAAATATAAAAAACTTCGTAATTATTAAAATATTAGTTATACAGTACCTGGCGTCAATCTAATTTAATAAAAATAAACTTATTAATTAATTCATAATCTAATCAAATGTCTACACACACGACACATCATACACAAGAAAAGAATGCAAAACAATTATCAACTATAAGTATAACCTAAAAAGTCGATATGAATAAAATAAACCTGACATTTTTTAAGCGCGCATGCGCGTTCGTCAGTGACGACATAACAACTGCTGCACTCTGCAGTAGGGGAACTGGGAAAGTGGGAAGGCGCTTTCAAGTTCGTAATTTTGTACGTGTGTGGCGTATGCTCGCACAGGTTTTTAACGTCATAACATAGGCGATAATTTTTTTAATACCACCGCCCAATCAACATGCTATTTTGTCAAGTGAACTTTTAATAAATTTTAATATAAATATTTTAATTATTAATAAATTTTATATTCTACGAGAGCAAGATGAATGTAATAACAGCTGTAAAATATTATGTTGCCAAAATGACAGAGGAAAGTGGTCCAGGAATGAAAGTTCTGTTAATGGATAAACAAACGGTATTTGCTATTAATTTTTTATTTAAAATGTGCTGAACTTTTCATTTTTGTTGGTTCTGAATAGAAAAATAGTCATAATTCAATATTTTGTTTTCATGTTGCTATTATGAAATCTTGTATCCACTTTAATATACTGTAATTAATTGATTTTTACTATTTCGGAAATTATTGATCATCCAACATTCTTTTACAGACCAGCATTATCAGTTTAGTTTACAGCCAATCAGAAATATTGATGAAAGAAGTTTATCTTTTTGACCGTATTGATGCCTCTGTTCGAAGTGAAGGCTTAAAACATTTAAAATGTATTGTTTTTATAAGGCCAACAGAAGAGAATGTTAGACTTCTATGCAATGAACTCAGATACCCAAAATATGGAGTGTATTATATTTGTAAGATCATATTTGTACTATATTTATTTATCCATACATTATATCACAATTTCTTTTTGCTTAAAGTGTTAATTACGTGTCTCTTTCAATTAAAGATTTTAGTAATATCATACCTAAAACCGATATAAAATTACTCGCTGAGAATGATGAACAAGAAGTAGTTAGAGAAGTACATGAATTTTATGCCGATTATTTAGCTATAAGTCCACATTTATTTTCTCTTGGAATTAGCACATGTTCTAGAGGTACTTAAAAATTATTTTCACAGTACACTATTCTTACTTGAATTATCAGAAATAATATAACAATACTTAATAATTCCTTCTAGGACTCAATTGGGATCCAGTGCATTTGCAAAGGACTGTTCAAGGCATAACAGCAGTGTTATTATCTTTGAAAAAATGTCCACTCATTCGTTATCAAAGTAATTCTGACATGTGCAAACATTTAGCTGAAAAAATTCGTTATGTTTTAACACAAGAATCAAGTTCCTTTGAGTTTAGACAAGAATCAAGTCCAATTTTATTATTACTTGATAGAAGAGATGATCCAGTAACACCACTACTCAATCAGTGGACTTACCAGGCAATGGTGCATGAATTATTAACTATAAATAATAATAGAGTGGATTTATCAAATGTTAAAGGTATATCAAAGGAATTGAAAGAAGTTGTACTTAGTGCAGAACATGATGAATTCTATGCAAATGTAACTTGAACTAATACCTTTGTTGATATAATATTTATTACTTAAAAATCTTAAATATTCTCTGATTTTGCTAATATTTTTAGAACTTACATCTTAATTTTGGAGAAATTGGTCAAGTAATAAAAGAATTGATGGAAGATTTTCAAAAAAAGGCTAAGAAACATCAAAAAGTTGAAAGTATAACTGACATGAAAAATTTTGTTGAAACATATCCATTATTCAAGAAAATGTCTGGCACGGTTGCCAAACATGTAACAGTTGTTGGTGAACTATCTAATATGGTTGGAAACAATAACTTACTTGAAGTATCTGAACTAGAACAAGAACTTAGTTGCCAAAATGATCACTCTAATCAAGTAACATCTGTTCCTAATATTTTAAAATAAAAAGTTGACATTAAAATACAATATAACTATGAAAATTTTCATTGAATTGCTTAAAAGAAGTTTATTTATCTTGTTACAGCTTCAGAAAATTAAAAAACTCATCAATGATAGTCGGGTGCGAGATATTGATGCAACTCGCCTCGTTACGCTTTATGCATTACACTATACAAAACATACTAATAATGACGTTGCTGCTTTATGTGCAATGTTGAAAAAACGAAATGTCCCTGAAAAATATGTGAAGGTAATAATATTTTGATTGTAATGAATTACTCCTAGTTTACCTTACTTAAAAATAATGCATCAGAAAGATGATCATTCATTCATATTATTATATTACAGCTTGTATATAGTATATTAGATTACAGCGGTATCTCTACAAAACAAATAAACTTATTTGACAAAGAGGCGGTTGCAAAGATAACTAAAAAATTGTTTAAAGGATTAAATGGAGTTGACAATATTTATACGCAACATACGCCATTGTTAGCCGAAACTGTTGAAGATCTTATTAAAGGCAAATTAAACATTCAAACCTTCCCCTATTTAGGAAATATAGTACTAACAAAAAAGTAAATTTTTTACGTTTCTAGATACGTTTATTATCATCTAATGCATGTAATAACAATCATAAATATTTCTACAGACCTCAAGATATCATTCTCTTCATGATTGGTGGAGCAACTTATGAAGAAAGTCTTTCAATTTACAACTTAAACAAGCAGAATCCCGGAACAAGAATAATATTAGGCGGTACAACTATTCATAACTTTGAAAGTTTTTGCGAAGAAATCCAGTCGGCAATGGTAGGCGTGATCGCAAGGTATCGACCTAAGAGCATACGAGAACGAAACGAGCGCGACCATGATTAAAATAACAATTTATTGCTTTTTGTGTATATGTCTAAAAAATAATTATTTTAACATTGTGCAATCATTCCAAACACATATGTACATAAAAAATGGCTCCCTGAGCACATAAAAAGTCACTATAATAAATGTTCGAACAAATCTACATACTATTAAAATGAACAGTATTTTTATTAAGGGTATGAAACACAGAATTTGTGCTTGCAAATCATCTATTCCTCATTTTCTTCATCATTATATATGAAATTCATAGGATCTGATGACTCATAATCATTATCTTGAACCTGTAACAAACAAATAAATAACACATTTAGAGTTTTATTAATTTAAAAATAACAAATATTAATATTATTTTGCAATTTAGAATGCATCTTTAACATTCGCTACAACTAACAGAAATAAATTAAAACACATGGCTTGAAACTTCATTTATTCTCAATATTGGGACTATTGTTAAAGAAATTCAAAACATCACAAACACGAAGCTTTTCAATTCTTAGTTTGCACAGATAATTAATGTGATCAAATAAATCACATTTTCAGTCAAGTTTATTTTTATACTCACGTTTACGTTCACCTTTTTGAAGCCTAAGAAATTTTCTTCTGCTTATTAAATAGATTAGTACCTATAATTACAAACTATTGTTTTATGAGCTTTAATGAGCATCTCTCATGAAAATGGAAGTTTTAATGATTTATGCTTTACTTTATCGTGAAAGTGGCATGAATAAGTTTTTAAAAAAATTTATCTCTGCTTCAAAATATTTGAAAAATATTAAATACTTTGAATTTTTGAAAATATTTTGTTTAAAAAAGTATACATATTCAACTGTTAGAACAAGTCAATCATATAAAAAATATCACTCTCTATTACCTGTACAATGCCTGTTGAAAATGCATAAGTCATCATAGCAACTGCTGCAAACATTCCAGCTAAAATTTGATTTCTTCTTTTATTAGGAAAGTCTTCAAGTGAGTTAGATTTTGTTTTCTTTTCTTGCTCTTTTGACTTTGTCTTTTCATATTCCTGATAATCATCTTCAAAATACTTTTGTGAAATTCTAGTAATAAACTTGACTAAATTTGGGCAAGCTTTCAAATGATTTTGTAAAGCACAATTTGGCAGTGGTATTTTGAGTAGAGGAGCAAGATAGGAGAACACTAATACATCAAATGTTGTTGGAGTTGAACCAAAAAAGAATTCGGATTCCCCAAGTCTTGTGGATAAAGTGTTGATACATTTTTGAGCTTTTGAATATACCTAAAAAAATTAGAAATAGAAGTTTAATCTTATTTTGTTATATAAAAATTTTATGAACTTGTAAAATATAAACAATAATATTTACGGAAGCCTCTGCTGCTTTGTCATCTTTTGTAGGATACAATGCTTCTATCATTGACTTAGCATATTTTTCATATTTTCCTGGATAATAAAAGTTCAATGGAAAGGGTAAGGCCTTAGCATACCAAGGCCTTATAACTTGATTTAAATTAAGTTGATCAATCCAGCTGAAAATCAAAGCTATGATATTAACTAAGCATTTTTACAACCTTCAACAATAATAACATAAATTTGTATCATTAAAATAAAAAAATAATTTATATAATAATAAATGAATCAAACTCAATGTTGAAAAAATATATAATAAATCGAATAAACCATTACCACATTTGCTGGATAGCTGGTTCTATGCACTCATCAAGCATAGTATTGAAAGCTGATGCTTCTGCATTTTGTATTCGAGTTATACCATTATCTAGAGTGTATTTATGTTCTTGGAAAACTTCTAATATCTTATCTACTGTATAAAACTTATTATTCATATATCTTAGAATAGGTAGCTTCCCATTTGGCGATTTAAATGGATTGTTCGTTGCCTTTACATTTAATGGAATATTACTGAATTTGGCATATGTCTGAAAAAACCATTCAAAGAAATAATTGTATGATACTTGAAATATTTACATTTTGTGTTTTACTATACTTGCATATTTGCATTCTGTTCATTTTTCTGATAACTTTTAGTAAATAGTTACACCAATCAATATATCTTACAGTCAAACTTAACCTTTATATCACACCAACTACTTACCAAAACCTTCAAACAATCGACATCAACTGATGGCAATCCCCAGTCACCTTTCCAAATTTCCAATTGAAAACTGTCATTCGAAGTCATTTTTGCAAAATTTGCCTTTGTAAGTTAAAACAAAGCGATTCTTTAAAATGTCAGCCATCGGCATACAATCATCCTTTTCACACTTTCCAAGCGCGCGCGCACGACGATCTTGCTCACATTTTGATTTGATCTGAACATTCTGAACGCGTGCGCAAACCGTATAAGTTATTATAGATTCCTATGAAGAGCCTAGAACCTATTGCAAGATCAATTTTGTAGCAGCAAGCGAGTAAAAATAATTGTAATTTAAAATTTTTTATAACTACAAAGTGATAGTTTTGAATTTGATCAAGCAACATGTCAAAATTGTAATAAAAAATTTGTATTACATATAGTTACAATATGAAGCGGTAATTTTCAGCTTGTGTCAAAATAATTGCCGCTTCGTAACTTTAATAAAAAATTTTCGATTGCAATTTTGACATTTTAGCTGATCAAGTTCGAAATTATCTCTGCGACTCAAATTTCATAGATATAAAATTATAATAAAAATGGTGACATAATTTTCTAGAATTTTTTTGTTAATTTTTTTAATATATAATTTTTTTATATAAAAGATATAAAATTTCTTGTAAAATGAATTTGATCAATTCGTTATTTAGTATAACTGATTCAACTTTCTTAAATATATATTTATGATAAAAGAATTTAGTAAAACATTCATAAAATAAATAATGTAGATTTTATCAATCAACATGTACTATCTAAGGTTTAGCCAAACCATTAGAGGGAAAATGATGGAGAAATGGACTTTTGTTAGCTGTTTATATTTGTACATACAAGCAAAATAGCAAATTCAAAAGTAGAGCTGGCTTAAGTCAAGTATTTTGGCGGTGCAGTCGTGAGACTTGTGAGGCCCTCGCCACATATGCGCATACGCGCGCGTACACCCAACGTGGATTGAATCGCGACCCCCCCCAGTTAGGTTGGTATGAGAATTCCGTCGTTGCATCGGAACGAAGAAACCGCGGGAAAATTCAAAAATGAAAATTCGTTTTAAGATACGATAAAAAGCTAAAACGTTACTAATTTGTTTTTAGATTTAAAATTAATTGTTTGCCGAACAATGAATTTAGATGCATGATTATTTGATTTTAGGTTTTAATTATATAATTTAAGAACGAGCGTTATACTATGGCCGATCTGAAAACCACCGTTACCGACTGAAAGTAGCAGTCAAAATCAAAGCTCGAATAGCAGACCTGAAAAAGCCTGTTTACACGTGTATATGTCTATTTTAAATGTTTCTTCCGAGTTTCTTATGCTTTTACCTGCTTTTGCTTCAGCAAGGATTTATCGTTATGCTGGCATTTAGATAAGTTATTATTTATTTATTTATTTACTATCTACAATAGAATTTTCCCGCGGTTTCTTCGTTCCGATGCAACGACAGAATTCTCATACCAACCTAACTGGGGGGGTCGCGATTCAATCCACGTTGGGTGTACATACAAACGCGTACAAATCGCTAAAAATTTTGATAGTGCCAACAACAGAAAGTTACTGCTATTCCTCGCATGCCCCAAACGAACACACTTACTCCCGGAACAAACGTATCATAACACCGATGCGAAAACAGCTCGACACATATAACATTTTATAAAAAAAAATGATCACATCTCACGTATGTCTAATTGTACTTCTCGAAAAAATAATTATTTGTTATTGTACCATTATATTTCTCAGAAAAAATAAAAAATATCGTTATCGATAATTCACCTCCTATTTATTCACATAAAAGACATAATTAAGCAAAAATAAATTCACAGAAAAATTGTACCTTCTGTAGTCTAAATTGTACCATCAGTACAATTCTATAAATTTGTTTCTAAAAGAAATAATAGGACAATTAAAAATTACCACTATAATTGTTACAACTTACAAGGATGTCATCCGGAAATGCACTTTGCGCAGGCGTAGAGCTTTGTAATTGTTCTATTATTTCTTTTAGAAACAAATTTATAGAACTGTACTGATGGTACAATTTAGACTACAGAAGGTACAATTTTTCTGTGAATTTATTTTTGCTTAATTATGTCTTTTATGTGAATAAATAGGAGGTGAATTATCGATAACGATATTTTTTATTTTTTAGGAGAAATATAATGGTACAATAACAAATAATTATTTGTTCGAGAAGTACAATCATACATACGTGAGATGTGATCATTTTTTTTAATAAAATGTTATTTGTGTCGGGCTGTTTTTGCATTGGTATCATAACGCTATATTATTGAATGTTATAATATAGCGTTATGATACGTTTGTTCCGGGAGTAAGTGTGTTCGTTTGGGGCATGCGAGGAATAGCAGTAACTTTCTGTTGTTGGCACTATTAAAATTTTTAGCGATTTGTACGCGTTTGTAAGCCCTCGTATGCGCGCGTATGCGCATATGTGGCGAGGGCCTTAAGGCCCCAGGGGCCTATTCTGAAAAAAAATTTTAGCACGGGGCCTATTCTGAAAAAAAATTTTAGCACATGTCATAAACATTTATCACATCTAAAGTGATTAATTCTGTGATAATCTGAAGTGACAAACTGATTTACCACAAAATTTTTTTTTCAGAATAGGCCCCCCGGTCCCATAGGTATCGTACGGATACGGACGGATACGGACGCGAATCGCAACTCTAGTAACATCACTAAAAATATCTAGTTCAATTATTAGGTACCAACACTACCGGTAGTGAGCAAAAGTGACTGTTGTTTAAAACTGTAGCGCCGAACGTACACACATTTAATGAACGCCTATCTAACCTTTACATTATTGCAGTCTATAAGATGGCAAATGATAGAGAATTGATAAACTTTCAACTACAATTAGTGGAATTAGGCCTTAATATTATGGAAGTACTTGAATATGTGAGAAGAAGAAGAAAATATATATAAATGATATGTATTAATCATCCCAAAAACTTTTTTTACATTAGCATACTCATCAATAAGCAATATTCATGAAAATTTGAAAAGTAAATTGTAGACCTGACATTTGAACATTAAATGTGGTACGTTCGGCGCTACAGTTTTAAAGAAGAGTTACTTTTGCTCAGTACCGGTAGTATTGGTACTAAATAATCGAACTAGATATTTTTAGTGATGTTACTAGAGTTGCGATTCGCGTCCGTATCCGTCCGCATTCATAGGTAGCTATGGGACCGGGGTCTAAAACATATGAGGTTACGGTACGAAGACTGAACGGCGCCGGGACAAAACCGCGTCAATGCCGTTCTTTTTTCTCGGTTGATAAAGGTGTGACATCTTGCGGGGCGAAGGGGAACTACATTGTAATATCTTCGAACTAGATGGAATATAATCTAAATCGAACTTCACGGTAAGTTCGTTTGATTATACTATATAATATTTTGATTGAATAGAAAAACTGCGCGAAATTTTTGCTAATGATTGAACGGATTTATTTATCTAAAAACGTTATTGAAGCTCCACGCAGATACAGTTATTGATGATCTGTAAGTGATCAACTTTGATAATTTTTTTATCAATAAAAATGAAATTGCACGGAGTTAAAAGTAACTTTTGCTATCTTTGTTAACCACGCGTAGTTTTTCTATAATTTTTTCGGTCGATTTTCATTAACTTCCTGCTGAGTTCCTTTAGCCCATTTATGTCTATAATAAAAGCAATAATAATGCAAGACAAACATATTACCCTTTTAACTTAAGACTTGAATTTTACGATTTTTTAAATAATTCGTTATTTTGTATGTGTTGGTTATTAATTAATTCCTTATATATCCCAAAAAGTATTTGTTAACAATTGCATTAAATATTAAACTATTCTTGAACTGTTACAGTTTATATTGGAATAAAAATATATTTCATTGAAAATCAACCAATTTTTAAATTATTATCCAAAAATCTATCTATATAGAGTAAAAAACAAGCAATATAGAAACTCACAATTAATGCATTTTATCTTTCAAGTAAAATTTTATTTTTAATTCTACAGGGCATAGGAAAAAAACAATTAATGTTTGAAAAATAATCCATATTTGATTGTCAGTGTCTTCAAAAGACACATAAATACAGCATGTTATTTTTTATTATTTTTTTTATATCATATGTATTTCAAATGCTTATAGGTATTATAAGAATTTATAGAATAATTTTAGCTTTAAGATTTATCATCTTACTTCTTATTTATTTAAGGTAAAAGTTATAGCCAGCTACTAGTGACTCTACCATATTTTAATAATAATTATAGTTTTAAAAATAAATCATTATAAATTTTTTTTTGAATGATTTTTTATAGTTGATGAATTTAATCTTAATGATTTTTTTAGTCATTAGTCATGAAATATAAACACGAATCAGATAATCAAGAAAATAAGTTCTATGAAAGCGTTACTATATGAGACTTCTACCGTTAGGGGAATCACTTGGACTCTACATGTTCAACAAATCAAAACTTGAGCAACAGATGTTTTAGATATAAGCTATATAGGAATTATGACTGTGGCCTTAAGCAAGTATGAGGAACTCCTCCAACAATCTGGAGAAATCTTAGATAGTCGTATTAGTGAAGAAGCACTAGAAAAGTTAAAAGAAAAGTACAAGAATCATATACATTCAAAGCGTATTTTGAAAGACATTGCTAGTATCAGCAGTTTGTTGCAAGTGTTAAAAAAAAGAGGAATTTTACAATACAGTAATATTGATATTTTAAGATATATCAATAATGAATATGTAAGAGATGAATTAATTAAACAGCAAATACAAGATCTTATCACTAATTATTGTCAGTGGTTGCATGAAAATTCTAATTCTATAAACTTTTTGTATAATAGTGGTAAGTTAAAATTTTTGTTAATTAACTGAGAATTCACACAAAACTTTTTTAGAAATATTGAATCAAAAAGCGCATAATAGTACAGATACAAATTTACAAATTTCAATTATACATATAATCAAAAAAGTTTACTACAAAATGAATCTTTAACTAATGTTAGTATAACAAAAAATGAGAAAGATATTGATAGAAATAATTTTTATATAATTAATTTATGTCCACAAAAAATTAATAAAAATGTAGGTACAACTGTACTTATGATTCTTTTTTTATTAATACTCATTTTAATTGGCATTATTGGGATCTTAATAAAACTACCTTGGAAATCTGTAGCTGTTGTTTCAAAATATTCATCTATGCAAGAATCTTCAAGTCAATTACAATTAAACATACCATTTTCTATAAGTCACACACAAATTAACTCAACATCTATATCATCTGTTGATAGAGAAAGAGAACTCCAAAATATAGGTAAAACTACAATCTTAATTTTTATCTATTACGCATAAAATATTTGCATTCAATTTAAAACTTTAAAAGTTCCTCTTGTCTATATTTGTAAATATAAAGTCTATAGTTATATATTGCATTTTCCCTGTATAAATATGCCTAGGCAGGAGTGACTTTTTAGATAAAATAAATTTCTACTAAACAAATTCAACTAAGGTCTAATTTTTTTTTTTTCTAGTTGTAATAAAATTAAGCAAAAACATTGGAAATTATTGGAAAGACGTCTGCAGAAGCTTAAATATAGACGAAAATATTATTGATGAAATTAATATAGAATTTTCACAAGAACCACCAGGTCAAAAATATGAGAAAATGTTTAAAAGGGTAAGTTTATATTATATAGGCAAAATTTGTTAAATTTTTAATTTTATTAATTAAATTTCTATATCTTAGGGTATGATATTATATTTTTCGGAGTTTCGACCTCAGTGGAAAGCAGAACTATTAAAGGCTTTAAAAATCGCTAAACGAGTAGACTTACAGGAGAAAGTTCAAGAAATAATTATTCAGACCTCTAATTAGCAGAAAGTTTTTAGCAGAAAGTTTTTAACAGAAATTTTTTTTCTAATTTGATAATTAACTATCAAATATTTTTTTATTTAATTAGGTTATAATACGTTATCAATACAAAAACTGAAATTTATTTTGTACAAAGATGTGTATTTATTCGCAATTCTTTAAAATATACCTTACATAAAAAACTGAATTACACAAATTTTATGAAAATGATGTACAGTAAATCTAATCATTAATATATCATGCGAATAACGACAATATGAGAAGATTGCTGTATCTCTTTAATTTATTTAAACTGTCATAAGATTATAAACCTTCGATTTTAATAATTTTAGATATGAGGTAAAGTTGACTATACAACAATCTACTCATATTTCACCAAACATTCTCATTTATGCCGTACATATTACATATATTTCTTCATTTATATTAAATTATCATTTTTTAATTATTTTTAATATTTTGTTTTTTTTAATAAACATTATTTGACACTTTTTCAAAAAGTTCTGTTGGTAACGATAGAAAAAGATTCCACTCTGGTTTGAAATTTTTAGCTGTCAGTATCTGATTCCAGCCAGTAACTGAATTTTATTTGTTGATCACCAATGTAAATGGTATATGTGGTGACGTCACTCTCACCTTAGACATAATAAATTATTTTAGTTTTACTTCCAACCTTCACCATAGTATCTCTATGGGCTTGATATTCTATCTTATCTTTCTGAGTAATCCTTAACCGATCCTTTAATTTACGTCTAGAATATAAAACGATTAGTTTGTTATTGTTACATTTTATTTTATAAACATACGAAAGTATTCCAAGTTTGTTATCATTTAAATTCATTGATCAACACCAACTGACTAGAATATTTACATACCCAATATCCAGAACACTAGCAGAAATGCTAGCATCTGCAGTCCAAACAGCAATTTTATCTATTCTTGGCCTAATATTAACTACTGAACCACAAACATCATCAGAATATTCATTGAAACCTTCACCAATCATGCAAAGCAGTATTTCAAGCCAAAAGCGATCCAGGTCACTTGTTCTTTGCTTCCGCTCTAAATTAATAAGCCATCTTCCTCCATTCTTATTGGCGGCATCTTCCCACATAGGTCTGATTCCTTGCTTAAACATGCTGTAATCACATCCTTGCCTTAGTTCTGAAGCTTGTTTGATGTGATTATACAAGCTGAAAAAGATTATAATATTTACTAAAAATATCAACAGACTGTCTACAGAGCTAACACTGTGCGCAAAAAGGGGGGAAAAGGGAGCTTTGCACTTGATAATCTGATAGGTTAATAATGAAAATAAATAATCTTGATAGGTCAATAATCTTGATTAATTAATACACACCACGAGTGGGAAGGAACTGGCCCCGACTGAATATCCAAAAAATTCATACGCAAAAAAGGGTTTTACGTCTGAACTACTTGCCCCCCCAGGCCAACTTAAATATCAATCATACCAATAAATTATGGTAAAGTAAAAATCTGTTAAATATACCTCCAGAAGTCTTCAGCTGTATCAAAGCTTGTAATTTCCCGCTGGCTCTCTTCCCATGACTTAGTCTTGTCTTGCTCGTAGTACCAGAGAGTCCAAGTATTTTGCAATGGATGCTTAATCAGTAACTCAGGTGGATAATCTTCTAAGCCAGGGGCTTCTTGTTCCTTTTTATCAACCTCCTGTAAACAACAATAAAAAAAATGTTATATAATCATATAAACACTGAAAGGACTAGTGGTAGACTTTTTTTATTTATGAAATGTTGACTCAAATAAACATATTTTCGCTAGATTCACATGAATCATAATTATTACTTGATAAATGTCTACAGCCACAGCAGATTCCACAGCTAACATTGTTCTACAGGTTGAAAATAGTAAAAAAAGTGACGAATTGGAGGGCAACGTTAGCCAACAGCAGGCAGATGTTCCAGATTTCTCTCTCTTTTTCAAAAAGTTTCAGACTGTCAAAGCTCCGCAACAATTAATGTTTTTCCACGCGAATTCACGCGATTTCTCAACGACCTATATATTTATTGTTTTCCGTATTCCAAGAATAGTCGAATAGTTAAAACCAGAGGTAGGAGAGAAAAATTCTTTTAACAATACAAAATGGTTATAAGTATGCCCATTTGAAGGCAAGCAGCATGCGCCATGCACTATCCGCCTTATGCCGACTATGCCTGTAGTAATGAGTGGGAGTGAGCGAAATGTATGTATGTAGTGTCTGATACTGCGAGTATTTTACGAAGTCTAAAGCTTATTTTTAGACCAAAGTTTCATCAATGAAATGTAATACAAAAAGATAAGTTGCCTCTTGCTACATTTGGACATGCCTTGTTTTCTCTAAACATAGAAAAATAATCGACTAAGCAAAGGCTAATATGGAGTGGTTTCTACACAATTAATTTATAATAACTTATTCAGAAAATCCCAAATAAATTGATTGGTCATGCTCAAACAATGCTACATGAAACAAATTTTTCAAGTTTAATGCAAATGCTTTAGAAAAGTTAATTATACAAAAAGTAAGCATTGGGAAGACATCATCTATTATTTAGATAAATGCTCTCCCAAAGAAACACAATTAATAGAAAAAAAGGTCATTTTATCACACATATGCTATGGAATGCGAGGAGAGTTTAGCCTAGCCTATCAAAAGACACTGCACCATTAGTATCAGATCAGCCGTATCGAACGAATGAGAGAGAAAGAAAAGGAAAGGGGAAAGGAGAGGGATAGAAATAAAAAAGAAAGAGAGAAAATGAGGGTGGGAGTGAAAACGACTCGAGACAGAGCACACGCGTTTATCCATCGTTAAGATTCGCATTCTGTCGTGAAATGTTACCTCGACTTCCTTATCCTTATCCTTATCCTTATCCTTATCTTCGACATTATTCGCAGCCATTTGAAAATGAGCACAACAATTATCACACAAAAATTACAGGAATGATAAATTTTCAGAAATAAACGACAAAATTGCACAAATTTTCAGCTAAGTGCCGTCAACGTTGGACCCCGCGCACTCGGGACATCTGCCGACTGGTTTTGCCTTTCTAACCACACTTTATATATAGATATAGATTGAACGTTAAGGAGCGTGGACGCACGCATCGGCTCCTCCTTTTTGTCCCTTCTAAGTTTGTTGCACTTTATGAAGAATCCAATGACCGTAAATAAAACCATTTTTATACTGGAAAAGTTCTGGGAAATTTGAAGTTAATTACGGGTTATTTGACAGAAATATTTGTTTTTTATTGTTATTGGTACGTTTTAGCCAAGATTTCAATGGTTTTGAAAATTGAAAGCGATATAATCGACGAAAATATCATGCCACCCTGATAATTCCTAAATACATAAAAATAACTCAATTCCATTATTATAATTAACAACGAAAATTTAAGTTCGGTAAAAGTATATCAATTGACAAACAATCAGTTGATGTAATCATAGGAGGAAAATGTAACCAGGAGAAAAGATTTTTTTGTTATAGAGACAAAATAATGAAATTTTTCTTTTTTACTTGTATTTTTATTAATTTTAAAACAAAACAATAATAAGTATAAAGTCTATTTAGAAACCTATACAATACGAAAATTTAACTGAGATATGTTAAATAATCGCCAAAAATTGTTATAAAAAAATAACCAGATATGATTGTTTCTATTAAAATAAAAACAATATCTTGTAAAAACAATAATAAAACTGATTTTTCTTACCGTGATTCATAAAAACTACAAGAAAAAATTACATTGTTAGAAATTATTTTATATACACCTAAAAGAAAATTAATATCTGGCGAGAACCTGTATCAAAAGATAAATTCGACACCACGGCGACTGGAATTCGTCGCTCTTTTTTCTCTAGGTATCTCGGTGGCAACAAATTTATACTTACCGCGGCTATGCAAAGAAGGTAACAAAATGAAAAGAAAAGCGGTATTGTAGACAGCGAAAGAGCAAAGGGGGGTTGAATTTCAAGCTTACGGAAATAGCCGAAGAGGTCCGAAATCTCGTAAACGCTCGTTGGCATCCCTGCGCGTCGCTAGCAGTGGATGCGGCGGCGGTAGCGGTGATTTTACCCCTATTGCGTTGTTGTTGTTGCTGCCCGTGCGTCTTTTTCATTTGTGGTCGTCAATATATATTTAACATATCTCGACACAACAAGAAAAAAATACAACAGAAAGCCGTCCGTTTATTTGAGGACGTGAAAAAGACGAAGAACCGAGCTTTGCTCGTCAGTATGAACAGACCGGTAATTACTTTTAGCAACTATATTAAGTTTGATTAGTAGAAGCAACGTTTCAAAGTTGGCCGCGCAGAATTTTTCCTCTCTCTTTGTGGCTTTTCCTCTTTAATTGAAGGTTAGTTTTCCCGAAACGTCCTTTCTTGCAAGCGTACTGTTTTGTGTTTTGTTTTGAATATATGACGTTGTTGTCGATTTTCAAGTCAGTTTCGTAAAAAACAATTGCATTGATATTTGACTCGTCGCTGATGTGAAACTAATTCACAGTTCAAGTTCATTATTTTGAAGGTGCAACTATGCATTCGGACTATAAACAAATATGAAGGCTGCCGCGTTTGTAGCTCTTGATTTTTCAGATTAATATCAGTTTCGTAAAAAACAATTGCATTGATATTGGACTCGTCGCTAATGTGAAACCAATTCACAGTTCAAGTTCATTATTTTGAAAGTGCAACTATGCATTGGGACTATAAACAAGTATGGAGGCTGCCGCGTTTGTAGCTCTTTATTTTTCAGATTAATAACAAATAAATGCGATTGCTTTCAAATTTGTACTTCATTCTACATTGTAGATGGTTGAAGAAAATGGAGAAGTCAATAACCCATCGTACGTTAAACAAGAGACCGTCGGCTACGGATACGATACATCTTATCTTCATTATTCAACTGCCACAACAACCCCTACAACACTCAATCAACCTCTACCAGGTCAACCTCCGTTACCACCAATGCCACCACCTCAAGGAACTGTTCCACCACCTCCTGGTGTTTATGGATCTATTCAAGCTCAAGTCACTCCTATGCCTGCTTGGCCACCGGCACCTACGTGGCAGTGGATAACTCCTCAACCCACAGCAATACCTACTCAGTCAGCTGCTGCTGCCGCTGCTGCCGCTGCTGCCGCTGCTGCCTTCCAGAGAGAAATGCCTATGAGGAATAACTTTATTAAACGTGAGAGGTATAACAATCACAGTCGAATGTATCAGCAAAGAGGCAATTTTCATAGAAAAAGCAGAAGGCAACAGCGCTATGAGCAGTCGCAACAGAACCAATACGATCAATCATCATACTATGGTACAACACTGTCAAATCCTCTTGGGATTGACTGGCAAAGAAATAACGAAGCCCTTTTGGGTATGCAGTTACCTATACAAAACCCAATACATATGATGAATACAGCTGCTAATGCTAGAAGGCCTGAAGATTCTGGTGATCCAGATATTAAGGTTTATAATCTCAATCTTGTAATAAAAATTTATGTTATTATTGGATAATCATTCACTGTAAATTTTACAGGAGGAAATAATAATTAAAAAGAATAAACAACGTAAACCAATGTCACAGAGTTACCCAAGCCGTCCTTGGAATCGAGATGATGCAGAAAGAGCGTTAAAAATTGAAAACGAGTACAACAAGACTGTGAAAGCCCAAAGTTTAATAATAAAATTTCCAGATCCCGATTTAAATAAGGATATTGTAAGAGAGTTTCATTCTGGAATACAAAACATTCACTTTCAAAGTCCAAGTGGTCCAAGGTACTGTTTTATACAAATGGCCGAAAATGTTAATATAGACGAGGCCATTAAAGACTTGGAAAAAATTCAATTTGGTAATGGACATTTGAAAGTTGAAAGAAAGTCTTTAAGGGATGAAGATACTCCTACTCCAGAAGAAATTGATCCATATACTCTTTATATAGGAAATTTACCTGAATCTGTCAATGTTAATGAAGTGAAAGGTAAATTTCAAACTGCTGCTAGAGTGGATGTGGGTTATGCTCAGAAAATGCGAAACACTCGGTAAGTATAAAAGAGTTTTGAATTGCTCAATTACATGAATTTATAAAGTCATAATAACTTAAAATTACTTTTAGATATGCTTTTATAAGATATAATAGTGTTGATGAATCTATAGCAGCTTATAAGCAAGCTCATGACTTGATGTGGGATACCAGAAGTATTATTGTTAGATTTAGAAGACAGAGAGGTAATACTTGTTTACCTGGAGAACCAAAATCAAATCCAAAGAAAAGAGATGAAGTTGCAAAAACTACATCTACAACTGATAATACTCGTGATAAAGATAAATCAAATGATGAAGATCATAAGGATCATATTACATCTTCAGAAAACAACCATCTACAATCAAAAAATTTAGAATGCAAAAACACATCAGGAAGGGATATGTCAATTAGTGCAGATGATTCTTCAACAAAGGATTCCAATACTTCTGTAGATAAAAAAGAACAAACAACACAGTTACCTCAAAATTCCACTGCACATAGTAAATCAACACAAGTTACAGTACAAGACGATGATATGCCTCTCATAGCCGAAATCAAGGAAGAACCAATAGATTATGATGAAATGAATGAGATGTCTATAGGCGAAGATGACGATGATGATGATGACGATGAGGGTGACATTTATAGTCATGAAATTGAAGATGATGTTGAAGATAGTGATTATGATGATGATTTAAATAATTTAAAACCTTCTATGGTAGAAAATTCCAGAAAATCTAGTACTGTACAAGATGACATTCCGTCAGATGTAAATATCTTTATATATTTTAATTCGAAAAATACAAATTTAATAATTTTACACTTAATTAATAATTTTATACTTTATAATTGCAGAATCTAGACAAACTGTTTAGTGATTTAAACCACGCCGTTGCTGGTGATATTGGATCGTGATTTATTAATTATTAAGTATCAACGCTATTGCTTTGATAATACCAAATTTTATATAATTTTTTTTCTAGTATAATTTGTAAATAGCTAATGCAGGAGCATTGTAAATGAATGTTCACATTGCATCAATATTGAAAAGTTGACTCGTAATACCGATTAGTGATTTAAACATTCATTCGATTTTTATAGAGTACCTTATGTTTTAATTTTAATGTATACATTTATTATATATACAGCCGCTCTATGACATGATTAACTGTGTACCTCTTGATACTTATGGCTATTAAATTTTTTATTTTATATATTATCTAAAGTCTTCTCAATACTCACAATGCACAAATACTGGAATTTCTTTCAAAAAGTCCAATTCAAATATTTCCCACAACTCTGTAAAAACATGGCCTAACTTCCTTCCTTGACCGCTACTGCCACCTACTTCTCTCATGGCTGTTCGCGCGCGAAAGTTTTAGTATTACGAGCTATTCTCCCTCCAAAGCTGTTGGTCATTTTATGAGAAAAACTCGTTGCACACCGGTACTTGTTGCATCGTCTTCCGCGATTTCGACATTAAAACTATTGACTTTGTCGTGAAAACTGCAGAAAAAAAGGTAAAACATGTTCGAGGCACGTCTAGCACAAAGTGCTATTCTGAAAAAAGTGTTAGAAGCTGTGAAGGACCTGCTGACCGAGGCAACCTTTGAATGCTCGGACTCCGGCATCCAGGTACAAGCCATGGATAATGCTCACGTCTCCTTGGTGTCTTTGACTTTGAGGAGCGACGGATTCGACAAGTACCGCTGTGACAGGAATTTATCGATGGGCATGAATATTGGCACGTGAGTATTTTGTGAGGAGGAGGTTATACATAAGAAAGTCGCGGGTTATGAGATTCTTTGTTAACTAACTTGTAGCAATGATTTTTTCACTTAGAATGACGAAGATTCTAAGGTGTGCTAGCTCGGAGGATACGGTGACCTTAAGGGCTTGGGACAATCCGGATAACATTATCTTCATATTTGAGTCACAGAACAAAGAAAAGCTTGCAGAGTATGAAATGAAACTCATTAATATGGACCAAGAGCACCTTGGTATTCCAGTGAGTACACAAAGATGAAATATATTATAGTGATACAAAATTTAAAAAGAGAAAAACTTGATTACTGATAAAAAAATGTGTTATCTAGGAAACTATGTATTCTTGTGTTGTGAAAATGCCTTCTCAAGAATTCGCCAGAATATGCAGGGATTTAAGCCAATTTGGCGAGGCTATCACAATTGCATGCTCTAAGGAGGGAATCAAATTCTCCGCAGTGGGAGATTATGGAAATGGTAAGATGATTGTTGTATTTTTATTGTGTCACCTACCTTAAGATGAAAGGAAGCGATAATTCGCGACACTTGCAACATTTCCACTGGTTGATCCTTCAAGCTCAAAGGCTACATTGATACTGAGTGGTTCCTGAATTCTTTTGAAAGTTAGATGGCGTATTTCTGTGAATATAAAAAAAAATATTGAACACACACATACAAGGCCAAGCTCAGGTCTGATAGATGCTTGACCTTGACAACTATGTTGTTTTGAATTTAGCATTTTCTTACACTGGCAATAGTTTTCATAATACCTTAGCTTAGAAATTCTATTTTCTTCAAATGTTATTCATCATCATGCAATCATTTTGTTTCTTATTATTCAAAATTATTTGGCAGTTTCCACATTTTATAATTCAATATTATTTTATTATACTACTATTATAAAGTACATATACTATTTTATAATTCAATATTAACTGAAACTCATATCACATTATAATTTTGTATAACTTTCTTGTGTAATTATTTTGTTTCTTAAGTTGTTCTTTTGTTTAAGTTTCATTGTAAAAGAAAAACTTAATGAACTGGATAAAATACTTTATATTTATCATAATTTTGATTTATAATTTTAATTTTCTTATAGCTAATGTCAAGCTTGCCCAAACTGCAGAATCAGAAAAGGAAGATGAAGCAGTCAGTATTGACATGCAAGAACCTGTTAAATTAACTTTTGCATGCCGTTACTTGAATTCTTTCGTTAAGGCTACACCACTTTGTGCCCAAGTAAAGCTGTCAATGTCTGCTGATGTACCTTTGGTTTGTGAGTATGCAATTGGAGAAATTGGTCACATCAGATATTACCTTGCACCTAAGATTGATGATGAAGAGGAAAACTAGAACTGTGAATGTTTAGTTGTAATTTTTTATTTTACATTGTCAAATTCAATCTCGCCTTTCTTTTTTTGTTTTATTTATTCATCAGAACAAAAGACAAAATCTGTACTTTCATGTAAATTACTGATTTGAAAAGTGTATTGATATAGCCTACTCAGTGAGTCACAATTTTTAATTATGTAAAGGTTAGTTATAAAAATGAGAACACATTTATAAGTAATTTGAAGATAGTATATTGAAATTTTACATTTAAAAGTCATTTGGCTTGTCACAGTATTAGCGCAATACAGAATTGACACTAACTTTGTAGTAGGATGATAAAATTACGGTTATTTAGTTGAAACGATGTACATTCTCACTTCAAGATTGACTGTGACTGTATAATTATTTTACCTTTTTTTATAGTGTCGTCTTTGTAATGTATAAGAACTCAATATATATATTTTCAAAATTTTTTGATAAATTTGGAATGTACTTCATTTTATATCCTAGCCTAATTGAAAGTTGAAAAGTTTAATATAGAATAATAATCGCCACGTATCTGGACTTATGTTTCTAAAATGTATAAGCTACTTTAATATAAAAATACATAATTAACTTACGAACTACGGGAATAAGTGGGCTATCACGGATGGAATAGCCTAGAAGTATACAATTGAATCTTACATAGGTATTTGGATCTCGAATAATTGCTAAGAAATTTTTTGTTGTTTCATTGAATGAGTGTTAAATTTTTAAATTATTTTACACGCAAATATTTACGCAGAGACTTATAGGTACTTTAAAATCACTCGTCTTTGTTCTTTTATCACACTCATACTCAATTTACGTTTCTATTCGAGATAAATAAATTTTTTGGTATTACGTTCATCGAAGAATTTTGTATGTAGCAATGATGAAATGAAATACTTTGGCAATATTTATCAGACTCCTTAATTTTAAAGCCTCGGTATCGTGGTGCGAAGGAAAATAATCTGTAACTCAAAGTTTTAAAAATACTCGTGTAACGTATACCTAATCGCAATTTAAATAAATCACACTTAAGAAAGGCAAACAAAACAAGAAACAATATTTTTATATTAAATATCTTTTCCAAAAAACAAATATACACTTGAAGGTAAAATAACATCAATACCTTGGCTCGATAAAAGCTTACAAATTTGATTCTATTTGAAAGCGTCAGACCAGCTTCCTCTTTATACAAACTCGCTTCTCTTTTTGATAATCGCCGCATACTCGATGATTTTTTCCCATCGTTTTTAAAAAGAAAAATATACTTCAGTTTTTATTTATTTGTTTGTTTCACCATGGAGGGTTAGCGTTGTCTAAGCATTCTTGTTTCCGTTGCTGCCGTACAGACTTGGATGTACAAATTTGTCATGTAATGTTCTCAAGTGCCTTAGAAGATTACTTTTCACATTGAAGCCTTTCTTGCAGTAGGAACAGAGAAACGGCCGCTCACCCGTGTGTGTCCTTTGATGTATCACCATTGACGCATGACTTGGAAAAACTTTCTGACAGATGTTACACAATTTCTGATGACTGTGTACTCGCTTGGGTTTCGGTGGTGCTGAATTATTCATCAGGGCTAGCTGCTCTTCTGTATGCTCCGTCTGTATGTGGCGGACCCATTCTTGAGGCGTTGGATATGTATTCCCACACAGGTCGCATTTTAAGGGTGGAAAATCTTTGCCATCGTCATCGCTATCGCCCTTTAAATTGAAATGTAGCCATTTAGATCTTGTACTTGTTTAAATTGCGTAAAATAGTTAAATTCAATCAAAAGTTTGTAACTGTAACTTGTTATTATTACAAACAAAAGTCAGATAAAATATTCTCTTCAATTTCACGACTAACAACTGTTAGATAAGCTCAATAGCTTAAAGCGTCTGTTTTTCGAAAATATAATCTTGATAAATCTTTACATTTGATTCTCGAAATTGTACTCCCAATAAAAAAATTATGCTTTTCATAATTAATTGTACCTTTCTTTTCCTTCTTCTGTTTTCCGTCATATCTGCATGTGTAAATTCTATGTGACGAACCCAATCAGAAGGTCGATTGAATGTTTGACTGCACATGTCGCATGTGAGAGGCGTATACTCTTCCTCTTCCATATCGCCATCCTCATCTGCACTATGTACTATTTCCTGCAAAATTCCGCAAATTTACATAAGTTAAAACTGAAATAACGATGTCAGAGTGGTTTATTATTCAAAAGCATACAGGTTTGATGTCCATTTCGTGATCTATAGTCAATGACTCAGATGGATCGATTGTCTCCTCCCAATTGATTGGTTCCTCTTTCACTAACATCTCCAAATTCAATTCAGCCTGTAAATCCAAAAGATAAAATAAATAAAAACTCTAGCAAAAACAAAGAACATAATTATACCGTTAAACTCACACTTTCGCCAACGTCGCTTTTAGACTTATTGGACTCGGTATCACTACTTTTTCGCTTCCTGTTCGCCTCAAGAGTCTCATTATTTTTCACTTGCTGATCACAAGTCTTTGCCTCATCGACAATCTTTTCACCATCTACTATTTCGATGACCTTATCCTGCACTCCTTTTTCAACGATCTTCTTCTCGTACTTCTTGAGTGGCGCCTGTTGCATAGCATTCTGCACACTCGAGGTAGGCTCTTGATTTTGTTGCTGCTCGGCGATGGTGCTTGGCTGCACGAGCTTGATTTTTTGAATTTGATGGCCAGCCACGGGTATTTGCTCACGTTTATCGCGCACGATTTTTTGATTGTTCGACTGGATATTCTCCTTCTTGCTGCCTGAATTTGAACGCCACAGACCGCGCACACGAAGAATGTCACCAGCTTTTAGTACACCCTCGAGCTGGTCATTAGTCACCGTTGTCTCGCCGCTATACATGTATTGAATAAGAATCTTGAGGGTTCGGTAGCCAATTTCTGTTGGAAGGACCTGTAAATATTACTTTGTTTACTTCTGTCACACATCCCGTATTCTTACATTTAAACAACAATTATAATAAAATTTATGTAAACAACTTAATGATAAAAATTAAAACAATCTAAAATTTATAAAATAACCCTAGAATGTCAAAAATACTGTGTTTGGATATTAATTATTTTTGCTGCAGAAAGTATTCAAAGGGTTTTCAAAGAGATAATTGTTTTAAGCAAAAAAAAAATATTTGAAACAGCTAAATCAAGAGGTATTTTGATAAATCTTTTGAAAATAAATCCTGAATATAATTTTATAACTATTGAAAACTTACGACGATGATGGGAGCATTCGTGTTAGCGCCGAAATGGCAAGTCTGGAAAATGTGGCTAAGGTAGGATGAGCAGGCAGCCAAAACAAATCGATGTGCTGCCACATGCCGCCCACAGGACGTCGCCAACAAGACATCGGCGAACGACTCCGAGTGCAACAGCGTCGCCACCGAGCTATGCAGGTGGGCACCGTAGCTATGCCATTTCAACTGGAAGTTCTCCGATGCTGGAATACCTATCTTTTCCGTCACGATGTCTGCAAAACAATCACCAATGAATTAACAACTTCCAAAATAAAAAAAAATGTTTTTCTCTTATTAGTCGGCTATTGAATTGTACGTTAACGCGTTTAACAGCGAATTTTCAAAAAGCTTTCATTCGCAAAGAGCCACAATTATGAAAGAAAACGATTACGACAAATAATAAAAAAAGGAGACAATAAACAGTCTATCATGTGAATCTGAGAATTTTTAGTCGGCGAATACATTCCAAACATTTATCTCCGACCGTGAAGAGAAAGAGAGGTAGAATTACAAATACACGCATATACAGATGTAAATAAATACGCATGAATGATCAGTGAGTCGACAAAAGGTCAGCGTTTATTTTACAAGGCACGCATGTGCGTTATTTTATTTTTATCTTTTTAGTGCACGACCAACACCTGATTTTATCAATCATTTACTCATAATTCAAAACAATCTACATAGGTGCTTATTTATTATATTAGTAATGAAATTGTTCTCTTCTCTTCTATCTTATCATTTATCAACAATTTATTAAATAATTAATATTTCTTACTCTCAGTCGAACGTGCCATTAGGACAGAAATCTCTAAAGTGCTCAGTATCGTGAATCAAACAAGATCGATATACTTGAACAATAATTATCGCGTGAATGATGGCTCATTACTTATTTTAGAAAAAAGAATGAAAAAAGTGTTTGCAAGAAACAAAATTACTTGCTGTCTATTATTCATCAAAAAAACTAAATAATTAATGTTTCGCAATTTCAATCGAAACTGACGTTTGGACAGAAAGCTATGAAGATTTCAGTATCGCGAATCAAGCAAAATCGATATGCTTGAAAAATTATCGCATGAATCATCGCTCATTACATATTCCAGAAAACAAAGTGAAAAAAGTGTAAGAGACAGTCGCATAAGGGGGAGGAGAAAAAAAATGACGAAATATCGAACAGATCAATAGCAACGAAAGAAGAGGGAGTCGAGTCGAGTCGTCGCTTGGCACATCCCCTCGCAACTATACCAGCAGACTCCCTAATACGATTAGCTGCGGAAAAGGATCAAACGTAAACACCAAGCATATATATCTCTGTCGGCGAAAATTTCGCGCGCGCGGGAGAGCTATGCGATCGATCTCGCCTCTTTATTTCTCTCTCTCTCTCTCTCTCTCTCTCTCTCTCTCTCTCTCTCTCTCTCTCTCTCTCTCATCCTTCTCGTCAATAGATTATTTTGTAAAATAAAACCGAGGGTTCCTTTTAATAATCTCTTGTATTGTCACCGATTAAATTTCACGGTAGAGACCTAAAACTTCCTTTTTTCTCTGTTTCTTTTGAAGAAAATTAGGATTGATGTGCATGCGTAGTGAATGATCGTGCTTTTATAAATATGGGGGAAGTATATTTCTCGCTCTCTGTCTTTTGGGGGAGATTGCTACTGCTGGTGCTGCTTACCGCACGCTCGACGCGACGGGCAAGTTAGATCAATAAAAATCGATAACGGCGCATTGGCGACGCTCATTGTTCGTCAATAGATACGTTCGTTTTTCGAGCTATCTCTATATTCGCTATATCCGTTGTAGGGCTTTAAAACGAATGCAACAAATATTCGCGTTAAAGAGAAAGATCAATGCAACAAAATTAGTTATTTATAAAATTTTTTGTGTTGATTAATAACTGTAACGAAAATTCGGCATTATTTGTTACCTGAAAACATGCTTATTCAATATCATATATCTGTCAACAGTCGATATTCATCAAAGTATCTTATTATTTTCACTAAACATTCACAGCGCATTCCTCGTATGTAATTTCATCTCATAGCCAAACGTCAATTTTCTGAACAGGCTCCCCGAAATTATCGCACACAAAACGTTGGATACAGAAAAAACCCTTACAGATACATAAACAATTCTTGCGTACGTAGCAGCACGTCTCGCTCATGCTCCCAATAAACAAAAAGATCAGCCACCCTCCAGTGCTAGGAGGCCACAACCCCTGCGCGAACTTTTAAGGTTAAGCTCTCCCTTGTCTGACGGCGCCTTTCTCAATCTAATTTACAAATATCGAACGAATGATTAGAGTGTGAAGCTATAACTGAGGTGGGAGGGAAAAAACAGAATTCAAATTCGCCCTCCTCTTGTGAAAGCCTCCCTCCTATGCTGTTTTGCCTCACCCTCTCTACATGCAAGTTGATCGATAAACTGATAATAACGTGTTTCAGTATACGGTAGCGCGCTTTATATCGAACGAATGTGATAAAAACGAGAGATTCGCAAACAAAAAGAAAGAGCCGGCATAGAGTCATAGGTTATGATAATCTTCATCAACAAAAGTTTGCAGCAACTCACCCGACGACATTGTTTTCTTGGCAGATCACCTACGCGCGCGCACACAAACACAGAATCGCGTCTATATCACTTGGAAGCTTACAGCACTGTCACACAGTCACGCGCACTACGCACACCGTGTATCTATGTATATGCACAAACTGATTTTCACGAGAGAGCGTCGTCGATCGCGTGCGTCGCGCGCGCGTCCCGTCGGTGTTTTGAAAGGCGCGAGTGAGTGAGAGCACATCGAACGCCGCCGCTCTGGTACTGCTGCGACGAGTAGGGGCCTAAAAATCGATATTTCGGTCTTTGCTCCATGCGCCCCGTCCGTCCTTTTCACTGCTCACTCGCTCCCCTCCTATCTTCCTCTCTCTCTCTCTCTCTCTCTCTCTCTCTCTCTCTCTCTCTCTCTCTCTCTCTCTCTCTCTCACTTTTGCACGCGCGAGTATGTATTGGTTATCCCAGGTGGATATACACACGTATACATGTAGCATGCGTTAGCTTTCGTTTTTTTTTCTCGATCGCTCGCGGGGCGCAGCTGAGCGCGAGTCGTACTACTGATTTTTCTCTCCGTCTAAACTAAACAATCGTTGCCTCTTTTTGGAGACATTTGCTTTTCGTCGTCAAACGTGATTGTAGCATTAAACCGGCACCGTTCGTATATGTACGTGCACGAACACGAGAAAGCCCCCGACGACGACGACGACGTTCGCATCGATTTTCTCCGGCTACCAATCGCACGCATCCATTTATCGCATCGATCGTTACCCGACGAGCTGATTTCAGCAGCTCCCTCTCTCAACTCGCTTTTTTACTTCTATCCCTGTCTTTCTCTCTCTCTCTCTCTCACACACATTCTCTCTCTCTGCCTCTCTCGCACGCGCGCGTGCGATTTATCACCGAGTCAACGCAGAGAAGGGATGTTAACTGGAATTTTCATTGTTTGAAATTTTCATTGAATTTTCGCGCGCACTTCCGGTTATTAATCACTCGCATGTGATTACGAGTGATTAATTAATTATTTAATCGTCTCGATCGATCATCGATATAGATAAAAGGTACGTTGGTGCGTGGATAGTCGCAAGACGTTGATGAGAAATTGCGAGAAAGAGACAGTGGGGGTACAGCGACATAGGTACGCAACAAGCGCAAGCGCGATATCTACTCCTTATGCGCAAAAAAAACTCGACGACGAGAGAGGCCGGTAAAGATTTTCGGGTGCGAAAGAACGAGGAGGGCTGGCTGCCCTATCCTATCCCTTCCGTTCGTGTGCGAATATACGCGCGCCAATAAAAGGGAAAGGGATGTATACATGACGCATCCATGCGATTTTTTTTCTTCTTTTTTGTTGTCCGCTCCCTGCCGGGATATGTATGTATCGGAGAGATTATCTCTAGGCGATGACGAATTTATCGAGTGCTTTGCGGTCGCTTTATCCAAGAGGGATGTTCCAGAGCTTCTGAGATTAGGATGAGCTTTCTGGAGTTTTCTCGCGGATGATGCAGTTGCGAAGGGAAGGATATTGATTCGAGCGCAAAGTGTACGTTGATAAGAAAGCTTTGCAACACGATGTCGTCTTTCACTAATTCATGATAATCTTCTGATAATTTATATTTCACGTGTAAGCTTTGCTAGATCGTATGTACATTATGTTTATTATTCGCGCTGATGATTATATATGTAGATATGAAGGCATTCATTGAATTATCGAAATAGATATTTTTTGCTTGACTCTTATAAGTTTTATTTACATTGCTTAATGAATTGAATAACGATGCATATTGATTGAAAAATAACCTAATTGTTAATACTTATTTTAGGTATTTGTGTGTATTATTCCAAAATGCTGCGTGAAATTTAGTCGATTATTTAATTAATTTGCGTTCGGAAAGAGCTCGACCCAGCTCTTCAATGCCAAGTGAATAAATCCTCAAAGCAATGAAAATCGGGGCCGCGCACAAAGGAGAATCGTCGATCGAGCAATCGAACGGATCAATCGCGACCGACGAAAGAAGCGAAGGAATACTTGTAAGCGCGAGTATGTAGCGTGACGCGCGTACTTATATCCTTCGAAGGTTTCCGCGGCGGCGAGTGCAGCGCTGCCGCATTGCGTCGGCGACCTGATTCCATCGCTGGAAGCCAGGGCCCCGATAAGTCTGCACACGCCCAGCCAGCGGCGAGTCGTTAAATAATCAATCCCCCCCGCGCGCGCGCCCACGGCTAGCCGTTTCTCTGCGCGGGAGATCGACCGCTCACGACGAATCCACCCCCGCGAGCGTACGCTGCGGCGCGCGCGCGGCTCTTCTTTACGCGTGCGTTTGCGACTGCCATCCCCCCGGCTGTGCTGTACGTTGGCAGGGCGACAATGAAGCGGACTGACCTGGCGGGACGAATCGGATGATACTTGCGACTGCAAAACTGGATTTGCAGGCAATCATGTTGCGCCATTGTTCATTTCGAAACATTGCTTGCCTTCAATTACCACCCGCAGAGTTTCTTTTTGTTATGATCGTGTTTTTTTTTCTTTCTTTTTAATGTGAAGTCTTGTAATCATTTTTGAAAACTTTCCACGATTTTTAATGTGATTTGCTTCATCACAGGTGACAAGCGTCTTCAGTCAAAAACTGAAACCAATAATACTTGATTTAAAAAAAATTGAATCTTAAAAATTGCTTAAATCGTAATGTTAATGACGTCGTTCATTAATTAAAATTGTAGAGTGTCGTCATACGGACAATTGTCTTCATTTTTTTATACATTTTATAATATTCATGCGGCCAAAGTGACAAGCAAGATTTAACAAATAGTTACAAGTAGGAAAATCCAAGTTTTATAAGAATGATGAAAATTATTGAAATCTTAACGTACTTCACGGACATAATGGTACGTTGTAAAGAATTATCATTTCATTGATTAACACTGGAATGTACCTTTGCGTAATATAAATGACTATATTTATCAAGAGATAAATGCAACATTATATATTGATTGAATTGGATAAATTTTATCTATCCAACTTAATGAATTTTCAAGATCACGTTGGATAAGTAAAATCATAAAGTTTTATAAGATCATACACTTTTCTTAACAATTGTAAGTAATTAAATATAATATAATATAAGTTGGAAATTGTACCTTAATTAGTATGTATTTAAAGCCTATCAATACAAAAGTGATTTCTGCAAATGAGCATTGAGCAGTATAAGATGAAAATCATGTTGTCAAGATAAGTTTTGCGTATACTATTTTGTTCACTTTTAATATAAATTTTTTTAAAAACTTACAAACAAAATAACCAGAGTTCATAGTGTGTAATATGTATATGCAAAGCACCATAAAAAATGAAAAGCCTTTCTGCAGCGGTATAGTATAAAATTTTCCTTGTATTTTCGAAAAATAAAATATATATATATACACACATCGAATACGTTACCGGGAAAAATCCGTAATAAATGACGTTATAAACATGTCGTTTACACAATTACATGAAAAAAGCAAGACAAAGTACAATTAAAAATAACATGTCAATAATATGGTAGGTCGATCGACCGTGAGAATACCCCAATACACAGCCTACGCAAATTGCACGTGAAACCTCATCTAAATGTAAAAGCTCTTATGCTAGTGCTTTTGCAATTAACTCAGTTGATCCGCGCACGTATCGTTTATCAAAGCTTTTTTTTTCTTGGCTCGTGTTATAATCAAATCGGCTAATAATTCGCTATATTCTATCGGCGATCGAGGGATCGACAAAGAAAGCAGGCAGTAACGCGCGTCGACGTGCTGCTGGCGTTCTTCATCATTGCCAAAGGTAAAATCGAAGCGGGAGCAGACATATCGCACAAAAACCGTCTCCCCGAGCCTGTATATCGATCGCTGCGCGAGCAAGCGGCTTATTAAAATCGAGCTCCCCCTTATTCGCGCGCATAGCATTCGACGACGACGAGAGAAAGAGAGTCTGTGTGTTTGCGAATCCGAACGCAAATGCATGTGGGATTTGCTCTCCGTTCTCTCCGCGCTTTTTTTTCGCGCAGCTCGAGAACCCGCGCAAGTATTGTACGCGTGAACGTCGGTTATGCGATATCTTGACAAGCTTGTAGTATGGATTTTGGATTATAAGCTTCGAATTGACGTATGCAAATACACTCAGACTCTGGGGGAAGGGGGGTGTCTTATGTAATCCTTGATGATTCGCTATTGACGATGTAATCTGTACAGAAACTTTAAATTGTTAGCATAAGATTTCATTATTTTAAACGTATTGTACGGCGAACGAAATTATTATTTTATTTAAGCGAAAGAAATAAACTTACAATACTTCACATTGGCTAAATCAATGGCATGTATACGTACAAATCATATGCGACAACGCGCAATGTGTCTCTTGCAAAGATTAAAAAATATCCCATATTATTTTATATAAATGTATAATTTAAAAAAAAATGTAATTTTAACCGTCTTTTTAATAATTGCACTTACCGCTTTATTGAATGTACACATAATTATCTAAGTTAGGTAACAAAATGGTTCAAGTTTTGTTAGTGAAATTAGAACGTGAATGCGCAAACTTACTTGCACTTGAAATAGTTTTTTTTGAATTGCACGAATACAATGTAAAATATCGGGATGAAAAAGACCATTTAAAACAATCCAAAGATTTATGCAAAGCTTCATCGGTAACTCAAGTTTTTGATAACAGTTATCAAATTCATTTGAATTTCTATTAATATGATTACCGAATTTGTTTGGAAAGATTTATTAATTCTGTCTTGAAAATAATATGAATTTACTATATATATATATATATATATATATAGTCATGAAACTAATGATATCATTTGCAGTCGATAAAAGCACTTCCTTGTTGACCTAGGTAATTTTCAGGATTTTATATATATATATATATCACTACAGCGTTTCGTCGTCGTTCATTAACTATTTAAATTTAAAATTATTATGAAGGTTACTCGACATTAGCGTTATAACCTGTAATCTATTGAAGCACTTAACTTGTTTGCTAATGCCGATAGTATTCATTTTCTTCGTTTTAGGAAAGTGCTCTAAACAAGTGTTTAACAGTTCGTTCGTGAACTGCTTTTATGTTCGCAAAATTCTACCAATGTTCTTGAGTGCCTATTATGCATTATATTTATATTATAAAAAAGGTACGCAAGACAAAATTAACCTTGTAAATGGATCTAAAATACAAAATTCCTTGAAATTTTTACTGTATTCTCTGTATAAGCTTTGAGGCGAATTAGTGGATCTGCGACTTGGAAATTATTTATCTTTTTTTTTATTCTAGCGTATTTTCTTTATGTAGTATTTTATTCCTTGGCTAAACATTTTATAAACATTCCGTTAGTGCCAGTAAATCGAAAAAATAATTAGTTTTAAATATAAAATCTATAGAGCGTTATATATGTTTGAAAATTTCCGCGAGAGATTACGTGTTGGCGCAATTACAATTACATATGTATACATGTATCATGTATGTACGTATACACATATATCTCCATAATGCATGCGCAGTACACATTATGCACGATTCGCGGAAAAGCCTGTCAATAATGCCGTGAGCTGGCGCTCGATGTCTCGTTCTAAAGAACATGTCTCTAAAAGAATATTCTGTCTCTACTTCTCTCTCGCTCTCCCACAGTCGCGTTCAATCTCACGTGCATCATCACACGCAGTTGGCCACTCACCTTTTGTCTGTCGGTATTGAGAGAATCATAATCTCGTACGTATATATATATATATATATATATATATATATATATATATATGTACGTGTGCGTGCGTGCTGAAGAGAAGGAAAAATATATAAAAGCGTATATCTGTAGTTGTGGCTCCTGCTGCTCGCGCATCGCAAGAATAAACGAGAAGCTGATTTCTCTCTCTTTCTCTCTCTCTCTCTTAGTTGTCTCCTGCGGGATAAGCTGAGAGTAGTAATCGTGCTAGTGTTGTTTTGTGGCAGTGCCTTGTTTGATGCCGCTGCTGCTGTTGACCCACTTGCCGCGACGCTGGATGGAGTCTCATACATCTCCCGGTGCTAAGGAGAGTTGTCGTCTACCACCGGTCAACCTCAAAGCACTCGTCAACTATTAAATAGCACCGTCGACAGTCATACTCATCACATCACGACGATGCCGAGGTTAAGGGAGCGCAAGCTTGCGAATAATGTACGTACATACCGTGTGGGAATTGATGCGATGGCCCATTGTTTCTTTCCCCTCTCGCGTACTTGGAATTGCTCAGTCAATTTACTGTTATGATGATTCGAACATTTTGATGATATAGTCTTCAAGTTTCGCTGGTGCGCTCATTCGTCTCTCGTTTTTTCCTCTTTCTTTCTCTCTCTTCTTTCTCTCTTCTTGATCGAGGACATATAGATAAGACCGCAAAGTGTTGTGTATCTGTTTCTGGTTTTTTATTTGCCTCGGCTAAAACGTAGAGTTAAGGCTGCGCTACGTCTAATGTAAAAATTAAGCTGGAACCTTCTCTAATTATTCTCTCTTAAGAAAGCCAGCACTTGTTGATCATATATACGGATCGTTACGGGCACGCAACAGAAACACCGTGACTTCAAAGAGAGATGATGAACTTGACAAATTCATTAAAGTAGACACATGACTTATTATATTTGTTCAGGCCAGCAATTCGTCAATTTCTCACGGGTAAACAGAAGCTCAAATTCGAATGATTAAATGAGAATCTAAAATTAGGTGCATTTGAATGTAAACAGGAAATTCGTTAGGGTTTTCTTTTTAAACATTTTATATCTTTTGGTGTTACAACTCTGTCATTAGCTGTTTTTCAGAATAATTGCTAGACCAATGAATAATTTAGTTTATTTTATCAAAATCACATAAGGTGTGGTGTCTACTGAATTGTTCAAATATAGATGTGATTAATGACAATTTTAGATGGCAATCACAAAGTGAACAAGATGTAGAAACCTTTGGTACAGGTAGCCTTGCAGAATAGAAAAAATTCAAATGTCAATGTTATTTGATTAGCAAATTAATTGTAGTCAATGTATAAGTCATGTGCATGTATCTGCATTTTAAGTAAAGAAAGAAACTTGATTAAATGTAAATCACAAGTGATAAAAACACATGGTTTTGACTTCATTTTTTATTCTTGTCATTGGTTCTCTTTAATTAGTGCATCAATTGTTTCAATAGCTTCTTTGCTATATTGATCTTTTTTAACATTTTATTTTCCAGATGTTGCACTAAAAATTCTAGCCATCTGAAAGATGACTCGTGTTACTAGAAAGTGGGAGCTATTCCCTGGCAGAAATCGTTTCTGCTGTGATGGGAGAGTCATGATGGCTCCACAAACTGGTGTCTTTTATGTCACAGTTTGTTTAATAGCTGGAACTAGTGGACTGTTTTTCGCATTTGAGTAAGAAAAATTTATTTTGTTTTTTTGGAAACTTTTATTTTGTATTAAACAAGTTTTGTGTCTTTTATTAATAAAGTACTTATAATAAGATCTATTCTATTTTTCAGCTGTCCATTTTTATCAGAGAACATTACACCAGCCATACCAGTCATTGGTGGCTTATTGTTTATCTTTGTAATGTCAGCTCTCTTTCGGACTGGCTTTAGTGATCCTGGTGTGATTCCTCGTGCAACACCTGACGAAGCAGCATACATTGAGAAACAAATAGGTATGAGTAATTTTTGCCTTATTGTAATCTATAGCCACAAAAATTTAATAGTCAATATCTTTTCAGAAGTGCCAAATAATGGTAATTCACCAACCTACAGACCACCTCCAAGAACAAAAGAAGTATTGGTCAAAGGACAGCCAGTGAAATTAAAATACTGCTTTACGTGTAAAATATTTAGACCTCCTAGAGCATCACATTGTAGTTTGTGTGATAATTGTGTTGGTAAGTCTAGTTTGTAAAATTGTTGTTTTTGGGTAGCTTAATTTTGCGAGAAATAGTGGCTGGCACATTTTTCTTCATTTTTAGAGAGATTTGACCACCATTGTCCATGGGTAGGAAACTGCGTAGGACGTAGAAATTATCGATACTTTTATGCGTTTATAGTATCATTAGCATTTTTATGCGTTTTTATATTTGCGTGCGCAATAACGCACCTAATAATGTGTAAGTATCTGAATAACAAATATCTAAAAAAATATCTTATCAGCAGACGTGGATCTTCGACGTGACATTAATTATTACCTTTTTTTCCTGCTCTGCAGTAACGAGAGATAATAAGCCTTTCCTTGAAGCTGTAAGATTGTCTCCAGCTAGCGTAGTAGTTGGAGTGGTTTGTTTCTTTTCCGTTTGGAGTATTTTAGGATTGGCTGGATTTCACACATACCTCACAACTAGTAATCAAACTACTAACGAAGATGTATGTCTTTACCTCTCTTTACTATCGTTCAAATCATTCTTGAATGGTAAATCTAATTTACCTTTTCAGATTAAAGGTTCCTTTACAAGTAAGAGAGGACAAGAAAGCTTTAACCCCTATAATCATGGAAACATTTGCGGAAATTGTTTCTATGTTCTCTGTGGTCCAGTACCTCCTAGCCTTATTGGTAATTAATTTTCAATTTGCAACCTAATGATTTTATAATTATTCATCAAAGATTTTATTACATGTTTACAGATCGAAGGGGCATCGTAACGCCTGAATATCGTGCTGAACACGAAAAAGTTACTGAAGATAGTGTTATAACTAATAATAAAACTTATGGAAATGTGAAAATTGTACAGCCACAGGTATATCATTTTTATTACTTAACACAAAAAACTACATATGACTTACTATGATATTTGATAACATTTTTTTATTGCAAACCATTAATTATTTTATATGAAAGGTCATAGAAAAACCTACATATAAAATTGTAAAAACACAACCAAAATACACAAATTGAAAACACACTGAACACACTACAAGTGTCATAAACTAGGTAAATCGACCGTTTTTTATTTGCATTTTTAGCATATAAATTTGTAGTAGATATATATTTTTCGCAATGAAAATTTATCAATAAATATGGTTAAGTCAGACTTTTTGAGAAAAAAAACATTAACTTTTCAACTAGCTTTTGTCATAACTAGATCGATCAAAAAAGTTCGCATAATAATTGAATAGATCAAGCCGAAAGTTGAACAAAATGCATGTTGAAATTCTTCAAAACGCTTTAAATATCTTAGGCGTGGTCGTATGTAATAAAAATTGATCAATATCTATTCATGAAAACAATTGATTCATAAATCGACTTACACAATATCTGAACTCATCGCATATCACGTGATACGAAATATAGAAGCATGCAATGCAATCAATGCTTAATTGCCACAAAATGAATCAATTGTCATATCAATTCTAAATACCAATTCACTGGCTAATTAAAATAAATCTTGCGTAGTCGAATGGTGTAGCGGTATCGGTACCCGAGATGTCAGACTACGAGGGTTCCACTAGCCAATTGGTTCAAAGACAGCAACATCATCAACAACAACTACCGATGCTTCTGCAACAGCAACAACATCAGCAGCAGCAACAGTACTCACCACATTTGGACAGTGTGAACGGTGAGTCATCGAGTAGTCATCATTTATCGCGTTACCTCGACGAGTTGCCGAGTTACTCGTGTCAGTATCCAACCACTGCCGAGACTTATGCTTACGAATATCAAGAGCAGCAGCAGCAACAACAAGCGCAAAAACCGTCATACCGTTGCGACGAAAGTCTTCAACGTTATCCACAACGGTGCCGCGATGAATATTATGCGCGATGCTCCGAAGGCGATTTACTTGCCGAACGTTACGATTACGAAATGCGGCGGCAGAATCCCGTTGATTTGCAAAAGTTCCCACAATGTTATTCCGAAGATCCGTTGCGTGTAAACGTCGTACCGAGATATTCGGACTATAAGTACCCATCATTGGCTAATCGAATTCTCAGTCCTCGTGGACTTCCGATGCTTGGTCACACTGCGGTTGGACTTGTCGTTAATAAATTCGGCTCGGGACCGATGGATCATCGTCATATGCGCGCTGGTCCGGAACATCATCATTTTGCAAATTATCAGTACGCTGAGCAAAACGCTTTTTGTCCTTGCGAAACTACTGCGAGTGTGCCCAGAGACGAGGAGGATTATATTGACGGTCGATATATAATGGAACACTCGATGAGTGATAGCGATGACATGTAGAGTGACGGGGATATTCTAAATTTATTTTCAAGAAGGAAAACGGAATTAACATTAATAAATTGAAAGGCACACGAGAAAATATATTGTTACGTCTTCATTAATAATTTATTTGGTGCAGTGTATATTTTTCTAATTGCGTGAATTTTTTCTTATGAAAAAATATTTTTGCAAGTTAAATTAAAGCTGATGAGCATTTGTGTTCTCACTTGTTAAAATAGCAAAGTTGACTGTAAGTCGTTGTTGTTTCTATCAATAACTATCGAATGCTTTGATTGCATTCGTTTAATTAATTCCGATTGATTTTACTTTCACAATAGCATTCGTTTTTCACTGCATTAATAAATTATGCACGACATAACGGGTACCGGCATAGCAATTATTACAAAATAAAAAATGGTTACTAAAAGAGAAATCCAGTTAAAGTAAGATGTAGCTTTTTAAAAAAAGAAATAGAAACAATTTTTGAAAAGCGGAGAAATATATATAACTGACATTGTTATAACGTTGCATGAAAAAGACTTAACCATTTAACAAATTATATTGCATTATATAAATCCATCTCTTTTTTTTCACACGCAAAATTAACAAGTCTCTAAGATAACGTATACAATAAACGTAAATATTAATATCGCCTTTCTAACGTTCTCGCTATTAAAACCGTAATTTAATTGTAACGGCCGCGCGTGTATGTCGAGAATGATTTCTTTTTTCTTCCACGCGCGTACAACGAATGAAAGCGTGTAATCGCTTTCAGACGTTTCTCGTATACATTACAAAAGTGCGTGCATTGTTTTCTTTTTACATAGATACATTTATTTACATAAATATAGGGATAAGTATGTTTCCGCAGATATGCACCTAACTTTTTTCGAATTATTGAAGTTGCCAATGTGAACTGCTAATATAAGAAAAGAAATTAATATTTTGGCGGTGCAGCTTTCGTCGGGTATGTACAATGGTATCTTTGAAAAAGGGAAACTTTTGAAAAAATTGTTGAGATTTGCAGTCGATTTTTCAATGGCAATATGATGCTTCACTATGCTAAACACTTTTGAACAAGGCGTTATATTTTGATGTGCAAATCTGCGTTGAAAGTAAACTTTCTCAAAAGGAACTTCTCATAGGTGTATACTAAAAATAATAACAAATCCACGTAGTGATGCCAGTTCAACCAAGTTGAATTTTTCGTAGCAATTTGCTTGTTGATTCTCAAAAATACGTCTATAAACTAATCGATCTCTAAATAAGTGTAGACATCAACGACCTGAAATGTCGTAAAACGTACTCTTAAAAATGAATCCCTGTAGTCGTAGAGCATATAAGTAGATAACAAATTTGAAAAAAAATCGTTATGACTCAATGACTCTTGTTTCTCTGTTGCTTATATAATAACGTCCCGTAAACGAGGGCTCGTGTGCATACAGTTCGGTAAGTTGACTTTTGACTTATGACAACAAGCATCCCCTCCCCTTGTCACTTTTTTGCGTTACTAGTGTTTTTTGTTTTTCTGCCATGTACTGTGGATAATGGTGACAATTAACAATTTTGTCTTTCCTATCGTCGTTGTTGCTAACTAATTTGACGATATTATTTTTTGGTCATTGTAGTGTTTTCTTTCTTTTTTGCTGTTACAGAAAAGAAGACTACCCATACATGTTGTTTTTTTTATGTTGTTTCGTGATTAACTCAATCTATTGTGTCTGATTAACTTTTGTGAATGGATGACGAAAGCACTACTGTTTCAGAAGTATCATCTTGATTACACGTTTAGTTTGACTGGTTTTACTTTTTTTACGTTTATACAGATTGGATTTTAAAAATTTGTTTGGGATTATGCATAGAAAATAGACATGATCTGTAATTTAAAACATGTATAGGTATACTACATTACCATCTAACTAATTACACGGATATACTTTATGTTTTATTTGTGATTATTTAGAAAATTATCTCCTGAATGCCATGCATTGCGATATATTATAGTAAATCTGTTAGTATAAAAATTGTAATCATATTTTCGTAAAATTCTCAATTATATAATAACAATATTTCAAATAATATCACAGAATATATAAATGAGAATTTTACAGAAAATAAGTAGATTAATTTTAAGTTATGAATACACAGTTGAATTAACAATTCAATGATGCACATATTGCTAATACAGATATTAGCATGCAAATAAATTGTAAACACATACATTTTCACTTGGTTTAATGGTTAAATCATAACATCTAAGAAAAGATTTCTTTTCAACTGTGCAATCGAAGTCACGGAGATACTAAATGAGCTATCATTGATGTTAGCTGAAGCTGAGTGATGATTATGTCACTTAAAGCTGAGAGTGCAGTAGATATTTAAAACTTCGCGGAAGAATTTTATGACTCACTTTTATGTAATACGACTTTGCAGCTTTTGACATTTCGCAATTTGTTTTTGATTCAGCGACAGCGAATTAGCATTGAAAATACGATGTTAATTCAAATTGAATCATTCAAAATGAATACATAACGCCTAAAGCCATTTATTGTCTCCTCGCGGATAGAAAAACGTCAATTGCAAGAGCTTTGATTTGGTAACTCGAGGAATGAAAACAATTTCATATCCTTAAGTCAATCGTTGCAAGAACAAATTTCTTAAATCGTTTTAGAAAATAACATTTTCTTCTCAGATTGATATACGCGGTGTCGTGTTAATGTTATTTTGAGAATATATGCAATTATGTAAAGTTACACATGTGTATCTTTAGATAATTTCTATCATTCCGACGTTTTTCTATGCTTACTTTTCACAAGTATTTTCCAACTAAAAATAATATCTCACTGTACTTCTGTCAAGAGCATACTAACGTAGTTGATTAAATATTTACAGGTAGCACAACAAGTAGCGTGAGCCACTTAGTACCAAACGAGGTGCCACTGGCATCGTTAAGTCTATCGCCAATCGATATTGACGAGATCGCACCATTACCTCCAACCACGACGTCAACGTCATCGCGTGGTGCTTCAGTGCTTACCCTTGACGCGGCTGGATTGCCTGCACCACCATTGTCTGCCTCAAGGTTACGATTATTACAAGACACCACGATGATTGAGTCGGCCTTGGATTTAGATAGTCTCGAGGAAACTAGCGTCGGTCGTGGCAGTCAGGCAGGATTGATTAAAATGGGTGCTATCTGATAAAAGAAATGAAGATGAAAAATAAAAACAACTAAGTTACATTATTGGTGCGCGTGCCTTGGCGGTATAGAAGTTTTGTTGAACACGTGTCGTTTTTACTTTTTTCTTTTCTATTGATGACGATTTATGTGACTTGTCTAATTCTACATTGTTTCCTGTATATCTTGGATTACATTTCGTCTTGGAAAACACGATGTATTTTACAATTCTATCAAATATGAAGTAGATATTTCTTTTCTTTTATACTATTTTGGTATGAATTCGTATAATGATTATGAGTTTTCTTTTTGTATAAATATTTTTTTTAAAGCTAAGGAGTAACGAAATAGAAAATATATTAATTTCTACCTACAGAATCAATGTCGCATCTAATTTAAGTGTACCTACACTGACATAAGAATTGTTCAAAGGTGAAATGAATGAATGACAATCGTGTTCAATGAAATTTTTATTAACTGGGAATAAAAGACTTGACTGTTAATCGTCGATGCGAAAAAAATGTAAAATTACAGATGACATCAAAGTGCAACATAAAAAAGTCTTTAATGAAAGATTCGAATATTGCACGTGTTCATATTGTAACAATAACGAATAACAGTTATCTGGAAAAAGACAATTTATCGGCGTGTATCTAGACCAATTGTGAAAAACAAAAGACGTTATATTGTTTAAGTATGTGGAGTATGTTTAAATTTGCTAATTGCGTCAATTCTACTTTTTACACTTTATAATGAAATTCTACATGGTTTTTGACTATTTACACGTAAAGTTTTAGTATACTATTTGTCGTCACTAAACATTTTTATATGACAATTTACTTCGTTTTTCAATTATTATTCAATTATTTATTTGTGTGATTGTTATATGATTCATGTAATATTTGTTTTTCATGATTTCATCTAGAAGAAAAGTCCGTCCTTGCATAAGCATTTTAGATTCCAGTTATAATATTTTTTTGCTTGTATTTTCGTACACACAGTCTGTGTAAATAGTCAAAATTTAATTTGAAAAATAAAATGATTTCTTAAAATCAAAGCAAGAATTTATACATTGCAGCACATATTCAGAACAAAATATTCATCCGAGCGTAAATAATTATGTTTCGCGTATTTATTATATTTAGGTAACAAGTATTAAGAAATAGAATTATACGACAAGTTAATGCGTTTAAGAAGTATAAATACATGGTTTAGCCTTGCGGCTACCAAATAATGCGCAAAACATTAATAGATTTCTATTTCAGATCCGATACATAGATAGTGAATATTTTTTTTCATACTTGAATTCATTCATTCGAATTTATTCGTATTTGATTCAAATTAAGATGCTCTAGCAAATAGAAATTCGCATTGCAGAGACTACAAACATTTTCAGCACCTGTTTAAATGCACTTATTGTGAACAGAAAAAGTAAAGTAAAAATATAAATTATTGTTATAAATTGTCTATTTTAGATAAATTTTTGGTGCAGCAGTACAGAAGAAATTTTATTCAAATCTAAATTTGAATCGGATCTCATTTTGTATTTTTTATTATTCGTTATAAAACGTTATTATTGTCTATTTTTATCATTTGTTGAGCGAGCTTTCATGTAAAAAATAATAAAAATAGCAAACTATTATATGCGCTCTGGTCACTGCTAAAAACCTTTTAGAATAAAGAAATTATTATTGTATGATTCCCAAATGTTGTTCTAGAAAAAATTAATTCGTTTACGAGATGATACACTGCCCAACAAATAAGTTTAGTATCTCGAATTTATGTTACTTTATCCCAAACTAAATACAGTTATTACTATTGATTTTAATACTGTAACATTTTAGAATTATCTATACTTTTTATATCCAAAATTATTATTATAAAAAATGTTGAAGCTCTGCAAAGGTGGATTGTTCTGTATATACAATTAACGTTCATGTATAGATTTTTATGTAAATACCTTATAAATATTATTATATAAGTATATTAAAAAAAATTACAATTTACTTTTTGTGTTTCTATGAACCACACAACTTTTATTATAAATATATTTCCATTACATATATACAATTGTTGATCACTTTGCACTTAAATTTTTTAAAATTGAATATAAATACTAAAATTTTAAAGAAAATTATACCGTTCAATAGTATTTAAAAAGTATAAAATATTCAAAATATATCTTAGTGACTGACGGTGGTATATAGTTTTTTCTTACGATTTTTTCCTATTAAAATGTTAATTGATTTTAAAAAACTTATTTCACATTAAATTAAAATTAAAATGTAGTATTTGTGTATCTCTCTTATATATAAATTAAATGTAACTGTGACAGTTCAAGTTTTTTACAGTTCACCAAAAATTCATATATTTTTACACTTTTATTAAACTTCTATCATCAATTGAATTATGAGCCTTTAACAGAGTATAACTCATTCACCAATATTCCAAATAAGGCAATGATTATTGCCATTACAATAACTGCTATATATGCTGTAACATGATTGTTGCTTACTGTTTCCTTGCCAAGATCTACAGGAACTGTTTTAACTTCATTTTGACTGTAAAATTCTGCTGGATCTGTTAAATAGAGGAACATTTTTTAATTCAATAACGTTATTGAAAAAAAACTGCTGATATTCTAATGTCACAAATATTTCTTACCAACTTGTCGTTCAACATCTTTTTGAATTTGATTTTCAGAAACTTCAAGATCCAATAATTCTTTAAGCAAAATCAAAGATTCTTGTGGCCCTTCACCAGGGAAAAGATAATCAGATAAAGTAACTTTACTTTGTGGTAATTCTACTAATACTCGTCTCGGTGGTTCATGTAGAGTGATATTTTCTAAAAAAAAGTACAGTAAGATAAAATTGTGCTAAATATCAACCAATAGAAAATGCAATATAAATCGATAATACCTTCAGGAGAACCATTTTCTTCCTCTATCACACTGTCCCAATGTAATTCTAATCTACTAGCTAACGAACGAAGAATATCTTGTTTCATAGCATTGGTGGCTTCATTTATACTTGCTTTTTGATGTAATACTATTCTGCTAACCAACTGACCCATCAAGCGCATTGATGCACTACAAGATACTATTCTCACTGTTCCTTTTTTTTCTTTGTGAGTCTAAAATTCATATAGGACTTATCATATTTCATCAGTAAATAAAACTATAGGAAATATATTAAAATTCCATACACAAGGCAAATACACTCCAACTTGCAAAATTTTTTCTTCTTCTTCTTCACTTCTAACTTTCTTAGTTCGTTTCTTTTTGCCAATGGCTTCTATTAAATCTTCTGATGATCTCGATTCACCTTCAATTATTATGAGGGAAGAGCTGATCATATCAGATATGTTTTTCACAATATCCTAGTATAGAAATGAGTTTTAATTAAAATAAATGGGACAATATCAAAATGTACAAAATTGAATAAATACCTGGAGTTGTCTTTTTAATGTATGAGATGCTCCATCTAAAATTGGAAAGATATGATCCAGATCAACTAAAGCTTCAAGCTGATGCCACTTCGTAGCCTTTTTTTGAAACTTCCAATCAGCTGGTTTTAAAATTCCTCCTGTATTTGCATCAGTGGACTTACAAACATATCTATTAAATGTTAATGATGCTGATAAGTTCATAATGAGACAAAAGATAGACAGAAAATAAGGAACTCTCAAGACTTACTGATCTGTGCTACTATTATAACTCAATATGAGATTTTCCTGATTACTATTACCATATAAGTAAACATTTGATGCTAAATTCCTTTGTATAGCAGTCAAAACTGATCTTATCTTTGATATACAATTACTGTCATTAAAGCAATCACCAGGACCTACAATAAATATTCCTAATACCCACATACCACCTGGTAACATTCTAGTCACCTGATATCAAATAAATAAAAATATCGAGAATGCATTAAGTATGATAATATAAAATAAGAAATTCCACATACATGTTTAGCATGATCAGCCACTAAATTCAGATCAAGATCCTTAATTGATTTCATATAATTATTTGCAGTACTTTCTGAACCATTCATTGGAGACACTAATAGAGATTCTTCTATGACATCTATGTTAGCAGCAGGCAGTGTTCTCGCTAAGTGTACCACAAAATCTTTTTGTGCAGTACTCTAAAATATTAAATAATTTTAGTTTTAGTCATGTCTAAAATTTCAACAGAGCTTTGATGAGTCTAAAAGACTTGAATAAATAATTAACTTTAATAATACTTTTTATAAAATTAAATAAAAAAATTAATAATAATAATGATGATGACAATTTATTTCACATTTACTTTAATAAATTTTACATGTGAAAAAATGTTGCACACATATAGCAATGAATACTTAATTGCTATAAAACAATAAATATTATAGTTGTTTACTTAATTTTTAAGGTACATACACTGTATCATAAAAAAAAAACAAAAAATAAAACAATAAAATTATAAATTTTCTATTCAATCCTGCTAGATTTTAAATTTGCTAAAACCCATAAATAACGACCACAAGCAACTGACATGACAGCTGCTAATAAAAAATCATATCCAACCTGACCGAGAACAAGACCCACGCTGTAACCATCCGGACTTCCAAGGGAATTGAGGTAGTCGAAGTGTCGCTCCTCGGCGAAAACGATCCGTCCCATCTTTGTCTCAAGGCGATTAGTTAACCGGGAAATGAATTTGGAGACACCACCACACCACGTCTGCGCTCAATTTGCCGCTCGTCACGTCGCTTCGGAATGAGACGCTTTTGCGGGTCAGCGAATCTCTGCCTTATCGATTTGTTCGTTATTATTTACATGAATTCATTATAGAGGTGCAGCTACATTTTTTACGTTCGTAGGAAAGAGCATGTAATAATGAATGAGCTTAATGAGTGTTACGCTTTTTTTTTATTTTTTTTGTTTTTATAAAAATATACGTGTACAAGCATTAGAATTACATTATGCTGGTGCAATGACACTATAATTACAATTAAAAATTTATTCTTAAAGTTCAGCTTACAATAAACTAAGCTTACTCCCAATAGTTAAGCTACATATTATCTTCCTGATATACTAAACTTCACATTATCACAGCTATTTCAGTTTGGTTCTTACATCAGTAATAGAATAAAATTTTTAATACAGCTTAAAAGTTATAATAAATAATATATAGATATACTATTAAAAATTATTGTTTAGACTGTTTTAATTTATTTATCAAGGCTATGAAAGATTGTCTCTTATTAGATACTAGACTTTTGACATTATTACAATTACATCCCTCAATTTCAGATGTTTTTGAAACATGTTCTGCAATAACATCAGCAAAACAGAGAACAAATAAACCACAATCGTAGCCATTTTCCTGTTGAGGGCAATCCATATCTCTAAACTGGCCATTACCCTTCTCAACCAAAAGATAACTCATGATGTCTTTTGAAAAATCCTTTGCAACTATTGCGTTCATGCCACTTGAAGAATCATAGTAGAAACAAGCTTTCTCACGCTTGGAAAAAACCATCAAACTCCAGTGCGAACCTCCAGCCGTGCTTCTACTGTTGCAATCATTGACAGGAAAGAAAATGAAGTCCTTTCCTTTTGCCTCTATTGGATCCAGGAAAATCGGATATTCATTTGGACTTGTCAACTTTAGCAGTTGAGTTAGTTCTGGACTTATGAAGAGTAATTTTGAAGTTGATGATTGATATTTTTGTCCAAGATATTCAAAGTAAAATCCAATAACCGCGTCGTTTAACCAACACGGACCATCCAATAAATTCAAATCTCCTTGTCGTAAAACACAATCATGATAGCTTAAAACTATATCATTGGATTTTGACATTGTTGATTCTGAAAATAATTAGATTGATTATTAATTTAGTATTCAAAAGTTACATTATAAATTCATACAAAACATTTTCACGAAACTTACGAGTTATTAGAGAATCAAAAAAAGTTAATAAATCTATCAAATAATAAGTTACTAGCGAGATAATCTCGGAAAAAAAATGTACAATTGTACATAAAGCAACACTAAACGCTCCTCACCAAAACTGTAAACATCACAACTAACCTAGTATATTCGTGAAAGTAAAGGCGCCGGTTCATTGATTAAATACCTATATTGCTCGCGCATCATCGCCAGGTGCAACTGTTCAAGGCTACCTAATTTAAATGAGTTTTACTGAAAATTTTATTGAAATATGTTTTACAGTAGTTGACATTGATTAAAGTAATAATAAAATTAAAAAAATAATATTTTTATTTTTTTTCTCAGAGAATATAACTCCGTTTTAAAAATATTCTTATTTTGTACGTATAAATTATAGAGGTTTCTACTTAAAAATAGGAAAATATTAAAAATACGTTAACGTTCAAAATAAATATTTCAAAAAGCCTATAAAAACGCTTTTGAAAAAATAAAACGAACAGCTATTATGAGGATTGCATAGAAATTAATCGGAAAACGTACATAAATGTATACATATATATATACAAAATAATCAAGATTTCTGTATTTTAAATTATTTATTAAAAAAATATCAACAAAAGTATTCTATATTATTAAGATACACATATTTTATTATATTTTAACTTATTGTTGTATTCAATTATTTTTATTTTTTATTTTTATTTTTAGACTGATCGACATTTCTATATTCATTTTTATCATCGACCGACTCTGGTTGAACGGATTTCAACTTTTCTATCAACTTTGTAGTCAATACTGATTCTTTTTGGACTTTCAAAAGGTTTTTCTGTACATTTCCGAGTAATCCTTCAATGTCTTGGAAATTCTGAAATGTAATATTAAATCAAAGTTAATAAAATACTGCATAACAATGATATTTGCAAATGTAGTTTATTTGTAAACAATCCCTGAAATAACCATAACCTTACCGTTTTAAGTTTCTCGTATAATTCTATTGTTTTTCCTTCGTCGTATTTCACAGGTGGCTCGTAAAATGAACTAGCTGAAGATACGTCCATTTTAGTTTCAATACTTATGTACTCATTGATAATAATTATGATACAGATACTTCTATATAATATAATACTCAAGTGTAATGTTTAAAAACAATAACATTAAATTATCTGTTTACTGTTTAGATTCCCGCAAGAAGGAAAATACTGATACCAGAAAAAGAAACTATACATCACTAGGTGCCTAGGGATCGTTTAAAATCGTTGTGTTAGTTAACCTTAGAATTCTATAGTATGGGAAAATTTTAAATAAAAATAATGTTTTCTTGTATTGTTTTATTGACTTATTGGAAATGCAATGTAATCGATTTAAAATGTAAAATGAAATATATTGATAATTTAGACAGTATAGTAATTGATCTATTTATATTTGTTTACATCATGTTCGATTTATAAACTTAATAAAAATTACTTAAGCATCATCCAAACTATATGCGTTGGGTTTCTATTTAAAACTAATTAAGTGAATCATATAGTTATGTGAACGTAAATCACAAGTCGATGTAAGTAATGTTTATTATTGCATTTACGATCAGTAAGAAGAGTACGCGTACCAATAAAATAAAAAATCTGCCTTACCATCAATTAATCTACCGTATCTTCCGCTCGCATACGCGTAATAGTTGGTAACATCCCTGCCTCCATCAAGCCGGCCATCCCCCACCTCAAGACAGCTTGACGCGCACAGTAGCAAGCAGCAGCTTAGCTCTCAGCCTCTCCAGACTTGTTCATTCATTTCTCGCGCACGCTCTCTCTCTCTCTCTCTCTTTCTTTCTCGTCTCGAACTCTTGAGAGCAGCGAGTGAGCGCCGCGCGTGGGTTACCTTTTATGGCGATCCGAGAGACGACGGCTAGATCTCTCAGCGTTCCGCGTGTTGTGTGATGCTGTGTGAAAAGTGTCCAGGAAGACGTTGACAGGCCATCGGTAGGATCTTTGTTTTGCTATCACTGGGAATATAGCACTTTGTAAAGTAAGTTTTAACACAAGAAAGACATTTAACTACAGCGCATCGAACGAAAAGGTTTTTGTTGTGTTGCGTTTTGTTATAACATGCATAGTGCACAACTACGGTCTGCAAGTACGGCACACACACGGGAAGCTCATTGTTCCGTTTTGTTTTTTGTTTTGTTTTATTTTTTCGCGTTGAGCGCTAATCTTCAATCGCCGTGTCAGTGTGTCGTACAGCACAACTTATCGGTTTTAGAGTCAAGGCGACAAGCGCATTCATAGTTCGCCGAACGTATATTTATTATGCGCGAGCGCGCGAAAGACTGTAAATATAACGATGACAGCATTTTAGTCGCGGAGGCGTGTGCCTGAAAATGCAGCGACCATCCCAGCGGCTCTCCATCCAAAGGGCCAGCCTGACACCTCAGTGTTTATTCTTATCTCGTTTTTCATGAGCTTTGGAAAGTGCGCTGGACGCCGCACGCGCTCGTGTTTTATTGAGCAATCGAAAAAGCGTGGGAGAGCTGGTTTTCTCTTTCGAGAGCGCGCACCGTACGATCTCGCGCTCGATTCTTTATTTCGTTGACTGTATGGGTGGATCAATGCCTGATAGTTGCTTCATTCGATGCAATATTGTTAAAGGAAATTTCATCGATGATTCTGTCGCTAGTTTGAATTTCAACAATGACGCGAATTTCCATTGATTATTTAGTTCGCCCCGGGCACGCGGTTGAAAATGGTTTAGAGAGAATAGAATCGAATGATTCAGTTCTCACTGTAGAAAAGGATGTTGTTCAATAACTCTTTACGATTATTTGTATATATGAAAAATGCCATTTTTCTTTTTTCATGCTGCGCTCGAACGGAAGTTTTTATGCAACGACGATAAACATCAATATCTGTTTTGCATATTGATGCAGTTTTTAATATGTAGTTATTAACATTAGCTTCTTATTTATTCTTCGTGTATTGCAATTATAAACCTCTGCAAGATGATCATTTTTGGATCATGACCACTTTCAAGGATATTTATGTGAGTCGCGATCTATTATTATGAGTTGTACCATTCTGTAAATTTAGAGCACACCTACTACTCTCCGATGTTAGTATTCATGAGTAAGGCGTTACACCTGATAGTTATAGATACTGTTTCACCTTTTTTTCAATATTTTATCAAATTATTTCCATTATTTCCATTTTTTTTTCTTCTCTTGTGTCAATTTTATAAACGCTTCATACCAGTCACTGGGATCTACCAAGAAAATCTGAGTCAGTGCACGGTATATATAGAATGTCGTATACTTCAATATTCATCCAATTTTATAGAAATGAACAGATGAGAGAGCTTGCAGATTTGTTTTAAAAACAAAGCAGAGTTTTCTTTATATTTTTCTTCATAATCCGTGAATATATGCGAGGCAAACAGAAGTTCGCTCAGCATAAATAGAATGGTTTTATAAATAATTAAGTCTTATCCCTAACATGCTTCTTAATTGTTAATAATTAATTTTTTATAACTGATTTTTATGATTTTGGTTAGTTTTGCCTTTACTAATTTAAATAACTTGATCCTGTAAAACAGATCAATTAACACTAACAACTTCAGAGCAAAACTGAGAGCTTTACAATTGTCTGTAGCAATGAGCGGCATGGGTATTAACACAGGCAATGAAAGGTAATTTGTCTTCATACTCTTAACTATAGTAGTCTTATATTATTGCATTATAAATCAATCAAATGAATAAGTTAGTGGAATAAGAGTTTCATTATTTAATTTTTTTATTTTAAATGCTATTACTATTCTTCCTGAATTTACTATTAATTCTGAATTTTAACAGATAGATTTAACACACATATACAAATAATAGAAGTTGATTGCACTTGACACCACTGACTAAATATTACTACTTATAACAAAAATTAATTTCTCGGAGATAATAAGTATTTATTCATAATTATTTTGTTATATGTATAAAACGTGTATTTCCATGATTTATATAATAAAATAACGAAAATAGATATATAGAAATGAAAAATTCTTTTTAAAGAATCATCAAAATAAGCTTGATAATTTTTAAGTAAGATTGTTGATGGATATAATCAAAATGATTTGAATGATACAAAAAATAATTGAATATTTTATATTCTTTTACAGGAATGTTTGTCAGCTTCAAGTGGACTATATTATTTTTATTATTGACATGTATAGTAAAAAGTATGGGAGATCAGCGTCCTGCACCAACTGGTGTGAACGCGTGTATTATCAAACAGACGTGCCATGAATGTATCCAAACTGTTGGCTGTGTTTGGTGTGCAAAACCTGTAAGCTATTTTGTTTATGCTTTGCGTTCGCTTCTTTATCGTGATTTTTTATTCTAATATTTACAGAATTATATTTATCTTACATATTTTAGGATTTTAAAAGTGAAAGGTGCTTCTTACCACATGTAAATCAAAAAATCTCAGAAGAGTGTCCAGACGACTTTAAGATCAACCCTGATAATGAATATATTACGATACGAAATAAAGAACTTTGGAAAGGAAGTTACACTATAGAGCCAGGTTATATAGAAGGTAGTGAATGGAATGCCGGTGGTGAACATTCATCAAGTGGCGGCTTCAATATTCACGGAGAGAGCGGTAGTTCATTTTCAGGCAATAGTAGAGGAGAAGCTGTGCAACTTCAACCACAGGAAGTGAAGATTAAACTTAGAATAAGTGAGTTATCAAATCCATTTGTTTCATCTTATTACAATGCCAATCAAATGAAAATTAAATTCTTTCACAAATTGTATTAAAATTTAGATGAGGTTCAGAAAATTAGAATTCAGTATGCACAAGCTGAAGACTATCCTGTCGATTTATACTATCTTATGGATTTAAGTAATTCAATGAAAGATGACAAACAAAAACTATCAGATTTAGGACAATTGCTAGTTGAAAGCATGAGTAACATCACGAGTAACTTTAGATTGGGATTCGGTAGTTTTGTAGATAAAGTTGTGATGCCTTATGTGAGCATTGTACCTAAAGCGTGAGTGATATTGATATTTAGTTTCAATAATTCATTTAATGAAAATCAATGTAATTACAATTGTAATTGCAGACTTGAAGAACCATGTGATGGTTGTGCTGCTCCCTATGGCTATCGCAATCACTTATGTTTATCAACAAACACTAATGAATTTATTGTATGTATTTAAAAATTATTCGAATTCTATTTTTCTTTATTGAAATAAAATACTTCTGCAATTTTAAATGCTTATAGAAACAAGTACGAGATGCGCCTGTCTCCGGGAACTTAGATGCTCCAGAGGGGGGTTTCGATGCTATAATGCAAGCAATTGTTTGTAGAGATGAAATAGGCTGGAGAGACAAAGCTCGAAAACTTTTACTTTTTTCTACTGATGCTGGTTTCCATTTTGCTGGTGATGGCAAACTCAGTGGTATTGTAAAACCTAATGACGGTTGCTGCCATTTAGAAAATGGAGAATATCAGCAATCCAAATATCAGGATTATCCAAGTATTTCACAAATTAATTTAAAAGTCAAAGAAAATTCTGTGAACATTATTTGGGCAGTTACGGAAGAACAGCTCAGCATCTACCAATCTCTTACGCAACATATAGAAGGATCTTATGCCGCTAAACTTAGTGAAGATTCAAGTAATATCGTCGATTTAGTCCGTGAACAATACAACGCTATTTCCAGCACTATTGAATTGAAAGACACAGCGAGCAGTTTTGTTAATATTAAATATTATTCCACCTGTCTTGGAGGAGGAGACTTAGTTGAAACAAATAAATGCCAAGGCATTAAAGTAGGAAACCAAGTTGAGTTTGTTACTGAAATTTCAGTTCCAGCATGTCCCAAAGATCGTTCGCAATGGAATCAAAATTTTACAATTTATCCTGTAAGATTCTTATATTCGTTATTTTCTTTCCAAATGATATAATTCACATATTAACAAAACTTTATTACCGTATTTTAGGTAGGAGTCAACGAATCACTGACGGTACACTTAGAAATGCTGTGTGACTGTGAATGTCAAACTGTGTCTACTTCCCCTGTTTGTCACTTCAATGGTGACTTGAAATGTGGTATATGCATATGCAATGAAGGTTTCTTTGGTGAATTTTGTCAATGTGATTCTAATGAGAACGGCGTATACGTATACAATGAGTATGCTTGTAAACGTGATAACACCTCCCAGACAATTTGCAGTGGTAGAGGTACATGTGAATGTAACACATGTATATGCACTCCACCGAAAGAACCTTATCAAGTAATATTTTTTAATTAATAAGCCTCCAACTGTTGTAATATATAGATAAATAAATGTGTTATTTTTAATTGTTCAGAAAATTACCGGAAAATACTGCGAATGCGATAACTTTTCGTGCGATCATGGAAACAATACGATTTGTTCAGGCCACGGAGAATGTAACTGTGGCGAATGTAATTGCTTTAAAGGCTGGACAGGGTCTGCCTGTGATTGTAGCACTGATACAGGAACCTGTTGGTACAAAGGACAAATATGTTCGGGTCGTGTAAGTACAATTGGTTAGAATTCATGTCAGAAAAATATGATTACTGAACAACGCAACTAGCATAATGTTCTTTTTTCCAATAACAGGGCAAATGCGATTGCGGAAAATGTATATGCGAAGAAGTAAAAGATCGACGTTATTACGGAAAGTATTGTCAAAAATGTGAAGATTGTCCCAATGAATGCGAGGTGATAAAACCTTGCGTCCTTTGCAATGTTTTCCACGAATTAAATAACCAAACCGTTGATTCAACGGAAGAATGTAAGAAAAATTTGACATGTGATAACTACGAAATAGTTGTGGTCAAAGAGTTGATCATCGAGGTAGATAGAGAAGACATTGACATGGTATCTTGCTGGGGTTATGATATGAACGACTGCAAATATTACTTCGCCTACTTCTTCAACGAGACTATCGGAAAAACTCAAGTAAACGTTCTGAAAGCTCGCGATTGTCCACCACAAGTCTACTTGATGGGGATAATATTAGGCGTAGTCGGTGCAGTTGTAGTCATCGGTGTAGCTTTCTTGCTTACCTGGAAGTTGTTCACGTCTATTGCTGACAGGAGAGAATTTGCGAAGTTCGAGAAAGAAAGAATGATGGCTAGATGGGATGCTGTGAGTATAGTTAATGATTTTTTTATTAATATTGCTTTATTTAAAGCCACTTCGAAATCTGAATCATTAGCAACTAAAACAAATATATCTGATTACATTTTTATTATTACAATGTATTACAGAAAAAAGCAGACAGGTTGATTATTCTAAGCTATGAGATTTGTTGAAATATCACATGAGATTGAAGTAGCTTTTATACTGCAAATGTCGATGAAGCACTTCATCAATTTGAAAATAGTTCCCAGTCTGAAAGCTTATACTTATAGGTTTTTTTTACGGGTTTATTTGGATTTGATGCAGGTTGATAGTCAGGTGGATTTTTGCTTAGCTTATCTAGCACGTTTGTCGCTTCCTCAATTGTCTATGTATGGAAAATTTGGTATTAAGAAGCTTGCTCTTCATTATTTTTTTGTCTGAACATTTCTTAGCCACGTGATCTCCTTGTTTACATAAAAAGCATTTGGAGAGTCATAATGGCTCGACTATAGAGCGTTGGTCTCCTACGGGAGACCGCGTTCCGATTTCCGATGGGTACCTCTTAATTTTTTTTAAGAAGTGCATAAATCAAAACTAACATCGTGATTCATCCAGTGAATCGGATTTCACTGATTTATAAAATGTAAGATTGACTACATCAGATTATCTATAGGCTTTTGTCACGACCGTGTAAGCAAGACATGACTACTCCGCAACGTGGTAGTAGGATATTTCTCGGGAAAACAAAGCATGGAAAAACTCTGTTCCTGAAGGGTTCCACGTATAGGCGGCGGGTGATTCCACGTCTGTTTCCAGGCCACATTAGATTGAGGCGTACCCAACAATCATCTATTCTAAAAAATATTTTAAAGTATAAATACGTATCCGGGATATGTTATTTTCAAAATTTACTTTGAAAAAAAAAGATTGTGAAAAGTTATTTATATCGCCTGGATAAACTTATGGTCTCAAAGTAAGAATATGAGCATAGCTCGGTTCTATGATGTCCGCTTTTATAAATAAGATATTCGACTTTAGTTTAACATTGTATATAGACATGCAGTGTGTTTTCTAACATTTTATGTGGAATAACTGGGCATATATTAGAAAGAATTCACCGTTTAGCTTTTATCAGCAGTGGTCTAATTTTAATTGAATTTTCTTCAATTTCAGTTTGTTTATCAGAGAGACTATCAGCATTCTCTTTTGTAACAAAATATATACATACTTCGTTGCTAGATATAGTAGAGATAAATATTTGTCGAATCTGTTAGGTTTACTATTTCACTAACCTAATCCTTGATGGATATACCCTCAATAAAGTTCATGATAATTTCTTGCTCTATTTTTTAAAATTATTTGCATCTTGAAGAAGTGCATCGCAATGCAACAAATATACTTGCAGCGGCTTTATTGTAAATTCGCCCGAACTATAGAGATACATTGAATCGACTGATATTAATTATTAACCTATTCATTGAGTGATTTTCACTTAACTTATAATAAGTTTAATTTTTCATTTATAGAGCGAGAATCCAATCTACAGGCAAGCCACGTCTACGTTCAAAAACCCAACGTACTCGGCAAGCGCAGCATACGCAGCAAGTGCAAGTGCCGGTGTACGTGAGCGCATGCCTTTAAATCGTTAAGAAACATTCATCGAATCAAGCGGCCATCTGTTACTTTCCGTGAGATGACGATTTCTGGTAAAATTGTCGTTCACTTGTACATTGTTTCGAAAAAAAAAATCATTTTAACGTGATACTTGTAGGCAGCTCTGAGAAAAGTAACGCACTAAATGGAATTACACAATCTATTTCGAAGAGTTGGCTAAAGTTTAATTTTTAAAGACTGAAAGTATTGAAAATATACTTCAAAATACTGCCATAATACTGCAATGAGCACTGTTATGCAATTTTGAATTTACTCTAACACGTTCAGTGCCAATAATGCTTTACTGTTTTTGGCAGTGCGATAACGTAATGATTTCTTATTATTTTCTTTTAAGACAAGAAATACATAGGCAACAATATTATCATGTTTTAATACAAAAGGCAGTTTTGACATCTGAAAATTTGGTACTACGTATATTCTTATTTAGTGTGCCTTACATATCGCCATCCCCTAACTAATAGAATAATTGTTGAAGGAGTTTTTCTATAACTCTTCGAAAATATTGAAATAATGTATCATACTTGAATCATCTATTGATTAGCATTTAGTTCCAGAGGTTTATGTAGTTTATTCTGTTTCCCGATAGAAATATCTCTTGTTAGAAGTGTTTCTCATATTCTGTTCAAGAGTCTAATTATTTTGTCAATCAAGTATTTTCCCAAGCTTCATTAAATAAACTTACTCTTTAACTGAGTTTATGAAAATAAGCAATGGAATCCTTTATTCGCAATGGGGCAATGTAACATTAAATATTTTCTTTTATCGTTGTTAATGTTGCTTGATACCCATGCTTTTAAAAATTGACTTTCAATGCTTTAGCCAAAATCTTTTAGCTTCTGTTAATTAAAGACTTTAATAATTAGCATTTTGTAACTTTGTGTATGCCAAATGAAGCTACGTCGCATTTCCTCAATGTATTTATCAGCCAATCGAATATTTTTCGCAAATGTATGCTCATGTTTTAGTATTTTCTTGAATTCCGTGATAACCATGTAGTTGAGAAGAGTGGACGTGTGTTTCGTGTTTTGAATAACTACTGCATCTATAATACTTAAGTATTCACTACATAATTTTTAATTAATATGTAGTTTAGTTTCAAATTTAATAAAATCTTATTGATCGAAACTATTGTACATACTTATCTATTAATGTAATTTATAACAAAATAGATGTTGAATTGAAGCAGCTCACAAAAAGTAAACATTATGATTGATTTCATGTATCTAAACTAACTAATTGTATGTGTACTTTCAATTGAAAGATAAGACTAGCATTATTTTATTTTAAACAATTTTCAATGATGCTGCGTATCATCGTATCAAATGTGAGCTGGGACTGCAATAATTGTTTAAAACTGAGAAAACAACTTTTTTCAACCATGAATTCAGATATATTGCTTCAACAACAATAGGTTGCATTAAATTTACAAGATAAATTTTTGAATCAAAAACTTAAAAAAAAGTCATTTTCCATCTATTATTCAAGTACCGACATTTTCACGAATTTTCTAAATGGTATTACAGATACACACAATAATTTTATGAGCTAATAAAATTAATATAATACCAGTTTGACGTTGAATTTTTTTCACAATGACACACATCCTATTCCATTGCTTTTTACTTGAATCATCAATGGTATTAGATCAAATGTTTTCTTATACAACCGATTTAGTGAGTCCAGTTGTTGTTTTGAATAATTTTTGTTCTTTCGATACAGACAAATTATTATCACTAATGTTATCAAACCTTGTATAACTTTGATTTTATGGTCGGTAAACTATTTATTGTTCCTCGTCGATTTATGGTATCCATTACAAATTATATCCTTCTATGACATAGAACTACTGCACACTGTACAATCTATCCATGATACGTTCATTAATTAAATTTTACAGTGGTAAAATATTATTATTTAATATATACAAAATCATTGTATAAGGCAATCGCAAAAAATTGGCAATGGAGTCGATACATTCGTATCTATTTAACTGACCGTACTTAACAATAATTTTTCTTCTTATGTCGTTTATTGCTACGTGCTAAGTAATGTTTTCTTCTGCTGTGTAGGTATAAAAATAATTTTTGTACAATTTCAGCACGTTATTTCTACTTTTATAGATATCGTATAAGTATTATCAAGGGACTTCGATCCTTCACTATTATAAAATATTATAGTTATTGTTGCTATATTTTATTTCTACAGCAGGTAACAATCAAGAAGCGCTTTACTTGCAGTTTGCAATAAGAAAAACTGGAATGCATACATATGACTTAAAAAGAGTTTATGATACTTATCAAAACAAATAACCATCTGACAAATCTAGTATATGTCAATAGAGTCATTATTGGTATTTTAATTCATTAAATTAATTAAACGAACCATGTAATTGAGAAGGTTAATCGAAAAGATTGAAATGAATTTGTACACTTCTCTAATTAGTGTGTACTTATGCAGAATCGCGCAAATTGAAATCCCATGGTGCATTTCATAGCGACGATATACTTGCCTTTTCACCTAAGGAGAGTAAGTATGCCGCGCGGAAGTGAACGCGCCGCTACAAGACTTCGCTTGCGCGCGGGAAAAACCAATCGGAAACTTTCATCGTCGCGCTTTTTTGCCTCCTGCGATTTTTGGCAATCTGCTTGTTATCTAGCGCCGATTAATTAGAAATCCAATCGCATATGAAATTGAGTTTACGAGGTCTATCGTACTTTGCTTCCACTCCGTACGAGATTATTATTTTTATCACTGTGCTCGTATCAATGAATCGTGTACGAAGACAATTGAGTCAAGGTTTCGAACGAAGATAACGAAGTTAAACTTGGCGTTGATGACTTCTCAAACGGCAAAGCCGAAATTGACGATTTTGCGATGTGGTATCTCTCAGCACCCTCCATCGAGCAATTGGGGGGGGGGGGGGGAGCGACGGCACTAAGCAGACTGTATTCCATAACGATCTAATACACGTGTACGCGTGTATAATCCTGGCCTTAAAAGGCGGCAAAATCGCGATGCACCGGCCGTCTGACCTAGTTTAGCGCAGCGCTGGGGAGCTAACGGTAAACGTCTTTCTCTCGTTCTGATGTTGAGCTGACCTACTCAAACGAAAGCGCCGTGGCCGACGGTGAAACTCTCTGCGTTGATCGCCGTCGGCATAAGCGAGCGAAGTGAAATCTCTTCAGTTTGTCGCCGCGATTCCGCTCGGAAAAGTCGAAGCCGAATGATATTATGGAGTCGTTCGCACTTCTACTCGCCACCTTCTTGGTAAATCCTACAATCTATCGTTCGGTCTTTACGCCTGCGATATTTACTTTGCTTTCTTCTCCATCTTCGAGCTTCGTTTGGTCTTTTTTTTTCGCTGCTTTGACTTACAAGTGCGAGGTATTGTGATGACGAGGCTTTCTTTCGTTTGTTATTGTAATGACGATGATTTAGGGATGGCTTTACGTAAATTGCAGCTATGTTTTACGTAGTGTTTGAAAATGACATGAAAGAGAACCGTGAGATCTGGTGATTAATTTTGTTAGTGTAGACAATTGTGAGTAGCTAACATTTATCAAATATTTCTTCACTTGTGATACTTACAATGATGACAGTCGATTGCTTGTTGAGACATGGTAGTAATTCGATATTATGCATGATTGCCGATCTTATTGTCAACATAATGTTTCGTTAGGGAGTCGCGATTAATCACTGCATCGAAATGAATACAGCATTAAAACAAAACGCTTTCGTTAGCATTTTTTAAAATCGCTTTTCCGCATTAAATCAAGTTTAATTATACCTTCAAGTAAAACACGGCATTGCCATTGTAATTGTGCAATTGGACATCGCATTCGTATTATAATCGGCAATTGTTCTCTTGAAAAAAGCTGCCGCTGAGAATGGCAAGCCGCTCCCAAAAGTAGAATACTTAATAAATCATATGTACGCGGAACAATGAACGAAGTACTCCACCCACGCGCGACTTTACCTCGAAAATTATATATGAAGATACGCGAATCGTCATCATACTCCTCAGTGACTAATGATTTAATTGGAGAAAATAGCAAAGTTGATGAAACAGCTCTAGCGGAAAATTTTTTCGAAGAGAGAAAGAGAGAGATGAGTTTCGCTTTTCACTGACGATTAGCATAAAAGCAGCGTCTCGCGAGTGACCGGTATAAATTTCCAGCGGATAGAATGACGCACACGTGCACGATTTCTCAAATCTAGTGAAAACCCATAGTTTTTGCGTATACGATGGTACGGATATTCGCAAACGTTCGTTTAATAAGTCTTTCGCAGTGAAACACAAGGTTCAGCAGTTTTCCGAAAGTGAAACGACCCCGGCTGTCAGTATTGGGTTATTGCAAAACTGGGAGGATCCATTTGAAACTGCTGACCTCGATGTGTCAGTGGATCGATACCCGATTCGCTTTCCTTTCCTTCCGCGTCAATTTCGACGACGAGAATGTCGATAGTCAATCTGCGTTATATGCACATTGATCCTCGACAATTGTTGGAGCAGCGTTGTGTTGCGCTTTTTTGTCTGTTCGTTATAAATTATTCAATGGTGGTACACCACTCTTGCACCGAAACCAATGTCTTTGGAGACTAAAACTGATACAAAGCGAAAGTACGATCAAGATACACAATAATCACGGCTGCGCTGTATCCAGGCGATAGGTGCTGGGCTGGTAGTGGCCGAGGGCGGCCCAAGCACCTTCGGCTACGACGCCTCATCGGCCTGCACTCAGCGAGTCGCCAGAGCACACATCGAGAAGCTGCCCTGTGACTTTAGCCGTGATAATTGGTGTAGTGTCGCTGGTAATGCCTATCCATGGTAAGCTGTTTCCGTATATATTCCGTATATATTTTGGCTTGTCGTGAGCTCGCTAATGTATCGCTTTTCTCTAATCGCATTTGCGCGACCATGAAAATTACAGTATAGTCGCCTTGATTTGCTAGCGAGGCTTTTCGGGGTGGCCTCAAGTGGGAACATTAAATATCTGCTCGAGATGTGTATTATCGTGTCATTGGGATTCACACGAATTACAGAACTTCACCAGACTATTATCAATTATTGCAAGCTAAGAACAGAACGCTGATGCACAAATGTCAAAAAAAGGTATCAGACCTAAACGAAAGAGTCCCCAGCCCGTGGGTAGCGTAACCTTCCCTCTCGCTGCTGCCGCCGCTATCCTTCCCCTCTCGAGAGCCCAAATGGCTCGAGCGCGTAGCTTTTCCGTGCCCTTTTCCAATCTCGTTCACGTTCAGAAATGCGGATGTGAACAAATTCGGCCCCCTTCCGCTATACCTCAGCTTCGTAATTCTTAATTTGCCGGCTGCGATGTACACGAGCCCTCTTAATACGATACGCGCGTCGCGATTTTCACGGAGGCCAATTTACAGACTAAGAAAACAAGGAAATGAGTCCGTGATGGGGGGGAATTTGAAATTGTATCACGCCGGAGTATGCAATCTGTCGGATAAAAGCTGTTACGCAATAGCCTCACCGAACTCGGACTCGTTCTACTTACGTAGCAAGTCTGCGTTTTGTTCGGTGCACAATGATGGTTTTGCTCAAGATAACGCGCGGTCATTTACGTTGCACTCAAAGTGCTAATAATATAACTATAATATATAACTCAAAGTATATAATTATCGTGTACTTGTATTTTGATTACTTTTAAAGATCGTGCAAATATTAGAAAAACCAATAATTAAATTACAAGTAACGTAACTCAGAATAGAGTTGTACGAATACACTTCATTAAAAAAGAAGCTTTTTTGAAAGATTCAGTTCTGCTTGAATTGCAATTTATCTATCGATTGGTAATTGTTAATGACAGGCAAGCCGTGCGAAGATTCGTGCAGGAAAACCAAGGACTGATGAGGCGTATGTATGGGGACGAGAAGCACATCGACATCTTCAAGAGTGAATTTGACAAAAACGACGTTGAGTTGGAACTGGCGGACGAGCATAATCACCTATACTCGGGCGATTTAAAGTAATTAAACGATTGTGCAAACTATGCTCGAAAATACTGCATATTTTCGTATTGTAGCCCTCTATTCTCGCAATACCAATTGGACATGGAACACGAGCTGGATCAGCCGATAACGCGACGTCGCAGCCGTGAATACTCGTCTCGTGCATCGAGTGTCGGCGCAGCGAGCAAGCACGACAAGCCGCCCAACGATTTGGAAAAGTCAACGAAAGACTCGTCCACGTTGAGCACTACGTTCGCGACCACGTCGACGTCGTTGGCTACCACGCCACACAGGACGAAAATGTCACCAGTGCCGTCGAGCATGACAACCGGTCCAAGTAACGCGACTTCGAGTTCGTCGACCACGCCAATCGTGATGCTCGCGCAGATCGCCAACATACAGAATCTGAGTATCAATGAGATTCACGGACAAATCGATCGACTCGACGCCAACGCCGAGGAACTAACGGAGATACCTCTGAACGAAACGTCGAGTGCTCCGTTGGAAAACGATCATGACGATGATCTCGAGGACGTTTACTCGGCCATCGACAGCGTAGCCGAAGAAGATGAAGATTCACAAGCGGACGAGTCCCAACAGTTCAGACCTAGACCCGAGTATCGACCACCCGAAGCGGTTAGACCGGAAAATTCGAACGTGGGATCAGTGGGTACGAAGCAGGGTCAGCTGTTCCAGGACGTGGCTAATAAAGATAAACAGCAGGAGTCGTCGGTTTTGAAAGTGCGGGGAATGTAAGTGTTTGTTTTCATAGGTTTGACGACAATGATTGCGCAGACTGACGGACAACGATGACTTTTCAGAAACGCCTGTGCCGTCAAGGAAGAAGTGGTCGCGCCGTTCTGGGCTAACAATACCAGAGGTGAAGTCTTAGCTTTGCTGAATATGTACCCGTTCGAGCAATACGTTCACTGGGAGAAATGCACGTGAGTATACATTAAAGAAAAAAAGATAGCGACGTGAAAACAGTGACGACTCAAAACTTACCTTTTTTCCGAAACTCCTTAAGGCACGAAAACAAACAGATGTACTGCCGTGACGGCTGCAGGTGCGAGCAGCAGTACCGCCTACATCGTCTTCTAGCTTACGACCCGAACAACGAGTGCCGCGGTATCTTCAGCGATTGGTTCAAATTTCCAAGCTGTTGTATCTGTCGCTGCTACGATTTGCCGCTCGAATTCCGGGTCACTTCGCGCGCGCCGAGAGCGAGCCTCGCCAAGCGCAAGTTGAGCGTTCGCGCGCCGCAGTCGCCACCGATCACGCGTCAGAGGGTTCGTCATTGAGGGTCACGTCATTTCCTCAAGATTCAATCGGCATCGCGCGTTTCGCGTTTCTCGTCGCGGCGCGATAATTCAAGTCGCTCTTTCATTTACTCAACCAGAATAGACATTGTTGTAAGCGAATCCATCATTAAAAAAGTTTATTCTATAATCAGTCGACGTTTTACGCATACATATAGTGATATAGAGTGACTGAATGCAAATTAAGGCTCGTGAAACAAAATAGTTAAGCCATTATTTATAGCGACTTTTCCGTTCGTTTGTATTGCACGTTTAAGCAATAAGATGTACGACAGCAGATACCGTAATGATCCAATTTTTTTTCTACTCTTGTGCATTTCTTCTTTGGTGTGAAACAAAAAAATGTTAAAAATGACATTTTTAAAAATATAGTTTTACATCCGAAACGACGACTCCACATTGCTTGGAACCTGAAAATCGAAAAATTGGAAGTGGAAATGAAAACAATAAGACAGCAATAATTTCGTAAAGGATTGTTTTTATTCCGTTGTTCACATGGTAAGAACGTGTATCATGTACAATGAAAGGAAAACCTCGACAGTCATAAACAAATAACGAGCGTTAATACTTGCCTATATAATTTTTTCGGGCTAATGAAAGTAGGTCCGCGACGCGCAAGATACCTCGACTGACCTATTCGAAAGTGTCGCGTATCGATCCCACTTCGACGGACGCAATGTATACACAGGAATGACTGCTGCGAGAAGGAAAGGACGAGGATAAAGCGGCACGGTCGCGACACTTTCGAAGCCACGAACGTTATGCCATTATAATCGGTGTTACATACATTCATTTTATATATAATTTTTTTTTATAACGTTACAAACGTGTTTACGGTATAATATGTTTTTTGCTTGTTTCTTCATTGCATTACATTTTCATTCTCCAATTCTAATACAGGCTTTTTACGGACGTATTTACACGTGACGATTGTAATACCTTCAAGCATTTCGATTATCAATAAAATCAATAATTACGTTCAGCAACGTAATAACCGCAGTTTTACAATTGTGATTATATTAATTTAATATTATTCACCTTATTTGCTCACATATAAATATGCTTATGCTCTTGAATATAAAGAGAAAAAAGATATAAATAGAAATATTACGACTTTTTATCGGTACTATATAATAAACATACGGGTTAAACATTTGGTATATAACAAAAAAAAATCATTACGTAAACGAAAGAATGTTGGAAGAACGGAACATCAAGGATTTACTAAATACTTTAGTGATGTTTATTCTTCTGCACATCAGTAGAAATACTCATTGTAAATACTTCATTATTGTTCAAAGCTTCCGAATTCGAAATACATTATATTTACACGTGGAAATCTTTTTAAACACTTCAAATACCGTTTCACAATTTTCCACACGTTACTGTAATAAATAAATATTTTATAAATGATAATTTATCGTGACAGTTCGATATCCAAATTTTTAACATATACAATAGTTTATTCACAAAGAGCAATAAAAACATAACTTAATATAAAAAAATTTGTAAGAGTTAACATTTCATAGTGCATAAAAATATTTCTCGTTTACTTTCTTCATTTGTACAGTATTTAAATAATATTGATTATGGACGTTAATTTTTCCACGCTCTAAGAATTTATAAGTATTTCACTGGCGTACAGCTCATCAATACAACAATCAAGAATAAAGTATGGAAGGATAGACACTGCGGAAATAAAATAAGGAGAAGAATCAATCCGCTATTGAATGATATTGTTTTTTATCATAATCCTTGAGTCGAATTTTCAATTTACTCGCTACTTTATGCATTTGCTTACCTTATTCATTCGTTTATCGCTTAATTTTTAAATTCTACATTTGAAACACTAAACTTTTCACTACTTTATAACAACCAGCGTTCAACAATTTTTTTCAGAACAACTCTAGTGCAAATTCATCTTTTCCCCTAAAGTTTCGATGTATCTGCAAACTGTTAACATTGCTTAATGATTGCTAATTGTTGTTATAATATAATGTCAACATTTTTCAAGAATAACAGCGCAAAGCTTTTTTTTCACTAGAATTATGTTTGTTATACACATGTTAAAAGTGTTTCCCAAATTATCACATACTGGACCCCGGCATACCATGTTTAAGCACTTTCTTTTTTAAATACCCAACCCTTCCAATTGTTAAAATTCGATATATTTACAAAAATATGTCTTTCAACCTAGACATAATGCGATCCGTTAACAGTAGATATTTTTCGTAAAATACAATACTTTTCTCATTAAAAATACTTGCGTGAGTGAGGACAACTATCATCAATAATATCATAGATTGTCAATAAAGTGTTGAGTGAATTCAGAATATCATGGTTAGCAATCAACTTTTGGATGATCGAATTATTTTGTGTTTTAAGGTTTAATTAACTTTTTGTCACAGTTCGAGAGTTAAAAATCAAGTTGGCATCTAAACTGATTTTTTAGTTGTTTTTCTATTGGCAAGGGTGTTTTTTATACATTAGTATCACGGAAAATGTTTAATAATTTTATTTTTATACAAGATTTTCTCTTTGAAACTACTGTTAACAACAAGGAAGTACAATCAGGCAGTGTCAATGTGGTCGAGTGGTAAAAGTTTGTAGCGTGATTGCGCAAAATAAAAAACAAATTCATTTATTTTTTCCAAACAGACGTTAGTTTGTTTCTCAACTTTGAAGTAAGGTTTCATTAGTAAATATTACCGTTCAATACTGGACTACTTAGGTGCACAACCACGAGTTAACGAATTACTTTTGTGATCCTTATATAATGAGTATACAGAGTGCTTTTAGTTTATTTTATTATTCATTTCGATAATCATAGTAAAATTGTCAAATCACATTCAACAGTTTAATAGGAATTGTACAGCAATCATTGTTGGGAAGCACAACTTGGCATTCATTATGACATGAAACGCTTAATTCAAAGTCAACGAAACATACTTTTATGAGTTGGTCCCTCGGTATTAAATTTTTTAAGAACCAAAGTGTTGCTAGGTCATTTTATTATTTTCTTCGACTGTTGTTTTGTTAGTTATTCAAATTTGATAATCGATACGAGATACCAAACGCTCAACCTCTTTTATGTAATGTGTATTGCTAAATACGGTTGACTTCTTTTATAATAAGTTATTATGTTATTTGCTATTGAGTGAATGCGACTATAACATTTATTTTACGTTGTTATCGTGCTGCATTAATGTACATGAATTTGCCACACATATTGTGTACGAAACTTCGAACGAGCCTTCAAAAAAATTATTACACTCATGCTCATGTAATAATATATAATACGATAATTTATTATAAAAGAGCTAAAACGTGTTCATTAATACACAATAGACAAAACAGGTTAAATGCTTTGTGTTTTGTATATAGCACTAGATTCGATTAATAAAACGATAGTTGAAGAGAACAACAAAATCACATAGCAACGCTTTTGTTCTTAATACGTTTAATACCCCGTGTAAGAATTGCCATGACTGCAAAAACGGCCCAATACTGTTGGAGCACTGGTAACCGAACCTAGTTTTTTCAAGCACTGGACCGGCTTTGAGCCAACATTGAATTAATAAGAATGGCCCGAGCACCGAAAGCCAATACTGTACCAATAATATATTTTTGAACGATTTTAATATTTTTTGTTTTCCGCTTTTGGCGCTGGCCCAATACTAATCGTTAATCATGATGCGCATGTTTATAAAGAATATTAACATTTTAACCTAAAATATATGATAAGTATCGTGTTTTCCGAGTAGCTTTCATTATACCACGCGATGCTGAACAGTTATTCATATCTCAAAAAATCAAGATCCTTGAAAAGGAAAATTCTCTGTTCATCGTCGAGTAGCAGCTGTAGCGACAACGGCAATATTTTTATAAAAAAACTTGATGCGCTTGACTTATCCCAAAAACGTAATGATCGATGCTCGAGGTAAATTTTATAAGATGATTGACATTTTTTATCTATGTGTTTACTTTAATTAGGTTGAGTGCACATACTATTGTTCGTTAAGTTTGACCTCTTAGTATTAACATAAATGTTGTATAAATATTGTTGTTACCTAATTTGTTACTCGTCATACTTATCTTGAAAATGTTAGCAATTAAATTTTAAATAAATAGTTACATGAGTATGTAGTATGTAAAATAATTCAATAATAAATAAAGAAAACGTTGACGCTAAAAAATGCGTTCTTATTTATTAGTTTGATAGCGTGCTTGTCCGACAATGACAACAAATATTGCGTTACCAGTACTGAGCCATGGTCAATGCGTCGGCAATGGCTCACTACTGAAAATATAACCTTGGCCCATTCTTATCATTTCGTTACCCGGATGACGTTGGACCAGCACTGGCGGCCTGTACCGGCAGTCTTGGTTAACGTTGCTGTGCCAATGTTGGGCCGTTTTGACTTTCTTACACGGGACCAGGGAAGCAACTCATAATAGCACTTTGAAATTACAAAATCCCGTTTGTTCCACAAACTTTTTTTTACCACACGAATATCATCCTTCGTTTTACTTGACAATAAAAAGGCACGAAAGCCACGCTATGCTTGATGGTCATACAATAACCTTCTCGTATTAACAATCTGTGAAACAACCAATAAAAAATCTAGAATATTCTTTGTATGTACATATAAAAATACATTCCGTGTAATAAGCTTTTATTTACGAATTTCATACTCAAATATCACATCTTTAATAGTTTTAAGATGAGTTTGAAACATTAACCAAATCGATAATGTAAAAAGGATGGCAATTTAGCAAATTGCATCATATTGCTTTACAACGCTTTTCCTATAACTTTTTAAAAATTAAATATAACATTCCTCAAATCTTCTTCCTTTTCAATTCTTTTCGGCGGTTCAAAATAATCTTTCCGCGAATCAACAAGATATACAATGTTTATGAAAGTTAACGTGTGTTTCTGTTTCAACAATTAGTAAAAATAGTTTATTTTCCAAAATTTACTTTAGAGTTGTGACGGAAAATAAAAATAAGGATTGAACAAATAGCTGGTTTAGGAAATATTTGCGTAAATTTAATTAAAATTAATATCTTTTCAAGAAGACAACGGATTCCTGAGACTGCGCCAAGCCTCAGATGCACCTGAGATGTGTCGTTGCCACGACGTCGCATAAAATTTTTGAAGGCCCCCGAGGGATCACTATCGAGAAAAAATTAGGAATATTCTTTTATTAAATGTTAAGAAAAGAATACTGCTAGGGGTTTCCTTTTCATGAGTCGCGTCGGTGAAAAGAAGAAAAAGAAAAATAGTTAAAAATATACATGTATATTGAAAGAAAAAAATCACTGAGTCAACTCAGAAAATAGAAAATACGTTTTCCCCTTATAAAAATAAAACATAGCATTAGTATCAGTGGGTTTAAACAAATAGTTTGGATACTTTTTTTCTACTCCTTGTAAATGAGCTTAATAGTTGTTTTTTTTTATTATGCCATCGTTCGTGAATTTCAATAATTTTCCTAACGAAGTAGTCGAGGTGGTAGACAAAATAATTTAAGATATTTTATCTTTCAAAGAGAATCAAATATTTGTAATCGATAGGATAAATAATGGCAGGTCCGATATTTCGAGAATAAATAACAACAGCCGCAGTCTTAGTGTACGTGACGTGAAACTCGTTTCATTTGCCAGAATTGTTATATACATTATGTGAGCTATGGAATAAATATATGATGCTAGATATTAGTGGATTAAATTACAATTATGGAATATAATTGTATATTTGTATAAGCTGTTATCTAGAGAAATTGACAGAAAGTTTTGATGAATGGCTACTTGAATTTAAAGATATTCGTGCAGGACAAATTAAGTATTTAATTGATCATACATCTAAGATGAAGAATATTGAATATGAATGTAGAGGAATGTCGAATATAATGAAAATTATTAATTCCAATGAGATATGGCTAGAATATGATTATATTAATAATAAAAGAATTAAGGACTCGTACACTGGGAAGAGAATTAACGAAAAAGTAATACTAATGAAAGAATTTACTAAATTAGCACCAAAATCATTATTTAAATACTTTAAAAGATTGAGATTAGTGACTGATGAAGAAGAACCTACTTGTAATAGAGTGATTAGGGATTTAAGTGAGCTAAAACGTTTATTTATTTTTATTACGTTAATTACTCAACATGGTTTGTTTATTAAAAATCCAGTGACGTTAACGATAAAGAAGTTAGCATATTCGCGAGTTGTAATGACGATTGCTCCAAATATAAAAAGTCGAATAAGTGTAAATGATAATGACGGCGCATTTAATTACAAGTATGAGTAGCGTGAAGTATTAAATGGTATATATGCTGAAGGAATTAAGACTGTTTATAGTGTAGTTCCACTACTTAATAAGGCAAATTTAAAAGAGAAATATATAAGACCATTAATAAATAATTCAGGTGGAGTAGAGTATGATGGAAAAGAGCTGAGTAGAAATGAGCAAGACAAGCTAAGAGGCCAAGGAGCCAGCTACCAACGGAGTGCGAAAATGTGTCTATGGTTATAAAAATAAAACAGCAAGCTGAAGGAAAATAAATTAATTAATCTCTCTGTTTCTTTTCTACCTCTTAAAATTAGCTCACGAACCACTAAAAATCCCTTTTCCTCAGTATCTAGAGACTACTACTAATAGACTCTAGATACAACTCATATAGGGAAACTAGGTACTTCTATCGGTAGGACCGTTGAGTACTTCTCATCTTTGGATTACTATAATCGATTGGAATCCAAAGACGGAAAAATGGGAATAGTGGCACTGTCCCCTTGCGAAAAATTTTTCTAGATAGTGATCCAAGTCAGTTTAGGCGAGAAATCGCACTTCTGACAACAACAGAATTCCGAGACTGCGCCAAGCCTCAGGTGCACCTGAGATGTGTCGTTGCCACGACGTCACAGAATTATTAGATTATATTTTGTATATATGAGTTCTGGAAATTTTATTTTAAATAATAATGCAATTTATAATGTAATATACGAGATTTTGAGAATAATAAAATTGATTTTAGATTTAGTATAGATAAAAATTGTGATCATTAAAAGTTTTATTTCATATCCGTATTTTTCAAAATTTTTAGCTTTCAATTGTACGCTTTCAATATTATATTGCTTTATAAATTAATAAAAAATGACGTTTGAAACTTAGTAAAGACAAATTATTCAATATTAATATTTTTGTTACTCAGTAATATCACGATTTAGATTATTATCAATACAGTGGTCCAAGTGTAATCACGGAAGTGTATTAAAAGCGCAAACACGTTCACTACAATACTTTCGCGCAATTCAGTAAACGTAATAGTTTTACATCTATTGTTAGTAGTATTATGATGTATTTATTACTTTTTTCTATTTATCAACGTGTATTGTTATTTATGATACGTGCCATAACATTGAAATATTGATTGCGCTCGTTGATGCATACAAGTGCGTATTGCTCAAAAATATATATTCGTTTGACTCTCACGTTACCGGGTAGTTTACAATATAAGATGACGTTATAAACTGATATGTCGTCATCAAATATAATATAATATCACAGTAAATGTGATTGAAAATATATAATCGATCCTTTCTTCCTGTCTTTTTCTCCAATTTAATTTTCTTTCATCCACAAATTGGTTTTTAAGGCAAACAAATAGCTGCTCATAATCTCTTTTAACTATTGCCGATATATATATAAAATCAAAATAATATAAATTTAATTCGGTTAGTATTTTGTAATTAACGTTATTTTGAAAAATACATTCAAACGTCGAATTAAATAAAATTTTTGTAACTTATTGTAAAAACTCTTCATTTTTTGGTCTCAATTTCTCAACTTACGCTTAAATATTGTCTGATTACACAGAAAAAATTAAACACCCTTATAAATAGCAATAAACGAAAAAATCTTGTGTTATCGATAATATTCATTTATTAAATGAAACGGCAATAGCTAGCGATTTTATACAAAACTAATAAAAAAAAGTGCGCTGTTGCCGCTAAATAAATAATATAAGATAAAATTACAGGTTTCTACTTTAAGGTGGTCTTGCTCTCAGACAAGTTGTATTTCACTATTACAGCGATTATGTTAAAAAAGAAGAAAAAAAGAAAAATACGCTACTCGACAATAACAGTCATAACAAGTACCGAACAAAGGACGGTAAAAAATTACTCTATCAGCATCGTCTAAGTTACATTTGCACCATAATGAATATTTGAGCAGCTTGAAGTTCAGTTTCCATATACATAAATTTAGATATTTACGAACAAAATGTAGATACTCAGATTTAATTAAAGAAAATATGTACATTATGTAGTAAAAGAAACTTACGTAGAAATACTTTTACGTCGGGTGAAAGTCACTTCAAATTTTCTTATGTTAAATCATTTGGTGTGTCTTTTTTCCTCCTAAGTTTCAGCAACTTAATTGTAAAGAACTTGCAATGAACGAATCTATTCGTTTACGATTCATAATTACTACACAAATAAATATTATAATTCGATAACTTGGTAAATTTATACTTTGTAATCAACTTGAGATCCAAAATTTGTAGGTAAAATTTTGCCTCACTCTCGTCAACTACAACTTATTGCATTTTTCGCGCACACAATCACATTGAAAACAAACATCAACATCAAATAATCTCTGCCTCTTTCTCTCTCTCTCCTTCCCCTCTTCTCTCTTTCTCTCTCTCTCTCTCTCTCTCCCCTCCCCTCTCTTTGATTCTCTCTTTCTCTCTCTCGTGTCCTCGTAGTAAGAATAGTGTCATTATATAATTATACAAAATATTTACAGGAACCAAATAGCTACGAGTCAATTCCATTTAAAAATTCCATAAGCTGGCCCATGTACGAAGTGCTACGTGGTCTCAATTCACACGTTTTTTCTTATTTATGAAATTGTAAAAAGCTTGTGCTTGCACTCATCGGGAATTGCGCTAGTAAACGTCCACACAAGAAAAAAAACTAACATTCAAACGTGACTACAAGTTCGATTGATTCTACCTCGAAAAAACTACTTGTCGCGTTGGAATAATCTCAAACTAGTACAAAGTAAAAAAGTACAAAAATTCAACAAAGAACGCATTATGAACTCTTTGAGTCACGTTTGATAACGAAACTAATTTATATATACGATACAATAATTGCGTACGGACGTAAATTAGCGCTATCGAAAGACGAAACAATTGCAGTAATAAAAGCGAAAATGATTGTCCCCCACCTTGCGACAGGATACATCTGAGACCATGAAAAGCAAAATTCCAACGACTTGGAAACGACGTAAGGACCCCCTGAATGGAATTTAGATTGATTTCCATTGCGGTTTGTGGGGACCCCCCCTTGAACGTCAAGGAAGCCCCCGAGGTAGCCATAGAGCCTTGCTTTGCTCCTCATCTACCGATGTTTTCACTTGATTGCAGATGTGCGCTATGTTCACTCCCGCAGGAATGGTTACTAAAGTGGAAATTTCATTTTACAAAATATTTACAAACTGTGACGATAATGCTTGCTCGAGTTTAAACGCTAATATAACTCACCGTGTATGAATTGTCTATATTCTGTCTCAAGTTTTAGTGACTGTTCGTGCATTTCTTTTGCTGCTTTAGCGCTGACTTTGTCGCTGGGGTAGCGAGAGTCTTTTACCTCTTTTATTTGTTTTATGCTCTTGAATTTAATCAATATAACTATGGGATATATTTGATGCCTATGTAAACGTTCAAGCGACGCCATGGATATATCCAAAATGCAATGGGAATTCTAAAGTAGCAATAATCAATCAACATTAATAAAAAAGTTTAGAATATATAATATTACGTAAGAGTAATTTCGTACCTTTTCACAAATTTCTTTTACAGCTTGTACAGTCGTACACTCAAAATAATTGCCTTTCTTACGATAATCAACGTAAAGCGAATCCCTCAAGCCCTGCTCGAGAGTAGATTGTGAACAGTGCATTACTTCGGGTAAACATCTTGTAAATTGACCAGGAAAATCTTGCAGGAGTTTCGTTGCGACGCATTCGTTAAGTGGTCCGATCATCAAAATTGGCCTCAAGGCTGGATCTTTGTAATACAATAATTAAGAAATATGTCATCAAAAAGATAAATAATAAAGAAATAATTATGGTTAGCTATGGCATCTTGTACTCTGAAACAATATATTTATATAAAAAACTAAAAGTTAATTAAGAAACCCATTATTAAAAATATTACATAAGCTATTGATTTTGAAAGATTACAAAATTATTGATGCAATATACAAGGAAAAATGTTGCGAAGTTCTAATACATACTTTACTAAAATAAAAATGAGTGAACAAAAAAAACTCTATATAAAATCTGGAAACTGTGTTATTGCACTATCAATATTTATATGGATCAACATACCCCATCAATGGCATACATGATACCATCAATCGTGAAAACTAATGAAGATAGATTTAAATTGGAAAATAAATTTTTATTACTAATCTAAATGAGTTGAAAAAATAAATTAACTAAAATATATCCGAAGAGAGCTAAAAATGGTAACGGACGAGTGTAAGCCGTGTACGTCATTAAAATACATCAGAGTACTAGATCAACTTACAATCTAGCCTTTCGACACGTTGGTAACTCAAAGGGAAATTTTCTTCGTTCAAGGTCCCGCTGTCACTGTACCAGCCCATACTTCCAACACCAGTCAATTGCGACAACTCTTTACTATCTCTACTGGATGAGCGGTGATGCTTTTTCCGTCTGAAGAAACTCCGTCTAGCACTTGTCGTACCACGTCTAGTTGAATCAGACTCTAAGTCACCTAGTGACCTCCGCAAAAGTAATTCCTCTTCAACTCTAAAATATAGTTATATTTATTTAAAATTTATTGCTAAAACTAAGTTTAAAAAATTAAATTAGTGTTAATATACAATAATAACACATACTTAAATTTGCTAGGAATGATGCCACAAGTCTGCCTTCTACCAGTTTGATCCACAAGCCAAGCTCTCCAATGACCAGGGGTCCCGTTAAACATTGTGTTGTCAACATACAATATGTCATCCTTGTTGAATTTCAATTGCAGGCTATCGCCAACCTCGCTCGTCCGATCAAACATTGCTTTTACATAGAAACTATCTCCAGGTTTGTCCTTCACTTCGTTATATCTGTCTGGCATATATTGAGCTATGAGAGTGACTTTATCCGCAGGTCTAGCTAATTCCAGAGCAGCTTGTTCAGCTGTAGCTTGTCGAAGATCAACACCATTGTATTCAAGAATACGGTCACCAGTATGCAAACCCGCTTCCTCAGCTAGACAACCCGGTTGAACCGAGTGCACAAATATACCGACGCCATTGCCTCCTACGAGGGATATTCCAAGATTGGAACATTTACGCGTTTCGATAAATAAGTAACGCGGGTCGTTTGGTGGCGGCGTCTTAGCGTTGCGATTTTGATCGTCTTGAGTCGGACTAATAAGAAATGACAAAAGTTTTTATTTTTAACTGTAAAGACGATTTTTCATAAAACTTATTATTAAAGATTTACCTTCGTACTGTTGCATTTTGGCGTTGTAGAGTTGTGTTACCTCCTTGACTCAGCTGACCTCGTGTTAACGTACCAGTACCCGTTAGACTGTTACGAATGCCATCGAGTGTTACGCTCGTACGTAGCTCAGGCTTGCGTATGTTGATGTCGAGTGATGTTGAATTTCGGATCTCACCGCGCATCTCACGATCTTGTGTACTTCGCACCTGCAAACATTTGTTATTTATCTTTAAGTTTTTTTTCAGGTACAGTAATAATACTTTAACGGATTTAAAAAAATTTCACTCTTTGTTCGATTTCTCGATGACTAAACACCCTAAATTATAATTAGCATTATCATACCGACGCACTAACATACACTTCAATAATAGCATTTCACGTGACAAAAAACGAATGATAAATGTATTTTTTAAATAAAGTGCATAGGTAATCATACAGAAGATATCAAAATATAAAGAAAAGAAATAAAATCCAATTGAGCAAATAATTGCACTTCTAACGAGACATCATTGAAAGTTAAAAGTATCCTTACCTCAAGAGACGCCGAAGCTCTCAGCTCACGATCTCTTTCTCTGTCACGTTCGCGCTCTATAGGTGTTCTGATGGTAGGTATAGTAGGTAAGGATGTTTGATCACGTTCTGGCTCCGAGGTCTCAAGTGGCTCGATGGTACTTTTGCGCGATGCCTCGGGGCTGTTGCACGGTGTCGACGAGCCGCTGCGACTACCTTCTTTTTCTCCTTGCTCTTCCGAGTCACTTGATGTCCCTGAACCTAGTTCACTGTATTCTGTTAATAATGGAAACAGAAAGCTCACTAGACATTTCTCTGGAGTTCACAAAGTTTTTAACGAGTCACCATTACTTTCGAAGTAAATTATGGTACTATTGGAAATCCTCCAAATTAATATTACATAAATTCACAATGATTATGTTTTTGTGAATTATGAATTTTTTTTAATTTGAATTTTGAGTTTATAATATATAAATTTACAGTATAATAAATCTCAAGTATATTTGATTTATCATTTTTTAATATGTCAAAAAGGATTGTAAGAAAAATTTAATGTTTCTTTTACAAATCAAATAATTAACTGATAATTTTGAACTTTTGAGTTGAAAATATGCTCGGTATTTACTTTAATAGAGAGTAATGGAAATACTCGGCGTGTATTGGTAATTTTTCGTCATAATATTTTTTCGTTAAAGAGGACTACAGAAACAATCTTTATATACACTAGTCAATATAATGGTATACCGTCCGCGGAAATTTAAAACATCAGGAATATCATGCTGGATAATACTACAACATTATTCAAACCTCTACGCATGCCAAAGAACGATCGTAATTAAAAAAACTACTAATGATATATGAATTCATTGGTTCGTGTAAAATGAGCGTGATAAGAACGCTATAATGTACAGAATATTAACCTGAAATCACACCTTCGAACCAAAGAACCTCTGACGATCTTCAATATCCGTAATGAAACAAGAACTTCAAATACTCACTGTCAGGACTGTACTGGACAAGCATTGTGAACGAGTTACCGCATTGTCTAAGTATATTCGCAGCCATGGTGTAAGAGGCACAAGTTCTCATATTTATTCCACAAACATCGAGCAGCTGATCACCAATCTGTAGTCCAATCTGCGAGGCCAAACTGTGTTCCGTAACAGATGACACAAAAACTCCGCCACTTTCGAGGCATGAAATTTGTATACCAAGTGGTTCCTGACTCTTCTCGATGTGAATTCGTCTCACTTGTCCGCGAGTTGGTCTCGGCTGTGGGTAACAATAATCCGGCAAGCTCGCTCTCTTTGATCTGGTACCACCACTTCCAGTAGTGGAATTCGATCCACTCGTCGGACTCACGATCTCAATGTGAAATGTCGGCATAGGCGAGCCACGCTCAGATGTCTTCTCGATGCTACCTGATGAGAGCTTACCGATGCTATTTTTGGAAGTGACACTTGGATTCGATGGGATTCTAAACCTTTGGTTTTCCTTTTTCCTTGGAAATGTGCCACCTTCATATGGTCCGTGCGAGACGTACGGAGGAACATCGTACGAACTCATGGTCGGATGAGCACGAGGTTTATGATAATGCAAGTCCATCGAGGGTGTGTGTAAATGACCAAAGTTGATTTGAGGTGGAGGAGTGTAAGGAGGCTCGAAGCAGAAAGAACGTGCATCTGGCAAACCTATTGACTCCCCGGACTGTGCGCTCGGTAAGGACGGTGGAGAAGGATATCTCGAGTTGTTGATACTCTGCTGTTGGTGTGGATGATGCGATTGAGAATGGCTGGTGTACGGTGGGAATGAGAAGTTACCGGGTACGCGTGGTGGACCACTTGGTGGACTACTGTAGAGCTGCGAGTGCACACGATTATGCGTCATTGAGTCCGTGTCAAGGGATGTGTACTTGGAGGTGCTCATGGCGATAGTGCGTTTTTTCATGTAGTAATCGGGCCTTATGTTCATTGAGAAATCGAGGCTCGTATCTAATGGCACCAAAGCTGCTGCCAAATTTCCATCGGCAGCTTCTTTAAATTGCACCGGTGATGGAACAAATGACTTCTGTACGTGTTGTAGCTGGCTTGCTTTACTACTGAAACTCTGGATTGAACTCTCGAGAGCCTTGTAAACGGTGTGTCTATTGGAACTCATGCCACTAGTCGTGCCAGTAAAATTTGCTAAGGGAATTGGCTGGGAAATGCGGTTGTAATTATACGTGCACTCGTATTTCGGTGGATTGCTCAGCAGCGCACTTAGTGGAAGACGCTCTTTCGTTTTGCGTGGATGCATGACTGTACCTGTGCCATTCTGTATCAGCGGACCTAGACGGGCTTTTGGCCACGTACCTCCGTTTTTCTCGGCTGCCGATTTCTCGGTGCCGCTGCCACTGCTCACGCCGCTTGTTCCACTTATTCCGCTGCCTGTTCCACCACCATTTGCGCCTACTCCGCGGCGTTTACTGCGCTTTAGCACTCCGTTGTTACCTTTAAAGGAAAATAAATAATTGATTTTTAGAAGTCATATTTTTTCAAATTTCAGTCGAACTTTTCAATGATAAATTGTATATTTTCAAAATACTTACCATTACTTGCTTTCTTATGATAGCTTTCGATCACAGAATCAAGCTTAGCTATAGCATCTTGCTCTTGCTCGAAAGTATTTGGACTTGAATTTCTATGCCTCTTTTTCTTCTCATCACGATCTTTACTGTGCCGTCTTCCTCGAACGATATCAATCTTTTCTCTAAAATTATCCCAAGCATGACTGATACCACTAGGTTTATCAGCGCTCATTGATTTAGATACTTTATAACCGCTTCTGTCACCGAAACTAGACGCGATATATCGACGATCGTAATCATCCGCCGAAGTTGTAGTTTTAAGCATCATCCGTTCTTGTTCGGTTTGAGAACAACTATTAACCATTTTACGATTTTCGGGAGTGAAGCTGCCGACCATCGGCATTGTCTCAGCACTTGATGCTGTTGTCAGTGCTATTCCCTTAAGGGTCGTAATTGTTAATACATCAGTTGACGTATCGTCAAGTATCGCCATTGCTTCGTGGGCTGAGGTAACTCCTTCCATTGACTTGCTATTGATCTGAAAAATTGTATAAAGGTGAGCAATCTTGCAAGACAATAAATAAGCGATATGAGGAGATATAAAGAAATTAATTACATTTAAAACTCTATCTCCAACGGCGAGATATCCATTATTAGCTGCTGAACTTTCGGGTGAAATCTTGGCAATGTAAATTCCAATCTCGAGTATGATCCCATGCGGAACTGTGCCCACTGGTAATTGCGTGGTCCTGAGTGATCGGTTGATTCTTCTTCTTCTGATAGTCAAAACAACCGGTCCAGAATTACACGATCTTAGTGTTTCGAGGATCATTCGTGTCGACGAACAGTCCACATTGTTTACCCTTAGAATACAGTCGTTCACTCTAAGTTTGCTCTCTATTGCACTGCCAGGAGCAATTTGAGCCACATATATTCTAGAGTCATTCGGATAGTAAGGATTGTCTCGACCACCAACAAGCATGAGACCTAGATCACAATCGGACTCAATACCCATACGATTTAAGTCCAAATGTACCGTGACTGCATCCCATTCGTTGTCGGAGTCGTGACTGTATTGACTGGCGCGTAATGTATGATCACCTGACTCGATCTTTTCTTTCAGATCTTTTAGTTCTTTGGACACTTCATTGCGCTGCTTTTTCATATCGTCTGAGTCGCGTAGAGCATTTGCCAGGTCAGATACGGCGCGATCGCGTTCCTTACGCAGCCTGAAACGAAAAGAATGTTTATGATTGGAATACAACTATTGCTGCTTTTCAATAACACATGTTGATTGTAAATTCCAATTGCAAGCGTTGAAATAAATTCAATTACGAGCGTTCTACAATTTCAAACTTCGAATATTAAAACAGATGAATTTGAACATCGATACTAATTACATTAAGCTTGAACATTTTAACTATCCTTTGGATTTAATTACATTAAAATGGAGGTCGCATCGCATTATATTCATATCATAGCAAGGATCACAATCCATATAGCAAGAATAACGACTAAGTTGGTGAGTAACAAATTTTAACGTAATTAACAAACATGCTGCTTGTGTTTACATGCACTGATTATTTCGATATTTCAACAGAACTAAATATTCCTTTGTCGGATAGTTTGAAATTTAGGTTGAAATTTGACATAATTTAACTTGATACTCTTGCTGCAGTATCTATTGTATAATCAATGTCATGAAATGGCAATTATAATTTCAGTATTTTCGCTCAAAAATAGATAAATTACTCGATTAATAAGCTGAGAATTTTGTAGCTTTTTCATGTTTTCTTGCTTCAATTATTGAAAAAGATGCAATGAAAAAACGGCAAAAAACTCAATAAGAAACAAGCTATAAATGTTTATAATAATTTTTAATATTAAGTAAATGTACTGTCATCGTTCAAGTGGAGAACATACCTATCGCAAAGTGTTCTAATGCTCTCACGTTCCGAAACAACTTTGTCTCTTTCACTGAAAGCCCAGTCGCGACGGCGTTTAGAGACTTCAGCTTCTTGCACTGCATCCTCGTATTCAGCCTGTAGCTTATCGGCGTATTTACGTAGTCTGTCGATCTCCTGATTAGCCTGGTCAAGATTATCGACGCGTTCTTTCTCTCGCTTGGCGTAGTCGCGCGGATTACTTTCTTTCTCGGCACATTCTTTGTTCGCCACATCGTGCTCAATGCTGTAAGAGCGCAACTCCAAACGATTGATACGCTCACGGCTCGACGTTTCGCTGTAGTCACCGAACTTCTGACGCAGCTCGTTACACTCTTTTAGTGCTTCGTCGCGGTCATGCAGTGCTGAGGAAATCTCGCGACGTAGAGTTTCCACCTGGTAGGACAATGTCTTTTTCTGAAACAATTGAAAAGCAGTTGGTTATTCAATTAGTCCCGACGAATAAATTTCTTTATGAAAAAGCATTAAGTTTTGCTTTACAAAGACCGAACAAAGAATATGTACAGAATATATAAAGCGTAAAGAATATGCATCTTGCATATGCAATATTTATATATAAAATCGTGTTTAACATACAATATACGATCAGAATCAAGACTTACGTATCCGTACTAATTCCAGCATGAACGATTGTAAAGATTAAAACAGTTTACGTTAATGTACATAATTGTGCTTTGCCCTGAGAAGTATGTTCGATAAATTTCTCGAATTCAGCCTAAATTGAATTCAAGCCACCCCCATTGGAATAAAAAAATGATATACCTCTTCAACGAGATGCTTATTCTCACTCTCCAAATGTGTAGCCTTGGCGTAAGCCTGGCTGAGATCATTACTAAGGGTTTCCATTTCTTGATGTACAGTGTCCCTCTCGCTCATAATCAAACTGTACTCGTGGAGGGCGGCATTCCGCTCCTCGGTGAGCCGTTTGATTTCTTTGCTAGCCTTCATACGTCCTACCATTGCTTGATTGATCTCTTTCACTGCTTCCTCGTGCTGCTGCGACACTTTTGCCAAAGCCTCGCGATACTCGTTACGCTCGCGTAGTGCTATATCCCATTGGCGTATTGCCGCTGTGCATTGCTGCTTTAATCCGTTGCGCTCTCGAATCGCAGAGTTGCGGTCTACAATCACGTCCTCTAATTGCTTATTCTTTCTGGCCAACTCGTCTTGGACCAACTCCAACTGCGCGCGAACAAAAAGTTGCTGTTATTCTTTTTGCGAAAAATGTTTCAAGATTGCACAATTTCATTTATCTTCGGAGTTTCTCATCGGTATACAATTTTTCATTTGTATTGTTAATATTCGCCAGGTTGGATTACTTAGCAAAGTTAAACATCATCAACAGACGAAACGTATTTTGATGTTTGCCTATGATATTACGTCTAATCAAGTTTTTTTTTAACTTGCTGCCAATTCTCCAAATGTTCTGTATTCATTAGTAATTTTTGACTTGTGATTCATTAAATGAAATTTCGAATTCTCGACATGAACCTACTTGTTATCGTTAATATCAATTGATAGTTGTTTTTCCGTTAAATCAGAATTAAATCAGAAGCTTTTTTAAAAAAAGTATTTCATTTTCTATCGAAATTCATGCTAAAAAAGGAAAAAACTTCCATCGGCGATTGAAACTTTGCATACAGAAAAAAGCAAACTCATCCGAGCTCACGTAAACCTCGAAAAGCTTGTGCTAAAAGCAATATCAAATATTTAAATGTAGTTACTCGCTGAAAATCCTTCAAAGCGCATATCTGATGGGTTCGCTGGATATTCGCAAAAAACGAAGTCTTTGAATTGAAACGCAGATGTTCGATAAATTTTTACCAACGAGTCAGTAATGACGTTTTGTTTCAGCGGTAAACTAAGCTCTTATATCCAATGTAACGTGAACACAATTAACTATGCGACAATTCACGCGAAGGTATTTCGTTGCCCGTTGCGAACGAGGCAGGCAAATAATGCGAATACCATCCCCGCACGTGCTATAAATTAAATGTCTTTTAAAACCACTTAATAAGCTAAATGCGCAACTGTCGCAATCACTGGTCCGTAATAATTAATATATTTACCACGGAGCATGTACGCGTGATGAAAATCAATAACGGAGTTAGGTCCATTAAATTAATAAGATAGTTGCGTTATAAGCGCTAAAATGACTTCTTAGAGGAGCGGGTAGTTTCCGTGATTCACGTTTGCCTTAATGGGACTTTCTAAATCAGCTACTCACGGATGTTAGGAGACACATTAGTACTCCCTAATTGCCTGTTTGTTTAGGCTGTTATGATTTTGAAATAACTGACATGGAAGTAACGGTTGCATTGTCGTAAGTCAAAAATTCAAATTGACCTATCATTAAATATTCTACTGTACGTTACATTGCGAGCACTGCAGCTGACGATTTAATTGTCGTCATAAAGTAAATGGTGAAAAAATAATTCGAAATTTCAAACTTAACAAAAATTGAAAATTGTTTGACTAACATCATACATTTCTCACCTTTAGTAACCGTTGGCGACTCATTGATTTTTAATCTTAATCCTCTTGCAAAAAATAATCTGAGGTACACTTCTATAAAGCTTGGTTAACACTAGTGAAGATTATGAAAGTGTGCAAAACTAAAAGATTAATTTGAGAACTATTAATAATTCAAATTCACTGAACTATGTTTAGTTAGAAAAGTTAGTCCGGAAAACGAATACGTGCTATGAAATTTTCTTAGCGAAAGTTCCGCGCTCCCTCTGATTGCAGAATACATTTCGTTACATTAATTCGTGATATTATATGCCTAAGGCTGTACTAACGAGATCGTAGCGAGATTATTTTAATTTTTAATTTACGCCATAATGGTTTTTTAAACTTCGAAACAAAGTTGTAGCAAGATCTTTGAAATCTTCGAAGTAGTGAAAGTTGATTTAAACTTATCAAACTGTCTGCAGGTTATTAAATTTGCCGTAACAAGTCTATGCCGATATATTTGGAAAAGTTAAATTCAACTTGACCTACAAACCCCTCAACTTTTCCTTTAAATGAAAAATTCTACATTTTTTTTTAAATTTGAAGTATGAATATATAACCAACTTAGGTAAGCATCGTCGTTAATATAACTAATATAGCCTATAAAATAGTTGAGCAATTCGCTTTTAATTAAAAATGCTCTTATTTCGATTTTGCTACAACACTTTTATTTAATCTTTCTAAATAACGTAGCGGAAGCGAATTTTCACAAGTAAAGTACACAATCTTCACAAGTAGAGTACACAATCACATACTTTATATTTATAAAAATCGAAAATTCGTTACGACTGCACAAATCTGTTTCAACTAAGCTTCAAGACTAAGCTCAGTCCTTCGAAGACCTTGTTATAAGCCGCGTCTCAAAATTTCTTTTTTCCCATTGGTGGAAAAACGTGGCCAACCGAAAAACAACGGATGAGTCATCGACAGGTAGATCGGAACAGCTGCATTCGTATAAGAAATCCACAGAATCCCGGAAAGATAAAGGCTGGATCGTTTCCAACAGAGATGTTGTTTCTAACAACAATGCCGTATTTTTATATTGTTCAGTAACAATGAAAATCCAGAGGGCAGTTGGTTAACAAGTGAAAAAATGTATTTTCGAAAAAGCTTTTGCGAACGACAGTTTACTCTATTTCTCCGTTATTTTTTTTCCTCTCTTAAAAAACGATGACCGAATTTTATTAAGCCTTTAACGATGTCATGCGACTATACTTTTTTTGGAATTCAATAAATTACTTCGAAGATTGACATTATGTTTTCAGGCTTTTATAATTTATTTAACATAATTAATTTATTTAAATATAGTTATGACATTCTGATAAAAGTTTAATTGAAAACTATAAAAAACGAATCTAAATAATTAAAACATAATAGGACATAAGTGGTAGTGTTGCTGACGTTTGGCTAAAAGAAGGAAATTATGCTATACTATCCCAAAGTGGATGTAATTAATTGCCAAATTCGGTGATCCATTCGATGTTACAATAAATATATTTACATAGATTTCTTTTACGAATATTATCACATAGCTGTAATTTTACAATTAACAGCGATTATTTTTTATATACCTAATTTAACTCTATTAGATTAGATTTTCAATATAATGAACATTTGCAACGATCATTAAGAAAGCACAGGGTCAAACATTTGACTACATTGGAATTAATTTCCAAAGAAATGTTTTCAACCATGGATAACTTTCGATTGCATGTCGAGAGTACGATCATGGAATTCATTAAAATTTAATCTCGGCGGAAAATTTTTTACTTTTTCGATAATTTATTCATGTTGTACGTGATAAAATTTGAATCATTACAAAAAATCAACAGCTTTTCAAGATGACTCTTGAAATAGTGATGAAATTCAAAAACATTGGACGCGCGTGCAGCGCGCTGTACGAGTTCTAATTAGTCATTAAAAAAAAATTAGTAAAACTACAGCAATATATCATTCGTATCGGGAATATAAAAAGAAATCTCACCTTACTGACAGCCGCCGTGTGCGAAGCTATGAGATCATCGTATCTCTTCCTCAGCGAGTCGTACTCGTCTTTGATAGCATCGTATTTTCTCAAGGCTGTCAAATAATGTTGATTCATAGCGTCGCTACTAGCTTGCGGATCGACAACGACCACCTCGGGAGTTTGGCAACGCAACTCGGTGATTTCTTTTTGCAAGGCTTGGACCTCGCGATCGAGGCGCTGCTTGTCGTTCATGAGCTCGTTGTATTTGCCGCGCAGGCTCGACGTTGATGACGATGAATCTTGTACTGCCGCCTGTGAATCGGGTTGTGACATTATCTGCTGGCTACGATAATACTCCAGCTCTTTCATTGTATGCTCGTATCTGGAAAAGGCAATTTCGAGAAGTGAAAATTATGGATGACGGGCGATGTTGTATTTTTCAAAGTGACCGCTATCGTCTACAGTGCCGATAACTTTGCCAATCGGTTCAGCGCAATAGCGTACCGTCGACCAGTGCAATCAATCAAAATAAAATGTTACAAACCGATGTTTGCACGTCGAAAGCATTCTTCAAAGAAATCAATTTTCTCTTTCGGTTAAACCTAGATGAGTATTTTCGGATTTACGATCTAAGTACACAAAAACGCGAATGGATATATTCACTCGAAAATATAATACAGTACTTCAGAAACGTGAATCGATAGCTTACGATTGGTTTGGTACGATGCGGAATTGCTAGTTTAGAAAAATACAACAAATTCCTTGTAGAAATATTTTGTTAGAAGAAAGAAACGTATAACGACAAACTCTTAAGGGTGAAAAATCGCACTGACATACTTGCTCTAGATTTATAATAAGCTCGATAAAATAGAATATCGTTATGCACTGACATACTTTATGAACTTTCTTATTTTATAGAAATACATAATCCAATACTCAATACCCAACGTGCGTGCTATATTACATCCTAGGAATTTCACTTCCTGTCCCTATTTTTCTCATTTACTCCTACTCCTGATACTACTCCTGATGTTGTAACATGCATTTTTTTTACAAACTACGACGACCATTTTTAGAATAAAAATATCAAAAATCACCAGAGCGCGCATGCAAACAAACCATTACTAATACTCGTAGTTCTCCAAATGTGAATTTCACTTGAATAAAACAAGGCAAACCAGGAATCGGAAAAAAGCATTCGCTTCAACGACGTGTCATTATTCTGCACACACACCACACTCTCACTCATATACACCTTTTTCCCTTTCTCTCTCTCTCTCTTTCATACACACACACACACAAACCTATCGTTACATAGAGTGAGCATCGATTTTTTTCATCTCGCCTTTGATGCTATTTTAAAAAGACCACAGTTTTTAAAACACAAAGCTGCAACTAGTTCACGCACGAGAAAACGGTTTTGAGGTGAGCGCACCCAAGAGATGAAGGATCATTGTTATTCTATTGAGATACGAAGGTAAATACAATGGCAGGTTTAGTGAACTGTAACGAATGATAAATTTGATATAGACTCGGGCGAGGGAGAGAGAGCGAGAACGCCTTTGTTAATTAAACAAACGAACACAGTCGAAATAATTGATAGTTTGATATTGGATCGTGACAAGACTATTATTAATGTATGATTGCTTGATGCTTGTTTAGCTTCTATCTTTTTCGCAATTCACTGAGTTATCATCACTTTTTATTGTACAAATACGCGTAGTACCAAATTTTTCTCTTTTTTGAATCAGATTTGACTCGAACGAGCGAATTGTTAACTTTTGTAACACTGAACATTTCAAAGAGATATAATTTTTCAATAAACCGTGAGGAAAATACGACTTTGTGCCACACTCGACAAAAAATGTGCACTCAACTCGCGCTTGCCATACGTTGTTTTAAAAAAATACCACAGCTAACGTGTTCGACAAAGAGATTCTCGCCTCGTGTGATTTTCCAACCTTGCTTCACTCGGGTATAAACATTCCACGAAGCAAGAATCTACTTTTCCACGCTAGTTAGGAAATTGACTGTTGTTACGTTCAACGAAAACTTGACCAATTTGAAATAAGTAGGTGAATGTGTTTTACTATAAATTGCATAAAAACAATATAGGTGACTCCTTTTTTGTAACGCTCACTTCAAAGCCCTTCAGCGGAAAGGAAAACGAATACAAACAAAAAGAAGAAATTGAAGCGCAATGGGCAATGAAACGAAAAACGGAAAATAAAACAAACCGTCGAAGAATATCGGCGTGTTTGTGTCTAAGTCTCTGGTATTGCGCTTGCAAATCTTCGTACTTGCTCCGATTGACTGGGCTGGTGATATTCTCACATCCTCCACTATCTCTCTCTGCATGCCGCAACACATAAAAAAGTCATTCCAAACAAAAACAGAGTGCATTACTCAAATTTTCATAAACAATACGGTAATATTTGTTTTGTCAGGCAGGACAAATAAGTTTTACCAACATTTAACAAAAACAAAAAAAAATAAATTAATAACTAATCGTACTGATTCAACTTACCAGCGTTGAGTGTTCCATCTGAAAAAGAAAAACAAAATTTCTCTGCTTGGTAAAGTAAACGTGAAAGAGGAGACGTAATAACGAGGTAAAAACTCAGCCGCGTGTAACAGCTAATTGTTGGTATATAGAAATCCTGGGACTGCTTTCACCAGGAAAGAAATTATTGGTCACGCGGCTGAGCATCAGCCTGTTTTTTATTTAATATCAGCGAAATCAAAAGTGATTCATAACTCACGAAAAAGTGAAAAAGAGTGTTCATTAATTTCGTTAAATAAAAACTCAGACGGTTACGTTATTTCAGAGATATCTAATTGGAAACAACTCTCATTATTAATTCCGTGAATTTAATTATTCCGGCCATCTATGATTCGTGAATCCCGTTAATTAAGCGAGCTACAATAATGCACTCTAAATAACGTACAGGCTCTGAACGTTGCATTTTAAATATTTAAATGTATTAAAAAATCTCGATAACACTTCGAGTTACGCTCGAATTACTACTTCTGTTTCTTGAAAATGTGTTTGCATGATTCCTATTTAAAACGCTATATAAAATCGAAAATATAAATAAACAAGGCACATTAACACTTTGATGATAAAAATAAAATTTAGCCAAACCAAATATTAGAAATATTAGTTTTATTAGATCATTTGAAATTCATTGAAATTTAAAATCCTATTTTACTGTTAGTGCTTACTAATATGTATAATATGCTATTTTATTTTCATATGGAAAAGTAGACTTTAGAAACAACGAATATCTAGTTTTTACTAAATTAAAAGACTACTAAAAATCTCTACAAGTTCAAGTGAAAATTCATTTTGTTTTTATTTTTATTTTTTTTATGTGTTATCAATAAAGAGACAGTTTTGACCAGTATTGTTTAATTTTTAATCATAAACTTGAAGTAATGCATTCTGTTAGCTACGAAGTTCTCAATAAATCATGCATCAAACACTTTTCTATTCTACTTCTGTAACTAAAATATAACAAATTAAAATAAAACTAGTAGCATAATGGATCAATAGGTTAAAAAAAAACTCACCGCTGTTTCCAGTGCTGTCCGATGGGGCAGCCCCAGAAGCCATGCCCTCCATCGCTGCAGACTGGTTTGCGCTACTCCAGCAACGTAAGCAACGTTCGCCTCAAAAGTAACAACGACGCGGCGTACTTCACGCCAGACCAAGCCCTTTGTGGTTTAATAAAACGTATATCCTTCATAATGACAATTCATGTATAGGTAAACAGGTCTTCTCCCCTGTGAACAGCAGATAGAAAAAGCCAATATTAACAAGAGTAAATAAGCCTGCACATTATCATAAAACTAAAGGGATAAGAGGCTATGTTATCAGCTCTTGCACCTCAACTATGACATTTATGTCAAGGAAATCCAATAATACGAACACAGTGTGATGGCTTCTTGCAAAAGGGAACGAGGATAGGAAAATGCAGAAGCAGGAATCAGATATTTTTGAAATGTCAAGGTCAATTAGAGTTATACAGTGTTCTAGAATGAAATTGGAACTTCAACTAAATTGAAACCCTGGTGGGAATAGCTTTTATCTCTCAGGATGTGTATAAAGTAAAATGAGATATTGGACTCAATATTGGATTATTTAGTTTGTTGGAAATTGTTTTCAACAGTTGTATGGATTCAGTTTGATTACAGGATACGATGTAAGGTGTTAATAATTATAAAAATAACTTTAACATTCTTATAACCCAATGAACAAATTGTTGTCACAGTTTCCCACAAAATAAATATTGCTTTATATTAAGAACATATAGATTTTATTAGTCTAGGGCATAACAAAGAAAATTGTGAAACATTAACACATACAAGATTAGCTTGATAATCTCCAACATTAAAATGTTATCTAGATTGCATTGATCTAAATTCATGGAAAAAGCCAAATCTGATATTTATCTTACAAGTCATAAAATTAAAACTATTTTTCCTTTTTGTCTTTTTTAGGTACAATTGTTCATTATAATACTGTAAAACTTAAGTAACTAGCTCAATTGATTTAATAAAATCTTCCACAGACATTGCAAAGATAAATACTTCATTAAAAAACTTTTAGTACACCTGTATAACTATACATGCAACGATCAACCTGTTACTCTTATCTCTCCAATTTCATACAACTTTCAAGACTATCAGACTGATTTCACTTTACATAAACACAACAATGAAGTAGAGAGAACAAGAAAAATTTATAAAAGAACACTCAAGTCCAGGTAAAAGGTGAGTGTCGCATTGAAATGCAAGAATGAATCTAACCCAAAACAAATGCACCAATAGCACACATTCCTTACTTTACAGCACCAAATCCTAACCAAAGCTAAGAAAGATTTTAAACATATTCATTAACACTTTTAGCAAAAATAAAATTTTAACATAGAAAAAAAAATAACAGAGTATATACATAATGAAGATGTAAAAAGTGTAAAGGTGGTCTCTGTGTGTCTCACAAGTGAAATGTAAAAAGGCAAACTAACCAGAAGCGAAAAGGCAGACTTCAGTCTCTCGCAGTATCTCGTATTAAAGCGGAGCAGCCAGCACCAACAGCTCGTCGGTGTGCACGTCACGACGGCGGTGTTGGCTGTATTCCTAAGGCACTTGATGGTAGACGACGAGGAGGAGGCCGGTGCGTGGCCGCGCTTACGCCTTGTAGCAGCAGCGCACCATCCTCAGGAGGGGACTTCCCTCCCACTTTCTCTGTCTCTCTCCTCTTTCTCTCTCTTACTCTCTCACTGCTCTCCTCTTGACGACGCGCGCACGATGTATATGAAATGCGACGCTCTTGCCGCCTCACTCGCTCTTTCACCTGCTGCTGCTACGCGAGTTAGCTTGACAATTAGCCATTTTCAATCTACGAACGTATACACACACTAACACATAGGTAGGCGCACACAAATGTAACGGCCATTACTTTTGCTTATGCGCGAGAGAACGAAACGAGACAGAGATTACTCGCACTCGCACAGTCACACACTCTTAGTCTGACGATACATGCACGATGATTAGAGATGCGCGCGCATAAGGCACCTCCACCCTCCACCGTGTCAATCCACGCACACTCATGCATACATAGAATATCTATATATACGTGTACCAGTCTGTAACGTAATACTGATAGTTGGTAAAGTAAACGTTTATTATGGCCGGGTTAGATATGTATTGCAATCCTCCCATATAAAAAAGGAAATAGACTGATAGTGTAAACAAGGTATAAATTAATAAGTAGAGTGAAACCGATAGAGGTGCTAGGATGGATTTTTAATTTTATAAATATTTTGAGTGACTAAAATTAAAGATGTTTATGTTGTTGAATTTCAGAATGCAAACGTTGTAAACTATACTCAATTATGCTACTTCGTGTAGAAACCTATTATCTTAAAGTGGACTGCACAGCAATCCAGACACGTATAGATTCATGTATAGATTGTGTAAGAGTCGTAATCACTAAATCAATTTAGTGAGAAACGAACAAAGGCAAAATCTACCTAAAATCTATCTTTGCTAAACGTATAAAACAATGAAAAATGCTAATGCTAATGCGGATTTGAAAAATAAAAATTTAATAGTAAGTAATTCTAGCTTATCTATTTTTAAAACATACAATTTTTATATTGATTAGATTAAAATTTTTAATTCATGATCTCGGTTCGCTTGGCTGAGGTTTTAAAAGATATCATCTAGAATTAGTTTTTTTAAGATAATCGATAAACTAATTATGACGTAAGATAGTTTGTAAATAAACAGCAATAACTATTTTCTCTACCATTTGTTAGTTCGTCCTCAGGGGTTTTTACCCTACAAAAAACATAAAATAAATCTTAGGTGTTAGGTCTTAGCATATCCAGATCAGAGTTGTAGTAAAATCGTGAAAATGTATTTATGAAAAAACCATTCGTAGACCAATCGTTAGTTTGCGAGACAAACTAACAGCCCTCATGATAAAATCAAAGATAAATTAATAAATTAATTAATTATTTAAAAATAAAAAGCTGATTAGACCTATGACTGCTGACTCACGGCCAAACATCAAAGTAGCGCACATGCTTCCCGTATTACTCCAGGTACCCCAACTCGCATCTCGTTTACCTCAGAGTAACTGAGCTCACTGCATCAGATCAAACTAATTAGCATCGTAAGTGATTAATTTCTTTTCACATTTTCGAAATAAAAAGTTGATTTTAATTCTTTCAACGTAGACTTATACTTTTGTTGGACATTATCCTCTCAAGAACTCTTGTAATAAGAGCTATATTAATAGGAATAGGTTATTTACTGGAATAATTGTCAATATTAACTATTTGTTAGAAATGGATTTTTTTAACCTAAATAAATCTTGAAGTACTTAAAATTTTTGGTTATTAAAAAAATTACTCATTTCTATCATAATCAACGCAGCTCTTAAACGGACATTCTTAAGTAAGATTATACATGTTGGAATAGTTAACGTTGCTGGGTATTGGAAAGCCCTTTTCAGAGCGCAGTACTTTTTGACGTTATTTTATACTGACTTTTCCGGTGCATGTGTTACTGTAATGAGAAATAATGTTTATTACTTTATAACTAATGGTTATAATAATATTTTCATTGGACAGAAGAATTTTTTTTATTAACGAAATTTTCATTGCACGGAATTATTAATGAGTTTTGCCATCTTTACCAACTATGCATAGTTTTCTTATAATTTTTTCAGGTCAATTTTCGTTGATTTCTTGTGTCCCATAATATAAACATGCTGTGACTTACATGCGCTTATTGTGTCGCGATTTTCTGTAGTGTGCATTAACTGTGCCGACATTATGCCTTCCAGTTCTGCCGTACGTCCTACTGACATTATACAGTCATTATGACTACATTTTCAATATTATTTCATTCTAATTATTATTATTATTATTATTAAAATATATCAAATAACATTGTAATTATTTGAAATTAAAAATAGTTGTATTGAAAAATATTTAAAAAATTGAGAATTTGAAATGTCTAAACATGAAGCAAAATTGCTAACTTTGAAACTAAAACAAAGAAATAAGCTATCTAAAGAAACAAAAGTTTCATTTTATCGTAATAGAGTTGAGCCTTTCCAAAAATACTTTAGTGAAGGAAACTTGTAATGATGTTTATGGTCACATGAATGAATATATACGAATCCAATGATTGTAGGCTATTTATAGATTACTCTAAACGAAGCCTCAAAGGCGGTGTTATTACATAATACAAATGTATATACTGCAATACCCGTAGTCCATTCGGTAACGCTTAAGGAAAAGTTTGAAAATATTGAGATGGTTTTAAATGAGATTAAATACACAAAAAACAATTGGCAGATTTGTGGCGATCTTAAAATACTCACACTAATTCTGGGCAAGCAATCTGGTTTTACGATGTTTTCATGCTTCCTGTGCCTGTGGGACAGTCGTGATTGTAGTAGTGATCATACTAACAGAGATTGGCCAGCTTGAGTAATAACACAAACCGGATCTAAGTACATCATAAACAAACCCTGGGTTAAGTCATCTAAGATTCTCCATCATCCTTTGCACAAAAAATTGGTTTAATGAATTGAAGCCGTGAGCACGAGGTGAAATGAATTTTAGTTGGTGTGAGAATAACTGTTTTATTAATCCAAACTAGGACTTACAAATATAGCGCGGCTCGGCTTCAAATTGGTGACCCTGACGTGATCTGGGTGAACAAGTGTAACGCGTGAAGTAAATCGTCATTCCAATCAGTGCAACACAATCCCTCTTAAACACCTACGACCATGACGGACGACGCTGCCGCCGCCGCTACTGTTGCACCGATCGTTAACGTGCAAACGCCACGACACTTCCGTGCTCCACCGTTCACGGAAAGCAACGTGAAATTATGGTTTCGGTTGATGGAGGTTGACATTAAAAAAACGAAGGTTGGGCGTGCGCTTTCCCTTAAACAAACTCATTAATGCGGACGCGCGACCATCGACGTTTAATGTGTTTATTGCAGATGGCCATAAAATCTCCGGCATTTCGTTCAAGATTTATGAAGTTTTTTTGTATAAAACGGTAAGCTTTTGGCCAACACGTGGAGGGAAAAGGCACGCCACAGAATCAATTTGTAAAAGCTTTAGATAAGAAAGGACTTTAGCTTACTAATTCAATAATTTAACTGTTAATAGCTACTGTTTAGCTTACTTAGTTAAATAATTTTCAGCTTTATCTAGTGCAAAATTGAAAGAAGGTATCTTTGACGGCCCTCAAATTTTCTCACGGTATGAGTTTTTTTAGGTTAAGGGGTTATCGAGTTATGGGATTAGTGGATTATGACGTTTAAGGTGAGTGGTTACGGAATTTTGGTGACAGTTTTATCGATAAAGTAATGTAATTGATGGCTTTGATGGTGTTCAGGCCGCTCGGTCTAATTGCGGAAACCTTTTCTCTTTTTTCATTTTTCAGCATGAATTTTTAATTTGGCCATTTTCTTGCAAAACCAGTTTGTCGAAGGCAAGGAATGTATGACGTCACTATTTTGACAAACAATATAAATATTTTGTGTCCTATCCTTACAATGTAGTTCGATGACAAGTCAAATCTTGCTGTTGGTTAACTCACAACACGATTGTTGATGATACTTGCTTTCTGCCTACAACCTATTTTTTTTACCTCTCCAGCTATCCAATTTTTCTTTTACACCACATCTTGATCTCTTAACTAATTGACTGAGGGAAAGACACGATTGTGTACAGGTGAATTTTAAGGTATTTTTTAAGGTTAAAAAATCCTGACATGCAGGGGTTAAAAGGGCTGCGGATTTCTGCTCAGCGGGAAAATTACACGGGAATATCATTATGATATATCATCATGGCGCAGAAAACAAAATTTTTTTATGGACCTATCAGCTGACCCTCATAGTTGAAATAATTTTTCGTCCGAAAATGAAGAAGACAAGCGGCTTGTGCGCCAATTCAATCGACGGTGACTGCTCGGAAATACTTTACGACAATTAGTTTAACAATGACACACACTTGTTCGTTTTACAACGAATTAAGTAAAAAACTGCATTAGTTGCTCGTAGCACATGGTTCGCAGATCAATTCCAAAAGGACCCATACGTCTACTCGATCAAGCTTCTACAAAATGTGAATGTTGATGAATTGAAGGAAGCATTGAAATTCATTCACACCGGAACCAACCCAAATATGGCTAAGAAATTACGCATTATGGCTAATCAACTTGGTATGCAGAAGCTTAAAATATATTGAGAAGTTCTATGCATAGCAACTCCTATCGTTTCTGAAAATTCAAAATATACAGCTTAATAGCCAAACATACATTCAGTTGTTATAATATTGGCAGTATATAATTTTTATTATTTTTCACATGTTTTAAAGAAAAAAAAAAAGAACACTTTTCCACATATGCAAATAAGAAGAAAAAAAGCCCTGTTCATTCAGCTGTTGAACCAGCTGATGAAAACATGATTCAAACACAATTGAAGCTTCCGAGAAGAATGAAGAAGGTGACGATACCATTGACCCGACGTATGGACGTATGTATGAACACAAAACCTCGTATACCTGGACTATTATTATTAGTTTCAGGCAGAACAATTTAAGTCTTGATCAAGCTACTTATTAGCATGTATTTTCGAGTAAAAATATTAAGAATGACAAGTGACCGCACACAGTAGTAGAGTAACCAATCGAGAGCAGCATTAACGAAGACAAATAGTGACAGGCGAGAGCAACTTAAAATCGAATAGAATTCGTTGACATATTGGTTCATAAGTGTTTGGTCATAATCAAGTAATTGCAAATTAAGAACAAAGAAAATCATTTGTATTTAAAAATGTATGGAAAATCGCACGTTAGAATGTACGCTAGGCATTATTCCTTGTCGAATGTGTGGTTCTGACGACACTGTGGTTTTATATTTTCTATATCACGAGCAGCTTGACGATTAGTCCGTACAGTAGTAACTGGGGCGTTACGATGATTAATACAAAAGTGATAAGTTATTCTTGGACCATCAGTAACTACAGCTTGAACGATTTGAAGCAAGGCGAGAGTTTCAAGTCACCGATATTTTCGGGAGACGGAGGCGACGAGTACCTGTGGCAATTGCGATGGTTCCCAAAGGGACGCGCATTCCAGGACTATTGTGAGCTATTTCTTTATTTAAAAAACAAGACAAACGTCACGATTTCCTATAAGTTTTATATAATAGATGTAAACAACAAAAAAACCTACGCTCGCTCGGCTACACAAAAGTTTTCCGAGACCGAATTGGGTTGGTTTGATTTTATCAGACAGAGTGATTTGCGAAATAACGGCAAAAATTTGTTGCCCGATGATACTCTAACGATATTCATCGAAATCACCGTGCAAGAAGGAACTAACAATCTGTCCGGTAACTGTCGATTTTCTGATACAGTTTTGTTCGACGACTATTTCACAAAATTTCTGGAAAACAATTTTCTAAGTGATGTGCAGTTGAACGTAGGCGGTCAAGTGATTCAAGCGCATCATGTGGTTTTAGCGGCGCATAGTACCTAGTTTTCCCAGCTGTTCGTTGCAAATCTAAAATTGGAAGCCATTAAAATTGACCAAACAGTTGATGTTATGTTAATGAGGCAAATAGTGCGACTTATGTACACGGGAAAAATTGATATTCCCGACGCTATGGCAAAAGAACTACTGAAATTATCTGATCAATTTGGCATAGAAAAACTCAAGTTGATTTGCCAAGAGACCTTATGTAAATCCATGAAACCGATTAATGCCACGGACATTTTGGTACTTGCTACACTTCACAATGCTACAAATCTTGAAAAAGAGGCTTTGAATTACAAAGCAGCTCATGCTGGGAGTGTTGTTAATACTCCTGGCTTCATAACATTCGAAAAATCATATCCGAATCCGTTCTACCTGATTTTTCGTACATTAGTGAGTAAACAAACTTTTATCAAATCATAAGAAGTAATTGTTATTTTCGTGTAATTTTTAAGAATTATCCATTGTTAACGTTAACATGTAAGGTAAATATTCCATATATTAACTTTAAAAAAATTTTAGGGTTGCTTAATGATCTTATTGCAAGTTAATTTGCTAACCATCGCAAATTGTTCATTCACGAATTTATATTTTAAGTAAAATGTGTGAGATGCCCCACCATACGTTAAAATGTTGGGAAATATCATTTTAATCAATAACTTTTAGCTATCATTTTGTAATCAAGCAGTAACTCCTATGTATTTTGTAAAACGAGAATAAAATTTTAAAAACAAAGATCAGTTAATCGATATATAAATGTGAAGGCAAAATGATAACGACCACAATTTTTTGGAATATATTTTTATTGACGAACATTATTACTGTTTTTCTCGTCAGGAGAGTGGTGCAATGAACGGAGAACAAAAAGTACAAACACTTATTACCAGATTTGAGAGCATCCTATTTTCCAAGTCAGTGTTAGAGAGGATGTCGGAGTACCGGTCACTATAGATTCATTTTATAGTTCTATAATATTTAAATATAAAATATATATTTATTTATACTATATATGTGTATATATAGTTATAATCTGTCTCTTTCCCAATATAATAACGTACATTTCTTTCTCTTTATTTCTCTCCTCTCCAGTTTGTTTTTTTTTTCTTTTAAATAGATCATAATTTTTTTTATCTTTGATTTTTCAAGGCCAACGTAGAAATCACACTAGAATTGGTAAGCTTAGTTTACTATACATAGACATTTTCTTTTATGATTTGTTCCTAGACGTAGAGACCGCTGTAACTGGTAACAAGACATTAGACAGCGAAGCGCACGATTTTTCTTTAATTCTTTCTTTCTTTCTCTCTCACTTTCTCCCTCTGCATAATTATTTACAACTTCGTAATAAAAATAACGGGTCTCATACTGTTCCGAGTCTTGTTAACCATTAGCGGCGTTGTTCGAACGCATTTTTTTCATTATAACGAGAGAAAAATAAAGATTCTTACTTTTTCTTCTTTTGATCTTAGCACTTCCATCATTACTTTATTTTTTTGTAATTTCTTCAACAAAAACATACATTAAATTTTGTTAAATGAACAAGTTTTTTTTGTTAACGAACCACAAAATAGACATTTACAAATCTGTACAAAATATATATAGCGTCGACGTCCTCATAAATGGTACAATGCATAGGCAGTGGCGAATAGGAAAATGGTGTTTTTGTTTTTTCGTTACTTTCGTAAACAGAAAAAAATACGTACAAAAAATTATCATTTTGCACGTCAGTTTGCGTCCAGTTGATATACAAATTACAACATTTTAGGCAATTACCACCAATTGTTTTATTGTACGCTGTCGCTTGTGCGCCGAGAACATTGTACAGTTTGAAGTATAAAGAAAAGTAGGAATGTAGAAATATAAAGAGCAATATCTTATTGAGATAAACTTTGGTATTTGTTATGCGTGGGTTAGCGATCGATACTAGATTCGGTTTGGTGCCTCATGAATATTTACACACAAAGAAAAAACGTATTTACGTATATGAAAATACTAGTAAATTAAAGTAGGCGTTAAGAGAAAAAGAACTATTATTAATAGTAAAAAATGCGGATAGTAAAAAGTAATGAACAAAAATAATAACCTGTAGAAAAACAACTATTTTGTATGCAACAGTGCTTGGCATGTAAGTAGTATCGAAATTCAGAACATTTTTGAATTCTTCTCGAGAAACTGTTCTGCCTTTATAATAGTAGTACATATAACATTCAACGTTAAAGTCGATGCCAACCGTTTCCGCTTAGTAGAAAAAAAAATCGATTAAAAATTAGGAATTAGATACAAATTATATAAAAATGTAATTATTACCAACCAATTTTGGAAGCAGTCTCTGTTAAGAAAGAACATACAAAAAGAGTCGTTAAAATTATGTGCTATATGATTTTGGTAGAGCCAATCAGCGATGGTTTCGCCAAACGTCGCAAGGTACACATTTTAACACACACTGTATCGAATTCCTTTTACGGAAAAAATTAATAATATACATATATAATGTACTCTCTATAAGCCGGCAAAAATCGAAAAGATTTGTGCAACAGTGAAAGAAAAAAACATTTAATAATCGAAAAAGAAAGTTAGGTAACACGATTCAACTAATACTTACAAAATAATAATAATAATAATAATAATAATAATATAATAATAATAATAATAATAATAATAATAATAATAATAATAATAATGATAATGATAATGATAATGATGATGATGATAATAGCAATAATAATAATAATAATAATATGGATAAAGATGTGCTCGCTTTCGCTACTTAGAATCTTAAGTAACGTTAAACGATTTTCTTCTACAATCTAAAAATGTTGTTATTTTGTTTGTTTGTCTCACCATCTACACACTCAACGATAGCGACGTGGCATATCATGAAGCTTCACGCTCTCGTAAAAGTTAAAATTAATTTACATTTTTCTCTCATTTTTTCTTTTTGTTTTCTTGCTCTGCTCTCTATACATTGACTACGAAGAGAGATTTGTCTCTTACGATCTACAAATAAATTAGTATCTTAATTAAATACTTTCCAAATACAACTTGCACAAGTACTCTCACAGTCAGGTTTACAGGTTTTAACACATATACACGGCTATGCATATGCTATTATCGATGCGCGTCCAGAAAGATAAATTTTTTACTCTCTTCCTTTTTCCTATCTTATATAGAAAACATATAATAGGCGCCTGTCTCTATGTATTTGTACCGATCGTTTATTTTCTTCTGTTTCTCGCCTCGGAAAACAAATAGGTGACATCGACAACGAAAAGACGAAGAGGTGAAGCACGACAGAAGAATTTGTGTTTTTTTTTGTCATTATTTTTTCGCTTGCTTCTCATCGACGTCGAAACTCTCTTCCGTGAAGACGCTCTCTCTCTCACGGTAGAATTTAATCATTTTCCTTTGTCCAATTCTGGCGTGACAATCGATTGTTTCTCTCAGACCGTCGACGCCTGCTGATTGTTATTTTCCAAAGTGATACTGGTCGAGCACTCTTTCAACATCGTCCTCAGTCGAAGAATTTCCTTTGATGCTGCCGCGAGATCGCTCTGTAGTTGCAACTCCTTCTCCCGTAAACGCTTGATGTCTCGTTGACACGTCTATAAAGAAATCGCAATTAATATCAGCCGGGTAAATTGAATAATATCATTTATAAATGTTGTCGAATTGTAAATGTTATCGACTCGTTACTCACCACATTCTGCCTCAACAAGTCCAGCTTGTCGCACTTGAGTCTCGTAACTTCTTGCCTGAGACTCTCCGTTTCTGTAGCTGCTCCAGCGTTGTCCTTGGCAGCACACCTTGCTTCGTGAGTTTCGGCCGAACTCATACTCTCCAGTCCCGTATCGCTGTCGGGATAAACCGCCTGATCGAGCTCCAGTTCACTGTTGAGCGAACTGTCGTCACTCTCGGAAATAACCCTCTGTTGAGATTCTGGCTTCTCTAAACAAGCTGCAGCTGCTGCCGCCGCCGCAGCCCGTTCTTCCCGTCTACGTAGATTCTCGTGGGTCAGCCTTTGGAAACTCGACGTCGACGACGATGACGAACCCACAAGAATTACGTTACTACTACTACCGCATTTTTCAACTACTGTCGTGTTACTGTCACTTGGTAAACCGTTTAACGAGCTCGTCTCCCGTTTGTCGTCCTCGTGCTGCACTGTTGTTAGGCTACTGTTGTCTTGGTTTTCCGTATTGGATAAACTGCTGTCTTGACTGCCTAGACTCGGACTCTTTCGATCTGAGTCCCTGAGAAAAAAAAAATGAAATCGCATCATTAGTTATATTCGCTCGATAAGCATGACTGATTTTCCTTCAATTGAACGTGGCATTTACCTCCTGAGGGTCAAGTCTGGCGATCCCAGTGGACTGGACGGTTCCACACTTCTCTTGCCACTGGCCAATTTACTTGTCGACTGTCTGTTACTAGGTGGGCTTGGTTCCAAACTCTGTGCTTTCTTCGACAACTGCTGTGGTACACTTTCCGTCGACGCGTTTCTCACTCGCGAGATCAATGCTTTTCTCACAGTGTCGATGAATCGCGAGCCACTGCCACCAGATGCTGTGCCGGATACGTCATTCGAGGTCGGACTGACCGGGCAATTGCCTAAGAACGAGCTGAGATTCCCTGCTGTCGCACCTAGGAATTCCGCTGTCTTTGTTTGTAACTCTTCCGTTAACGATTCCAACAGAGCTGATCGCGTTCTTAACTGGAAATTTTTACGAGGTCGTTAATCGTCGACCGCAGGTAGATGGATTTACACTTTTTCTCATTTCTGAAATATTTACCTCCAGTTTGGAGAACTTTTCGGCTTTGTAAGCAGCGTTCTCCGCGTTGACGAGTTTCGTTAGTAGAAACTCTTTGAACTCGACTCCTCGTAAAAATACTGCGGGTGTTGGCAGTGTTGGGCCAAACCATGGAACGTCATCTCGAGCTGTTATGCTCACCTTGTACCTGGAATTTCAAGAGGATTCACTCTTTCTAGTTTGTCGACGAAACGTTGCTTTATTCGCGCGAAGTGGATAAATAAATTGGGCTGATGCAGTTCTTAATGGATTAATTAACTGAAGATATGAGAGCTTTTATTCGAAAAGTTGAAACCGAGATTTTCAACATTAAGGCAAAGCAATTACGTCTTAACAATCTCGTTTGATTTTCGTGTTTTTCCGATAATCGATTTGTAAGCCCAGCGAGTGCCTTCCGCTCGTTACGTAAGCCAAAGAGTCAACAACAGTTACGCAATCTAGACAGCGCGTTTCGACGAGTTTCCACGATAAATTATTACACCGCGAAAAACAAACGTTGACCTACAAAGTTATCCAATTTTCAATAACATCAAATTATAGTTGTGGAACGAGGTTCAATTAGAAAAGCAAACGACGTTGAAAACTTGCAGCGTAATTACCTGGTGTTGGGTGTGCATGGATCGACGACCTGCACGACGATGAAAGCGTGCAAGAAATGACTGGCAATCATGTCGGGACTGAACGGCGTCGGTTCCTCTTGGAATATTATAGCCACGATGTCGTTGCCAATGTGTCGTTTGCGTTGTAATTGTTGGGCGTCGCCCGGGCTGAAGGGTAACATCGAAGCAACGTGGAACAACACTTCGCGGCCACGGAACACTTCGTAAACCGCTGTGTCGCCCGTTTGGCCATGTCGAGTGTCCAGGCCACCTCGGTATCTGTGAGAAGTAAAGGTTCGTCGAGTTTTTCATCGCGTTCAGGCAAAGACGAGGCCGCGGCCGCGCGCAAATCCGATTAGACGCAGCTTGCTCACCCTTTGTGATCCTTCAGGTCGATCCTCTGTCCAAGCAAATCGAGAAACTCTTGGAAGGCCGGCGTTATCTGGCGGTTGCCGAACAGTTGCTCCTCGGTCACCTGTCGCGCTCGCTGGTGCAGCACCCCGAACTTGTAGCGCGACACCAGGGCGTGCTCGTCGTAACGAGCTATCAGCGTGCCGGCGCCCGAGCACACCACTGGCATCAGCGTGCTCACCTGCAGTCCCTCGTTTATCGCCTGCAACCAGATTTTTCGTTTCGACTTGCTGGGAGTCGGGAGCTCTTTCGTGCGGCGCGCGACAACGACCTTCGCCGCGGCCTATTTTTAATTCGACGATTCACCGAGCTAACGAGAATCCCGCTGTGATGTAAGACGCGAAAGGAAAAAAAAATCAATTCGACGTGTCCCCCGCGCGATACATTAGCTAATGCAGCGAGCGAGCGTTACCCAACGCAATCCACTCGCAAAAGGAAAAACAACGCGCGCACGTAACTCCATGCAAAGAGAGCTTCCTCGGGCAAATTTGCTGAGATAGGCGCTGGTGTTGCCAGGTCACGCGAGCGATGTCCGTCCCTCGTGCGAGCGGCTGTATCGTGAATTATTCAGAGAATCCCTTCCTTTTTCCGCGCCTAATTTACGAATGTGCGGCGCGAACAAATCAGCGATCTAGTAGGACGCGTAGAGTAGGTTGCGCGCAGCAACTAGACACACAATGCGGCGAGGGAGATCGCTCATTTCTTTTCGCTGGATCACAGCCCGTTCGAAGGTTTGCCGCTGCCCTCGTGACGAGGCTTTTTCTTACTAGCGACAACGATCCTTCTGCAGCGGAAAAAAAACGTTCCCCGCGCGCTTGCGAAATAGTGATTTCAATGCCGCGAGGAAAACAAAAGCTCGCGCGGATGATTAAACGACAAAGCACGTGTGCCGCATGGATTACTTAACGTTGCTTCGGTTGTTTCTCTGAAGAAAAAAGAAAAAAAAAAAAAAAAGCTGACGCTGGCCGAAGTGCAGGTGGCGGCCGTGAAACGTATTGTTTATCTTGGACTGCGGCTCGGCGCGAGCGACGCTCATTAAATATTTATACCTCCGATCGGACGCGAGAGACTCTGCGCGTTTTTTTATCTTTTCATAACACGGCGACGCTGATGAGCGTGAAAAGCGCGCGTTTTGGAAAAGCGTCGCGAGTTGAGGTTCACCGTGTCGCCCGCGAGTTCGCGTCGACGTGCGTGGAAAACAGGTATATATGTCGAGTGACACCCTGGATGAAAAGATTGCACTTGTGTATTTGAAATAAAGACAAAATACTGCTGGATTTTCTTATTTTTATTTGACTTCTTTCACGCTTTAAAAAAGAAAGTAGTAATAAAAAAATTCCCCGGATAAATTCTGTAGCTGAAAGTAGTTCGTGTCAGCTTTCATGAAACGTAAATCATCCCCCGTTCGTGCCGCGACAAATTGCATTTTTATCGTCCAAACGCCGGCTGGAAGGATAACACGTACCGGAGAGATATACTTTTAATAAGCTCTCTAATCAAAGTGCGATTATTCGATATTCTTGCAATCGATAGACGACACGAGCGGAGATTGAAATGAACGAGACGTGGCGTGGTCTAAAAGCAAAATTTCCTTTTGCCTTCCTTGCACCGCGGATTCTAAGTTAATTGAACAGAGTGACTCAAGTATATAGCAGCAGCTAAAGCTAAAAGAGATTACCCGCTGCCACTCTCGGGGTAAACAGTAAAATTCTCGCGAAGTAAACAAGTACGAACTTGGAGAATGTTAATTACTTTCCTTTTTTTGTCGGCTACGACGCAAGACAGCGAGGAGAAAATGAGATTCCATTAGGGAATCCGCATAGAGAGTAACGTAGATGTCCGAGAGTAAAAGGAAAATCAATCATTACGAATTGACGTTGAGTGCAATTGGCCGTATAATCGTCGCTACGCTTCGATCGGCAAAGTAAAACGTTTTCAGCAGCGGCGCGCAATACGCCTATGGAGGCTTTTTCAAGGACGAATGATCGAAGGAGATGATTCTTATCGTTCGAGGGATACGCGATTCGATTTTCCTTCAAGTGTGTAGCAGATTACATTCGCTGATCTGACTTTATGGAGCGGCGAGTTTAAATGTTCTTTACCGAGGAAGATAACAGTTTTTTTTACCTTGACCATTTTCGCAGGTGAAGGATTAGGTCCGAGTACGGCAGCAGGCACAAGTTCGTGCGTCGAGCCGACACGCAATCGCAATAATACCCTCCAGTGCTCTTGGCCGGCGACTGTTTCTGCTTTGACCGACACCAGCACCGGCCCGTTATCCGAATCTCTTCCAACGAGGTTCAAGTGCTCCTGTAAAAAATAAAGCGTCGCGTTATACTTTACGGTAATTGCGCTGCGGTACAGACGAGACTGACTTTGTCGTATAATAATAATAAGAAAAAGAAAAAAGGAAAAGAAGGCATCGAACGACAATTGTCTTTGGCGAGGTATCAAAAATCCAAGCAGAATGATTCATAAGCTTGCGCGCGCGGTAAAATGCTGTTAGCAGTAGCTCTCGCTGTGGAATTGGAGATGAGGTTACCTAAATGGAGCCGGATATTGATTAGAATGGGGTTAGATGTTATATATCGATTCGATCGATCGCTGGGATAATTGCTGGATTGCGCCTTGGACGGAAACAGCGTCGCCTTGCCTTCGACTCTACGTGTTTTTTCCCGTCAAATCAGCTCGTCACGGAGAATTCCATTGTTCTTGGGCGGTGCGTGCGTGCAAAGTGCGAAAGGGACGAGATTGAATATCGATTCGGGGACAAACTTCCTCGGAACCTCGCGCGAATTTGAACCAGCTGCCAATAGAAATAAACGTCGAGGCGAGCGCACAGAAGCAAAAGTGGCAAAAGCATCGACGAGTCGAGAGCAAAAGCCGGCGATCATCAATATTCCGAGGCGCGCGCATTGTGAAACTAGCATGCGCGATCAAACGCACGCGCGGCGAGTGCAGTGAATAGATAAGACATTGCGTACACGTACGCGAAGCTCATTGTTGTTCGCGAGGACAACGCACCTGCAGCCCATTCGAAAAAACGAAAAAAAAGAGACCCCCCTCCCCACGTAACCGCAACGCACCAATGCACTCGCTCTCTCTCTCTCTCTCTCTCTCTCTCTCTCGTCCTTTCACTCGCTCGTGTTACAATGAGCGATTTTTCGCGTCGCGAGCTACGCTGCATACGCGCGGGGTCAAGTTCTCCCGGCCTAATTTACCTGTCGCGGGGGCGGATTGTTTATCTTCAATTAAGTGAGCGCGGCTCGATTAGCTCGCCGCCTCAATTACCGTCTTGCCTTCAGCGCCGCGCGGTAAGATTGCGCGCGGGCCGATTATCGAGTTTCGCTCGGCGCCATTGTCGAGTCTTGAACCGACCGCCCGCGGACCCCATTGTGCGCGTCGCGCGCGCGCGCGCCTCGTCAATGCCCGCCGATATATCTGGCCATCGATTCGTCGAGTCGTCGTTAATTGAAAATCGCGCGCTGAGCACACGGCGATGCCAATTAACGCGCGCGACCGAGTGCTCGGCGTTCGATCATTAAGAGCATCATGCAACGCTCGGCGTCATCGAACCGTCGCGCTCTATACCCCGAGCGTCGTCGTGACTCATCGCTCTCTCTTTCTCTCTCTCGTTCCGCGAATGAAAATCGATGCACCGCCACCCGCGTTTTCGCTGACGTTTCTTCTCTCTTTGCGGAGCTCTTGCCTTGTTCCATGTCGTGGCATACAATTATTGCAGCGCCAGAATAACAACGCACATTCCTAAACGCACGCTTGGCTTTTTTCCCCGTATAACCCTCGAATGCTTCGTATGCTAAGTGACCCGCTCAACTGTGTCTTATCTAAATTATAATCTCGCGCGCGTATTAAGTCGAAATGTAGGTGTAGGTCGATTTTCTTTTCTTTACAGGTAACGGCGAGCGGAGGAAAAGGAAAAATAATAATAAAAATAAAAAAAAAAGAAAAAAGAAACTACACACGCGACCGGCGGCCTTTTTGCTCTCGTTGCCGTCAATAAGTAATACGCTTAGGCATTCAGCCCAGTGGCCCGAGGCACCGCGAACGCGAAGCAGCTTCTTTCAACGGCCGCCGGTTCGCGAAGAAGAAATCCGTGTCGACTGCTCGGGCGCCTGATTTTCTGGGTTATCGTCGAAAGTGCCCGCGCTCGTCGGTCGAAGCTTGCGATTGTCCAAAGCGAAAAATTGCGTTGGCGAACGAAGGCCGCGTGCTTAGATGCCGAAGATGCGCGCATCGGATAAGAGAAGTAAAAAAAAAAGAGGAAAAAAAATGAGAGTTTGCTAGTGCGAGGAGGAAGCTATATACCCCGTGTATGTGTGTGAGAACGTTCCCACTCCCACGCCTCGTAGTACTCTTTTCCTGCCGTTCTCTCTCTCTCTCTCTCTCTCTCTCCCTCTATCTCTTTATCTTGCTTCTCTTTACGCCGCTGCGAGCTCCTTCGTGCTCGTGGTTTTTAATTTTTCCTATATGTATAAGACATCCCCCTTTTCACCTAATTCTATGGTTAAGCAGCAATACGTACGTACGTAAACTTAACTCTCCCGAGTAAAGGCGTTGAGAGGTAGGCCAATTAGCGAGTATATGCTGTCGATGACGTACCGGCAATGCGAAAATACTCGACCAGAGATATTGTTCTTCATAGACGGAGAGCGTAAAATGCATTTTCTTTTTTTTCACCGTATTTTTTCTAACGACCCGACGCGCCGTATTACCATTCGTTTTCGTCTTTCGATTTACACGATTATCGAGAAATTCGTCTTCCGAAACATTGCTGTTTTCCTCGAACGCACATAGCTAAATAATAATCGTACGATTTTGTAAAAGACGTTTCAAGATTCTTACGGTCGATAATACCGTACTCCATTACATTCCGTCATAGCCCCAATCAAATAAAGAGAAGTAATCAGCTATTAAAGTGTATTAAGAAGACAGCCGTGATCTATTTAAGGAAAGCAAAAAAAAGAAGAAAAAAAAGGCAGCGTCTCGTCGGTAGTCGGCAGGAAAGTATAACGCGGTTGCGTAACGCAAGCGCAAAAATTCTTTGCCGGTGAGCTGTCGCGTCGGCGGAGAGAGAGAGAGAGAGAGAGAGAGAGAGAGAGAGAGAGAGAGAGAGAAAACAAAAGCGATTAGCCAAGTATCGCGAGAGTGCGAGCCACTCGGCGGGTGTAAAAATAACAGAGCGGGCAGAGGGGAACGCGAGCGTCGAGCAGCGAAGCGAGGCAATGAAATTGTAATTAAGGATTAGCGAAAGTACAGCGAAGCTCTCTCCGAAATGAATTATGCATCGGGAGATTAGCGCCTACGCGCTGGCCGTTCCTTATCGCGCGGAAAAGGTCGAAGGCTGGAGAGGTGGCGGCCCGGCGGGGTACAAATGCCTCGGGCGCGCGGTGTCTGGTCGTCGCGCGACGGCGACGCCTGGCAATAATCGACGGACGCGCGGGCACTGGTAAATCTCGCGCCTGCCGAGATCGAAAAGCGGCGTCGTGGCCATTCGCGACGATGTTTGCTTTGGGTAAGCCCGTAAATTGCTCGGAGGAAGTGCTTTCCAAGCCATTAACAAGGACCTTTCGAAAACGTCAAAACTGTTTTGAGAAGGACCGCCGGAGCGGGGCTTTCTATTTCCGTGGCAGCTCCGCGCTATCTGTCTCTGGGCGTTTCGTTTACTCGAAAGTCTGTGCCGTCGTCGGAGAGCGCGCGCGCGCGCGAGCTTACGTCTCTCGATGTTGCTTTCGTTAGCGTCCCAGCAGCTTCGTCGCGCCGACGAACAGAAAGCAAGACTCACCCTGCCGACGAAGAACCGCCTGTAACACTTCGCAGTGTCGTCCTGATCGATGCGCGGCTGCCAAGCGGGCTGCGCGGGCAGCAGCGCCCTGCCGGCCGCGTCCAGTGCGTGCCTGTGCTCGGTGCCGTCCAGCCAATAGCCGGCGGGCGTCACGACCATCGGCGGCGGTATTGCTGTGGCTGCCGATTGCTGGAGTGCCGCTTCCATGAGGGCGCGGCCCATCGGCGCTTCGCCCACTGGCGACGGCACCGGCGTCGGGCTGCCGCTCGGCTGCGAATTCGGACTTGCGCTCGTTGTCACTCGCTCATCTCGTGAAGTCTGCAATTTGACAAATGTCACGGTCAGTGACGCGAAACAGCTGTCTTCTTTCTATCTGCTGCTACGAGCAGCAGGCGAAATGTCAGTGTGTTTTCGAAAAAGTAAAGACAAAAGGGCAAATCTGCGTGGCCAAGAGTGAAAATAACTCTTGCTGGTTCGACCGCCATCCCCATCGATCTATCTTTCTTTATCCTAGAGATTTCTCCCCCCCCCCCCCCCCCGACTTTCTTCGTGTCGTGCGGCAATAAAAGCCGATGTTTATATTATAGTAACTGTTTCCATTGTTTCTCGCTTGCGCGAACGGGACTTTGACTTTTCTAACAAAAAGAAGCAAAAAAAGAACGAAAGCAACGCCAGGAATTTGAAAATTCCGACGTACTGACGCGCGACCGAAAATGTCCCGCTTTCACGTCGACGTTCTACACGCATGCATATCGCAAAGAATTTTGATAATTAATTCGATGTTCGCAACGACACGCACACCTGCCGTGCGTTGCCGTTTGGCTTCTCGTGCGCGCGGGTGGCCACCTGCTGTACGTGCGCACACACATGCGACGATCGTTGGACGTTCATTCGTTATTTTACTTGTTCGCGGCTGCATCGAAACTACGGTGTACGCCTTCTTTTCCCGCGAGTTTGTCATTGCGCCACAGACGCGCGGCACTTGACGATAATTCGACGTCGGTGCACGCGCAGAGAGAAAAAAACATTGCTTTTTCCTTTTTTTCTTCGCACCTCGGCGACGCGAAGGGGGAAGAAAAAGCATCAATTAAAATTTCCGTCTCGGGCTCGCACCATTTGCGAAATGAGCACGCGCGTATGTGTACGCTCGTTAAAGGACCTCGATTTTCCTCTCTCTCTTTTCGGTTTTTTTCTCGTGGATGGTTAATGAGGGGGTGCGCGCTGCGCGACGAGGGCGTATGTCGCGCATAAGATTTTCGCTCCGCAGTATTTTCAAAAACGTACCTTCTTCTTTTAGGATTTCCGCGCGAGTCGTGAAAGCGAATTAACTAGTGAAATAGGTTTAGAGAAGCGTACAAAACGCCATTTCAAGATTCAATTTACAGGGAAGATCTGTTTCGTCACGCGACTGAAAATTCCATTAAACGAAAGAGCAACGACGGAGACGCTATCAATCTTGGAAAATGAAAAGTAAAAATAACGCAATACATTTATATATAGCGCTGTCATGTCGAATACAATGGGATATATTGTGACACAGAGACGCGGCTTATAATAATCCACGTTCAGAAAACATAACTGTAGTACGCGTACACGTCTGAAAGTTTTCCCAATACACATCACACAAGTCAGGCAAGTTATGTATCCTTAACTATCAATTATCACGTTTTCCTCACTCACGCTTTCTCTTCGTCCGCACCCGGAACGACAGAGTTCAATGTAACTTATAAATGTAGTATCGCGGGCTTAAATCTAAATGCGACTCGCGCTAATTTTGCACCAGGGAAAAGACCATGGACACTTGTAATATTAGAAATCACCTAGTTACTCGGTCATCCTTATAACTTGTGTAGAAAAAAGGTGACAGCGGCTTCAAGAATTAAATTCTTTACATCAACGATTCTTTTTTCTGGTTAAAATATAACATCTCTGCCTCTAACTGATATTTTGGTAACTTAAAACATGCAACGGTGTCTTTAAGTAATAGCGAATCATTTGACCAGTCAAGGTTTCTCCATCTTTTTCCCAACGTCACAAATTTTTGTTAGTTGAATTTTCGGAAATGCTACTCGTTCGTTATGAAACGGCCAATGATTTGCCACGTCCAAATAGCACGTATATTACGTGAAATGTTATAGCAGCCCAGACAATCGCATGTTTAATAAACAGTTGGAAATCGCTTCGACCAGCTGGACCCCCGCTGGAGGTTCGGAATGAGAAGGTGAACTTTGGCGTTCGGGGGGCTTCGACCGGCCACGGAGAGGTCCGTGGCGTCCTAGACTAGTCTGTTTATTTGAAGCTCCGGGTCGGTTGACGTTGCGCAGCCCCCTACATATAGCTATATAATGCAGTTGCCCGTGGGGCGATATTGTATGCATGACGCAGAGAGGCTAGATAGAGGGAGGGAGTAGCTCGGTGTAACCGAATTATAACGTTGCAACGCTGTAAATGGGAATTAACGCGTACTTAGTCCGTTGGCTCTCGGTGCAGGCGAGTTTGCAAGCGTTATCATAGTTTATACGCGCGGTCATATCGCGTGCAAAGTCCTTAATGAAGTTACGGTTTGGTAATCTCGAGCGTTCGCGTGCGGTTTGGCGTTGAATTTCAGAATTGAGATTAGAAAAAGAATCGATTCATTGACGTGTGAACGGGCTCGACGTTAACGTCCGCTCGTGGTATACGGCACGTAGCGACGGGATTTTCATGGCGAACGATGCTTGGTCGTCGGTCACCTACGATCAACTCGCAACTCAATCAACGATTTCTGATAAACACGAGCAACTATCGCGAAACGCACTGTATTACGCGACGTCCAGTGACAGAAGGCCTCGTCAATTTCGTTTTCAGCGATGACACGACATCGTCGCGTTTGATTACGTGCTGTTCAACGTCAAGCGTTGGCGACCGTGAAGAGGAAAGAAAATCGCCTCTCGTGCAAAAGAAAAGAAAAAGACGCACCGCAACAGTAATCATCTACAAAAATATCCCGCGTAGTTTAAGAGCCGTAAGGAGAGGACGAGCGAGTGTAGGTTTAAAGATAGCCACGGGATAAATTTAAAGTCCGCGGGGACTGCGCAGGGTGGCGAAGGGTTGGGCTTTTCTACTTTCGGAGAGGCGTGCATGCTCCTCGCGTCGAGACGCTCAGACTTTGACACACTTTGATCGCGAGGAGAAAACTCGCCGACTTCGCTCGCTCCGTCGCCGTCCGTCGTGAAAAGCCGGTACGTCCGAGCATCCCGAATACGGCAAAACGCAATCAATTTAATTATCGACGGTTATGTATGTATAGAGCGGCGCATCCGGCAAAACTCGGGCGCAAAACTTGCCAAGCGCCGAAGAAAGTTTCGGCCAGAGCAAACTTCCTCGCTCGTCCCGCAAGCTTGCATCGTAATTCAAACACGATCCTGTAGCTCCATTCAAATTTTCTCCCGCACTTGCAACATTAATAAAAAGATTGGCTTCATCCCGGCTATATTTTAAATTCGAATGCAGATAACGTATCCTTTGTCTACCTCCTCTTGCGTGTGCCGAGGCTTTTTTGCTTGCAATTGAAAAAGTAGCGCGTCCCAACAATTAGCAGGGAGCTCTGTCCATTAATATTTGTCGATGCCTGCGTATTGGAAAAAATGGCCGGCAGTCGCACGCGCGCTTATTATTCGAGTGACGGCGACGACAGGATGCGATGGGGTTTTTTCTCGCGCCGCGTCGTGGCAATGCATTTATATTGGGATGGGACTGTCTTGACTATACGTACGACTCGAAAGCACACCTATGCTAATTTATCTCATTTGATCTCATCGGTTCGCTGAGGATGCCACATGTCGAATTGCCAGTTACACGAACAATTGTACCACAGACGGGAAGCACAGGAGGAACCGCGATATAGCAGGAAAAAACAAAACCGAAGGAGACGGCGACTGCATCCATTCTCGATCAACTTCAATTTTGTACAGCGTATATAAGAAAAAATTCGACAATGCCATCTATAGATTCGCGTACGCAGCGTCAAAATATAATTGAACGCGCCGTGCGATAATCGCAGGAAACTGCCACGGCGACGAGCGCCGAATGCAAAAAACGGAGAGGAGGAAGCGGGATAGAAGTGAATTATCGCGCGTTGCACTTCGGGCTATTTATAGCCAAAGCTCCGAACTCGCGTGTGTCGCTCCGGGCTTCGATGTCGCCTGCTCTCAGAAATTTATTGAAAAACTCGCGTACGTGCGTCGCCGAGCTTGTATATGAGCGTCGTATGAGACTTGCCGTACGAGAGTCGCGTGCCGAAAGCGAATGTATATCCGCTGTTCGCGAAAGTAAAAGTTGCTCTGTCCACGCGCAAAAGACAAGAGAAAAAGAAGGGAAAAACCGGTTTTATCGCGGCTGACAAAAGATTCGCGCAACTTGTTAAGCGTGAACTTTTTCTCTTGGCGTGCGCGCGGCGGCGTGGATTCGAGGAGGCATTCGCAGGCTACGCCAGCGGCATAACGAGAAGTCGGCGACTTTTTGAATCATTTATCCGTCTCTCGTGGCTCTGTAGGCCTTTGAGAGATCATTAAAAAGAGTTTGAAATTGAGAGCGGATTTTCAGCGAGCGAGAGGCGCGTTTCAATTCGCAAGTGCTGACTAAGGGGCTGACCTTACAACGTCTCCCTTTTCTCGCTGATATTACGCATGTATAATCAGAGCGTGTATTTACACGTTACACCAAGTCACGCGATTTCATTGAAATATCAATGGAAGAGATCTAGTTCTCTTTCCTATTTGTTTGAGCAAATTCTCGCGAAGGGTTCATTTGCGAGTTTCCGAAGTCGACGACGAGTTTTCAGCTGCGAACGGTTTTCCGAGCGGCTCGTTAAACTAGGTTACGATAATCACTCGGACGAACGTCAAAAACAAGCGTCGCGTGCACTTTTATCCCTTATCGCAATTAGGCCGCGCGATCGCGCGATTCGTAACGAAAAACGAAGTCGGCCGCGCCGAACCGAAGCGTCGGTGGCCGTTGCAGAGATGTTCCGCCGTAGATTGCAGACGAACGGGCACAAGGGAAAGAGCTCGCGTCGCGTAACACAAGCGAGAGCACAGCGGAGAGAAAGGTGAGTCAGGCCGAAGCCGTGGAGGGTTGCGTCTAGATTATCTTTTCGCTTGCGGCGCAACGTTTCTCTCCCTCTCCTGCGCCGAGGGTCCTTCTTGTCAACCGAGGCGCACAGTCTAATTAGCCGAGGATGCATTATTTACGCTACGAAAGTGCACGGGGGAAGCTGCCGCTAAGGCTTGCCGCTATTGGCGCCACTGCTGGTTTTGCGTGCAGCTTGCTTTTTTTCC